TAAATAAGCTCTTTTTGGCAAGCCAAAGTATTTTTTCGTGATAAGATAAAGACTCCAACTGCACTGTTTGAGTTTCTGGGCAACTGACAGCCATAACCGATTAGATACTCGCCGCGAAGTTTGTGCATTTGCTAGATGATCTCATTTCCGACTTTGCAGAAAACTCATAATTTATAGTCGAAGCTCTGGCGATACTTTACCCAAACGATTGCGTATTAGATAATCCAATAAAAAAAGAAAACTAAATTGTGTGTTCAAAGAGAACTTGGGTATTCCCTTTGTCGCTGAATTCGCTTTGTTCGTATCAGACACTCAAAAAAGTTACACAGACACTGCTACAGATACAGATACGGCTACAGCTACGGATACAGCTACTGATGCACTCAAGATGGCCAATCTAACGAGTATCTGGCGGATGATACTGTGGGGCAGCTTGGCCCACGCACAATTAAGGCTGTTTAAATTGATTCAACTTTGATTCTGGCCAAAGCTTCTATGATTTTATTAACACACACGAACACACACCACATGGGAGGAGGCGAGCGCGTAAACAAATTAGACGAAATGTGAAACGAAACGAAAAATAAAGTATATATATGAATATTATCAAGGCTTTCACGACCGACACGCTTCGCACATTTTCACATTTTCACAGTCCCAAGGAGACTGACTTTCAGTCGGCGAGCGAGTGGCCACACAGCGCCGACGACGACAACGACAACGACAGAGGCAGGCCTCTCTGTATGAGTATAGGGCGCCTCCCAAAGTATCTTCGGGGTAGGCGAGTATCCGTATCTGAGCTGTGTGCCTGGGTGGAAGTGAAAAGAATGAAAAGCGCCCGAATGCTCACGAAGTGCGCCACGAATCACATTATACAATGTGCATCGGAGAATTAACCCCAAAAAAGAAATGCTCGGGCGAAAAGTGAAAACGAGAGCGGCCAGCAACAACTTCATGGATACGTATATGTATCTGCGGCAAGTGCAACTTCAGGGATACAGTATGGACGTTGAATTAAAGGGAGAAAAATCTGTTTTATTTTCTTATCAACAAAATAACCTAATCGTAATGGATTCTATAAATAAAATTATCAATAAAATGTACATTTTAATCTGGGAATCTTGAGCACGTGATTTAATTTTAAAAGATGGTGGGGCTTAACTAGGAATTTTTATTAGAAAACCAGACTCAATATAAGCCAGACTCAGCCAGTAAATAAATCAATATTCTCTTTTCAAAATCTTACAAATTCCACAACACATTGTAGTGTTAATAATTCTCTCAAATCAAACATAAATCAAAGAAATAAACACCACAGCCCATATGGAAAGTAAATCATCTGCAGATTTTGATTCATTTCCCCGACTAATGAAGCTGTTCAAGTGGAAAACAGAGTGCCTACTCGGTCTGGGCCAAACAAACAACCCAACTGCGCCACTTCGAGGGTGGCAAGTGATAGTGGAGGCTGAAGCCTGCTCTTCCGGCAGGATGCAGATCGAGTTCCCCGACTCAGAGCGCATGTGCACGTGCCTGGGATGCTAAGACATCTGCCCTCAGACCCGCAGACACTTGAAACCAAACACCAAACATAAAAATTATACCATAGAATCGGATTCGAGGGGGGTTCGAGCTGTGAAGAAAGCGAGGGAGTGCACAAGTGCTCATTAACAATTACAAAGAGGCGATCAATGCAGTCGAGCGCAGTACATTTTTCCAATAAAACTATTTAAAATGCACATAAATTTTCACTCTTTGAGGGACCAGAAAGACAATGAAAATGCTTGAATGGAATCATCGGCATTCCCATCACAGTTACAGACACCCTGTAACCGAATTCCGCCATATAAAATGCATAATTCCCCCCATTCATCAGCTGTTTTTGGAAAGCCGAGCCACCGAGCGAGTGTGCTAATTTAATCAACAACCCAGAGTAAAATAACACTTTCAATGAACAACAATTGGCTTGTTTACGTGCGGATACGAATAACGTATCTCTCAGATAGAAAAACAAGCAGCCAACGAATTTGGTATTTTGTGCTGCGCTTGTTGTGACTTTTGTTTTTTAATTAATTATTGTCGGTTTCCGAAGCCCAGCAGCGGCGGATGCCATTAGAGTGGGTGTGGACAGGGGGGTCGACTAAGAGCGAGGAGGTCGAGCTCATAATCCATAAATTAAAATACCAGACACACAGTGAGAGAACGGAGAGCCGACTCTAATTGAAATTCATCGGGAGGAACTTCCGAAATACTTGGCATACTTTTAGGTGGACTCCAGAATTTCTTCAACATTTTCCCATTGACTTTCCTCGGGTTTTTCAGTTTTATTTCTAATTGAATTTACGTTAGCTCTCCGCCGATGACTCATCCGCCGATTTCCAGAGTCAAGCATGACAACAAATACCCCCAACTGCCAAGCGAAATTAGCGTGGAATAATCCACCCTTGGAGGTGGATCTCTTGTGTCTGTGGGCTTGACCTCCCGTACTTGGTCTTGCACAGAAATAAGTTGCCAAAGTAAACAAACGGCAGCTCCGCTATCCTCGCGGTGGGTCCATCTCCATCCTAATGGCCGGATGATGCGCTCCCCGAGCGAGGAACTTGCCTGCACTTTGCTCCCCGAGACAGACCCTCGTCTTGAACTCGTCCCATGCTGCGCAAAAAAATCTGCGCACAACCTGAGACCTGAGACGCAATAAGGAGACATGACCTGGCATGGCTCTGGGAATGAGGTTGCCATTCGAATAAATGGGAAATAGTTTTAGGAATTTTATTATAATTGTAAACCGAGCCAAAGGATAGAGAGATGCCCCAAAGCCACTATAAACTTTCCACTTTATTATCACCAACTGCTGTTCCTGACAGATGCCCTCTCGACTCTGCTCATTCATCATTTTTTCTCATCAGCTTCGGCTAATATTATTGAAGAATATTTAACGACATATTTAATTTCCTAACAGGCCGTTATTATGTCAGCCCCCCGATGACAAATCTCCAACGATCGGTGCGAGGAAAGGGTGTCGTCGCCACATGTGGCGAGCGAGCTAATTAAAGACCAGAGGCATCAAAAGCAAAGAACTCGTTCTGTTTACTCAGTAGCCCCGAAGAACAGACTCAGTGGATCGGCTCACTTCACCGGCTCGGAAGTCATTGGGGGGGAACCGAACACTGAAATTGGATTCAAAATCTAAACACTTCAGTCGGTTTCGCTAGTTCGATTACTGAAACCAGAGCAGCGAATCGCTTCCTAGTTGGAAAACTTGAAAACATATTGACAATTTCACAATGAGGCCAAGATAAAGCAAAACAGATGGGGCGGGGCTGCGCAGGCATGTTGCAACATGGAGCTTGACAACCAAAACGCTGATGAGTTCCTTTTGTTGCAGACCTTGACGCCGGCAATATGTCAAATGTCAACTGGCATTTGTGTCGATTCAGCGGAGATGCGACCAAAACTTGAAACAAAACCAATACCAGACACGCCGCAAATACCAGACATATCTCACATGTGTCGGAGTGGAAGAAACTGCCGCAAGTGTGTGCTGGAGTGAGGTTTTTCTTGTCATAAAGTGAAAGTCGCAATCATGCGTAATTGCCGCTCCATAAATGCGGAATAGTCTACTCGCACCATAAGATAAAACCGATCGATCAAGTGCGCCACGAGCCAGACAGGCGACAAAATCCCAATCCCATGGAGAAAAACCTACGCGGCAACTTGATGCGATGCGTGCAACGATTTGATCCCCTTACCTCCCCTCCTGGCAGTTTGTCTTTTAAATGCTACATCTTGCCGCCTGTCAATGGAATTTAACGCTGCTCCGTGTACAAATTGCCAAGTTTTTCCAATGACAGATCTAGCAATACCCTATCCATTAGGAAAAACGAAAATAACAAATGGTTTCCGTGTGTTTTGGGTTATAATTACAAAAGGCCAGTCAAGTTGATTGGCTAATTATTACCATAAACACACACAATCAATTAGAGTCGAGCCGCATGCACTTCATTCCATGCGTTTAACAAAACCCATAAATATGTTTTCAGACACACTTTTTGTTGGTGAACCTGTTTCCCCCGCCAGAGATATCTTTTCGGAGGTTCGACGTTGCCTAACGATGTCATTTGCCAGCCAATGAGATGATAACTCACCGCGGCGGCGGCCACCACACCAATTGCATGTCAAGAGCCTTGAAATGGTCAACAATAAAAAACGAAACATAAAAAGCAGAGTTATACCACTTGCATAACCATCAAACTGTCATAGTCAGCCAATAGCATAGTTTTCCCCTCTGAAAGGAAATGCATTTGTGTGAAAGCCTTCATCGATGGATGCAAAAGATTCATTATGCAGATATTGGAAAAGTAAAAGTAGTCAGATATGCATAACTAAAAGCTTGAGATGTTAACACATTCTAAAATAAAATATTATGGACCATAAAAGTTTAACAACTTAAATGTATTCAACATGGTAACAACTTCTGTATTTTATTCAAGACTCATCTGGTAATCATATTCAGCGAACTCAGTTCTAAACTGACTCAATGGCTAATCGGTTAAGTAACATTCTTGAAACTCCACACATCTTCATGAAGCTGGAAGCTCATCACGTGTCAGCCAAGTGACGAAGAGGCCATGTTATTCCATCGCCCCCGCAAACTTCCCAAGCTTCCCCCGATGATGACAATTAGCGCCCACCTGCGCGCTGCTGCGGGGATTTCTGATGAAATTCATCGATCGCGGGGCCGGTTATCTAAGCGGCAGACAGCCGCCAGGTCACATCACAACCTCGCCAATTACCAGATACTGGCCAGAAAGCGGGGGAAATCGCACATTTGTTTACGTGCGCACCGGCTCGCGGTTGGCAAGCCCCCAGGTGAGCTGAATGGGCTGGCGTGGCTGGCGAGTGGGTTGAGTGAACCGCAGAGATTCCGGACCGGACCGGATTCCGGCCAGCCAACCAACCAACCTAATCCAAGGCTGCTTCCTGACCTAGAGCAAGCTAGTTAATCATCATCGTATTATCATTTATTGATTAGCATTTGCAGTACAGAGGCATTTGAATAGATACGTATTTAGAAAACGTCACACAATTTTCGGCTTAAGACTAACATTCCTTCAAACGGGCGACTAAACACTCTGGCGTTCGCTTAGCTTTAACAAGGAGGAGTAAGATTCTTAGGCGCAGTCTCTGGACTGGTAGAACAGAATGTAGCCCGTCTCCGAGGACTTGTGAATGTCCGAGGTCAGGCCGTAGAAGTCCTCGATGGTGGAGGCCTCGATCTTGTCGACCATGTCGTCGTCGAAGAGCAGCCACAGCCCGTGGCTCTTCACGATGCTGATGTAGTGGCCACGATTAGGACCCGATCCGCAGTGGATAACCACGGCGGTAAGGTCGTAAAGCCGGTCCGGGTTCACGGCATCGTCGGAGGTGTTGAAGAGCCTCAGCTCCAGCGGGAACACCACTCGATGCGAGACTTTGATGTGGCGATTGAACTGCTCCATGTACTTGAACCTCTTCAGGTGCAGGGCCAGGATCATGGGCAACTTCTTGACCCGCATCCGCTTCTGGGCCTCCTGGTAGCTGCAGCAGTTGTCGCACTTGAACTTGTTGTCCGAGCACAAGGTCTCCGTGTTGCTGAAGCAGCGCAGACAGTGCGTGATCGAGGTGTTCTGGTCCACGTCCACTTGCAGGTCGAAGAAGTTCTCGTCCTTGCTGCTCACCGTCTCGCAGTTGAGGCACCGCGTCTCCGAGGTGAGTATGCCCTGGAAGATCTCGTGCACCCAGGTGGGCTCCGAGTTGGCACCGTTCGAGCCCGGGCCGGTGCCCGTCGTGATCGGCGTTGTTGTGGCCGTGAGACTTCCGCTGGCGTCCAGCACACTGGTGGTGGCGTTGAGGGAACCCGTCGAGTTGCTGCTGTTTCCGTTCGAGTTGGACGTGGAGTTGGTTGTGGAGGTGGAACTGGACTTGCTGGCCGTGCTGCTGGCCATGACGCCGCCCGACGCCCCCTTGCCGTTTCCGTTTCCTGCAACCGCATTCCGCTCCGCCAGTATTATCTCGTTGATGTGGTTGATCAGGAAGTTGAGGAACTCGTGGGCATCCTGCTGCATGTAGTTGTCGAACTCCTCCTTCTCCTTCCGCAGCCGCGTGATGAACTTCTTGGGCGCTATCGAGCCGACCTTCTTCTTCTGGGTGGCAATGCTGTAGAAGAGATCCGCCAGGCAGGAGAGCAGCGTCTCCTTGGGCCGCTTGTTCTTGGCCTTGTACTCGAGCACCTTCTCGCGGAAGGGCTTGCAGAAGTAGAGGGCCTGCAGCACCGAGTTGCTGTAGCAGGTGTTCCCGAAGTTCACCAGCCCGAAGTAGTGCTCGTTGGGCGGGAACAGATCGGAGCCGATCTCCCGCTCCAGCTGCGAGACGTTGGCGCCCATGCCTGCGCCACCAGGAGCTGCAGCGGCACACCGATACAGAAAGGACCACACCGTGGTTGCTGCTGTCTGGAGGAGGGCCGGAGGTGTCTTTTTTTTCGGAGGCTGTGTGTTTCGTCCTCGTTTGTCGGTTGGTCGTTTGGCGGATGGCCGGCTAGCCGGTTTGGCTCCTAGAGCTTGTGGTGCTGCATTTGGGATTGTATGTTCCCTATAGAGATTACTTTCGCTATTGGATTTGGTTTGAATGGGGCAGAGGCGCGAAACACTTATACTGTCTGAAAATAAATAATTTTGAAGAGGGGATACACGTGAGTTTGCTTCGCATAACACAAACAACAACAGAAATTAAAAATATTTTAATGTTTACTCTTTGCTTTCATTTTTAGTGTGATCTCTTTTCTTTATTCTTTAATATTTATTCTCTTTTCTTTTTTTTTTTGCTCTGAATATTTAAATTCTGATCTTGCGACACTAAAAACTAAGCAAATCTTTTTTTTTAAAACTAAAATGCATAAAAGGGAAAGCAAATGAAGCTACAAGGACTCGACTCTCATATCCCCTCTCTTGCAAAATTATTTTCAACACAAGTGTTTCGCATTCTTGATTTTAAATATTTGGTTTTAAATTTTGGTTGGTTAGTACACTGGGAAAAAGTTCAGATTCAAATCAAAAGTACAATTTTGTTAATCAATAAAAATATATTTAATATAAAATATTTCTTTTCTTAATATTTGGTATAAGATTAAGTCACTTATGGGGCAAAAATTTAGTCACTGACCTTATGAGGTCGTTGTTTCTTTGCAATATTTCCCAGCCTAACTGACCAAAGTCACGATGACCCGCCGAATTTCTCAGTTTCTGGTGTTCAAAGTCCGAAAAGATATATGCTAAATACCACTCGGGTGTAATACGAGCTCAGATATATGCAAACAATTGTTTGATGATTCAGTTCGAAGGCAGCTGGCTTTGATTTCATAAAAGCCGACCGCGCTTACACTTCGGGAGTGGATCGATGGCGTCTAATATCGGCGTCTAGTCGACGTCGACGGGATGACGTTGGGGTCTATATATAGTGTCAATTTTATTGGATACTCTGTAATTGGATAGATAGTTCGGTGATTTTTCTGTGAACCGATAAATGGCAACCAGGCGGGAAAATTCCGGACACTACGCAACCCTACGGACTGGGTAACCGGCGAGTGCCGGTCGTGTGCCATGGGCGATGCACCCGTTCCACGCTCGCCGAGAACAGAGTATAAAAGCCAGGCCAATCGCGGCAACGGGCTTACAGTTTTGAAAACCATTCAACAGAAGACACATCACCCAGACAACCGGAAAGGCAGCGAATAAAAGACGAGCCCCTCGCTATACTTTGGATTACCAGAAAGTTCTAGGCCCTTTTTGAGATAAAAACTCAGTTAACTACCAGGAAGCAACCTTCCTCTATCATCGCAGGAGCAGCAGCCGCGTTGGAGTATCCTATTTATCCCGTTCATTCAAGGACCATCAATGCCGGCAACGGATTTAAAACGGAACCAGTAAACAATCTATCAGCCAAAGTGCTGAAGATTCTAGCTTAAATAGTACTTAAGGATAACAGTTTAGAAAAGGGCTAATTAAATATCCCTAAAAATAAGTCTAAAATGTGTGGCTGTACCAACAACTCCCAATAATATTGTTCCTATATATTTAAGTAATCTGAAAACTGTTGTATAATCTCAAAAATTACTACCCCTCTGCGAAGATTAATGAAGCAGTGGTAATAAAAAATTTCAAGCTAAAACCTAGTTACTTGTTTTTAATTTGATTACGTGAAGATATTGATTTTGCCCCAGTTTCGAGGGGGTTTTCAGAATCGGTTTATATAACTTGGTCTTTAATGGATCAGATTTCACGTTTGTTTTGCAATACCCCTCCTATGACATAGTTCGTAGATTTATCTGACCCACTCACTATGCTAATCGCCGCACAGTTCCTAAGAATAGATCAATTATATTGGCATCGAGTAGCCTCGTGCGACGCATTGTTTCTACAGCGGCAGGAAAGTTTGAATTACATAATGAGAATGGAGGCGAATACCTGGAAAGGAGTCCACAGTCCACACAAATTTGGTTGCATAAATCGGAAACGCAACAATAGAGAAATCCCCGCGTAGAAGAAGTCCCGGAATATCTTGCAATTTCGTAACTCAATTAGTATAATTTGTAGGAAGTGCTATTAAAAGCACTAAACTACATTTCAAGTTGTATTTAGAACCCAACTTTAGATTCTATGTTAGTGGTAGATGACTTACTGACCTGCTCAATATTCTAATTAAGCCCAGGGGGTTGCGTAGGTATTTCGTTTCAAACGAGTTCTAACCAGAAAAGCATATATTGTAAGCCAGATTTATGAGAAGGAGAATCCATGTTCTAAGTAGTCATACCCACATTCTGCGGCTAGTTTGTTTGTTTTCATTACATCTTATGATGAATTGTTTAGTAACTATACGTCATCATAGCCACAAGCTATGACTCATGAGACGCGTGCCATCCGAGGGCGGGAGCTTACCAAGAAAAACTGCAATCAGAAGTGTCTTATTTATTAACTTATGCTAATGTATTCGCCAATATTACCAAATGAATCAGCCATGCGAACTGGTGTTTTACAAATGACATGACACTCGAGTCTTTAATACAGAACAAACCCAATTATTGACCCAATACTATTTTCAAATAGATTTTTCCCACAGAACCCACGCCCCTACTACAGCCGAGGATGATAAGCCCCGCCATTAAACCAGCTATGTGTCTAGCTGGGTAATTTTATGCATTTCTAACGAGCAGCGCCACGTCGATATAAAACTCACTACCCAGTGGAATTTCATAACAGAACACAACTGAAAATGCAAGCGATTGTGAGTATTATTGTCAACACCCTACCCCAAAGGATACTTAATAGTAATGCTTTCTTTTTTCATAGGTTTTATCGTGTCTAGTCTTTATTAGTGTGATTATTTTACTAAAGTGCTGTTGGAGCTCCGAAAACTTGGATTTACCAAACACGACGTTGTCTCCGCGGGAAACATGGCTACAGTATATAGGAGATGATCGAGTGAAATATTTTATCCCCAATACCATTCAGGATACAGACAGTGATAAACGCGAATTAAGAACTTCAAAGCTCCTGACTGTCTTGAAAGGATATCCTTTAAAAGATAAAAATCTGTCCAACCCAAAATCCAACCCCGATGATACCAATGAGGATTACACAACCACAGAACTTGCACCAGACCTAATTGGACCCCGTCTTAGTGCCACTTTATTAAAGATATTGGCTTAAGAGATTGTTTAAAATCCTATCCACTTATGAAACTAATCCAAATGTTTGCAACTTTCCAAAAGTATTATTTTCCAATAAATTATAATTTAAATACAACTATTCGTGTCGTTTAACAATATATCTAGTTTACACGCCAATATAAACCCGTTTTCTCAATCCGTTTTATTAAACATTAAAATTGGTAACTGATGCTGATATAAATCTTGAAGCACGCGAGTAAAAAGTTTAGTATCGAACTCAAGATGAAGCCAATAGTAAGTGTTACGAAATAACCAGAAAAAGTTATTAAATTTTTGCTAAAATCTAGATAATATTGTTATATGCAAGCATCACAATCTATGGATCTTGTGGCCGAAGGATTACAACCTCTGAGTTTCCAAATCCAACACCCATTTCCACAAACGAAGCAGATGCAGAGTATGGGGCTGAGAAAATGGATAATAATTCTTTAAAACCAACTGAAGACCCACAACTTGAAGAAACAACACCATTTCTCACGGCAGAAAGTAATGATTCTCCAAAAGATCAAGAATTATCAAAGAAAACTCAACCTAATGACTCCACACGAACCCCTCTATTAAATGGTCAAAATAATGATACTGATGTCAAGATTGATTGCCATTACTTCTTTGGAGAGCAATGTAGGTTCTATGACCCCCATCAGATAATGCTCAGTGCTCCTCTACTGAAAGTGCTTGCCCGGAGAAGTTCCTAACTTAAAAAGGTCATAAGCCTTACAAAGTGAAGAGAAATAATTAAAAGCTAGTTGATTTAGTTTAAATGTGCAGTGTACATATGTTAAAAAAAATGGCACATGTCAATAAAACCCGTTCCTTCTAACCTTTTATCTGAATCCATAATTAATGAATTACTAACTAGCATCGAGTTCAATATAAAATCAATCGCAACTACGATCGGATCTTAGTATCAGAGAAAAAATGAAGCTAACAGTAAGTGCAAAGATATGCAGGAAGGTTACAATTTTATTAAAAGAATTTTTCTCATTTTAGATTTTGATCCTCTTTCTGGGCTTCATAGCCTTTGTGAATGGAATCGAAAACGTTAATGGGAAATTACCAGAAGAACCATCAAAGAATTCTAAAGAAGAAATACCCACAGCAATAGTGCCAAGAAGAGACGACAAGAAATCTTCAAAGCAACTTCCAAAAGAAAGCTCCACAACTCCAAAAACAAATCAAGGAAAGGATGTTGGAAATGATTCTAAAGACGAGCCTGTTCCGGCAGCTATTGGACAAAGACTTAGTGCCACTCTGTTGATGACTTTAGTAAGAAAAGAGCCCCCACAAACGGTATAGATTACAAAATAAGACACCATATAGTGTTAACCAAAATATATAAAATAAAGTAAATAGAATTGCAGTTTACTTTGTTTTCTAATTGTCACAACCCGTTTTATGGCTGAATTAATTAATAAATATCATCGAGTTCTATATAAAAACTCACTGCTAAAGATTCTGGCTTCAGTGCTTTAGAGAACATGAAACTGATCGTGAGTCGAATAGAAAACCCGATGGCATTGTAATTAATATAGTTTATTATTGTATACAGATTGTTTTGTTGCTTCTTGGCTGGGTTTCCAATGCTCACTCGGTGGTCTTTGGCTTGAGGTTCCTCAATCCCTGGAGCAGTTCTGAGGAAAGCCAAGAACCATTGCCTGCACCGCCTCCAACACATCCTAGAAGATGTAGACCGATAGAGCGGGTGAGCTCGCCCAGGAACGACAAAGCTATTCGGTTCCCAGAAAATGAGGAACAAAGTACCACCGTTGGACCAGATGTGACATCTACGAGGTTTCTCGTTCCTTTACCCACATTAGCTCCCTCGACTACCACTACGACCACCCCAGAACCAGATATTGGACAGAAAACTGAAGATACTCCTTTCGCAGTAGATTGCGAACCCCGACCAATTGGAATTGTGGCGCGGATCACCTCTGCAGTTTTAAAAATATTTTAAACATTTTGAAATAAAAAATACATTTTCCAATTGAAACCATTTCTATTAGTCAATAAACTAGTTAATACTAGACCCGCTTTATTGAACTGACTCTATGAATCACTGAATAATGTCGAGTTCTATATAAAAGCCAGAGTCAACAGTTCCCACTTCAGTATCTTAGGAAAAATGCATCTGAGCGTAAGTAAACCGGATTTCTTGGCAACATAATATTAAATACTATCGCTATTTTTTAGAACGTTCTACTCTTTCTTGGCTGGGTTACAATTGTCAGCTCCCTGAGCCTAAGCCCGATAAATAGAAATGCAACAAGCTTGGAGAGTCTTGAGAAGGTTCCTGAAAAGCAACCATTAGAAGCTAAACTATGCAGCCCCATTGAGGTTGCAAGTTCTGAGAAAAACTCTACTTTGGATCTCAAGGAAGAAGGCTCTCAAAGAAAGGAAAAGGACAGTAAAGATCATGCCACATCTACACAAGCCAGTAAGGATAAGGTTACTACAGAAAGTCCTGACGATAAAAATCCCAGCACTGAGTGTGAACCGATTCCTTCGGGTATTGACACAAAACTAAGTGTTGCAGTTCTAAAGACACTCGCCACAAAAGCCCTGGGCTAATAATATTTATTTTCATAAAGTAACTTGTAATATACCCAGTTTGGCCAATAAAGGTTTGGAGGTTTTACCCTGAAGATTCCACAGATTTTTCCCAAAGCTCTTCGATGACACGGTAACCCCCCAAAGATGTATACAGTTCCAATAGTGGCAATTACTGCCAATCAGCAGTGACCGTTGCATCGTCGGGGGCAATTATTAAATCCGGTCAATAGCAATGGGAATAGTCATAGGAAACCCGTTTGGCTGACAGAACATCAACAAATACTCCTACCTATGGATCGGCTCTGTCTATATCTGTCCGAAGAATAAGTGGTGCGGAATAGCCAGGTCGAACCTCTCAGTTGCAATGCTATCGACCGGTTTAACTTGTTCCTCCGTAGTAGTAATAGATTTTTTGCAAAAAATCGCCACAGTAAATATATATCGTAATCGCATCAGGGATTTCATTCATTCACTGCAGCACAACAAATCGATATAGAATGATCAGATCCACGACGACGGTGAGAACTCAAAGGTGGCTGGCTACTCGAAAGGAAAAACTTGAAGTAAACAAACGAAATGTTTTATTTATTTTTCCAGTACCTCTGGCTGATACTATTGTTTAGTTTTTGGATCCAGCAAGGACAGCCCGTCACCCATGTCATCTACGAGTTTCAGTGAGTTTTTGAGAAATATTTATAATATAATAGATAATATTAATTAGTATTCTCCTAACGTAGCATTCGTGAGGCCGGCTCTGAAAGGGAAGAAAAGGGCGAACTGGAGAGCAATTCCACGGATTCTCGAGCGGAACCGGAACTAAAAATCACCGGAAAACGATATGGATCTTCGGTTATTCTTGGCAAAAATCCCGAAAAGGATAATAATTACATTTTTGTGGAAAACGCCACTTACTTTGCCGATGACAGTGGCTACCACGTGAAGTACAATTACACCATCGAACGTGTCCCCGACCTCGATTCACGGCTCAATGGACAAACTCTTAAAAGTACCATTGGTTAGACTGATTCAAGGGTCTAGTGTATATATTTTAAAATATTTATTAAACAAGGTTTTAGCCAAAGTGACAGAAAGTTGGGAAAGCAAGTTGCAAGCCAAGTGACAGTGCATTAGAGGAGGAAAGTTATGGCTTCCTGACTTGGCTTTGGCCCAAAAGAGCTACAGAGCCAAAATAATTTATGAACAAGTGTGAAATATATGTATTAGTGTTGCAATTGCGGTCAAAATAGTAGCAGCTACTTAATTAGGGTAATTGATTAAATACTAGAATATTACTAATATTAAAATAATTATTTTTGCTTCGATTTTAACCGCAAGAATCTCTTTATAAAAAAAAAGTATTTCCTTACCGTGTTTGAAGTTTCCTTAATGGGCTTTGTCTGGTAAGAATTCTGGCTGGTGATTTCTATTTAATTTCCGTAACAAAAATTTGGTAGAAATTCAACTCGAGTCTGGTCTGTAATCTGCAACGAGAGGAGGAGAAATGAGGGTAATCGTTAGATTTACGACAAAAACACACATTAAGTGGGAAAACAAACAAATTTTAATTGTGGACTACAGGATGATGACGATCACAGCTCATTAACCGAGGGCTTGTGGCAGGAGGCGGTGGGTAGTGCTACCTTGAGGGTCAAGTGCGACTGCGAGAAGATTACAAGCGTCGAGCACTCTCCATGAAAATGAGCATCAGAATTAGAATTAGAATTTTAGGTCAGTCGCGTAATTGAGCGGCTGAGCGAATTCACTGCATCGGTTAATGAAACTAATTAACCAATCAAGCCAAGCGCTCGTAGATGTATTCTGGAGATGCTTGGCGATGACGATAAGCCGCCGCTCAAGTCAAAAATCGACGCATCTCTCGATTCTCGCTCAGTTTCGTTTCGGCAATCATTCGGTGAACAGGTCACAGATCCCAGAATCTAAGCAGAACCCTCGAAAGTATGCAACTTAAATCCCTGCGACTCCTTCTGGGAGTCATCCTGCTCTGCTGCCTTGGACTATCAGACAGCGTGGCCCTGCATCCGCATCCTCTGACGGCCAACTACACCTTGGACATCCTGCGCCTGGCCAAGGCAGCCCACATCAAGGCCTACATGGGCGAGGCCGATCAAGAGGAGGCCTGCAACAACTTCTACAGCTTCGCCTGCGGCAACTGGCCCCGCCTGCATCCCGCTCGCATCTCCAACAAGCGGACCAACTACTTGGAGGAGCTCCAGGAGCTCTACATTCGCAAGAGCGCCGAAATGCTGAAGAGCCCCACCCGAGGAGCCGAGAACAGCGCCGATCGCCAGCTCAAGAACTTCTTCGGATCCTGCCGCCTGCACGCCAACGATACTCGATCCGCCCTGACGACCCTGCTTCAGGTGGCAGACTTCCGAGGCGGCTGGCCGGAGATCCGGGTGCCATCGTGGTACCAGTACGAGTACGACTGGCTGCAGGTGGTGGCCAACCTCAAGCGGCAGCTGGGAGTGGACATCTTCATTGGCCTGGACGTGATCCTGGACTACAAAGAGGAGCAGATGCATCGCCTTAAAATCGGAGCCCCGGACTTCCAGCTGGGCCAGCGGCGTCGCTACACGGATCCCTACTTTGCCGCCAATCGCGACATTTACGAAAAGAAAATATCCAACAAACTCCAGCAGTACTTCCCGGAGCAGTCAAAACGCTGGCTAGAGGAGGTGGCCGAGCAGGTGATGGACATCGAGCAGCAGCTAGCCAAGGGATTGCCCCACAATCCTGCTCTGACCCTGGAGCAAACTACTCGCCAGAGAACCGCCGCCGAGATGAACACCGCCTACGGCAGTTACGTGGACATCAATCGCTATCTGCAACTGATCTTCAACGAGAAGCTGTACATGGATCTGTACGAGACACCAGAAGATTACTTCTCCAATCTGGTGGAGGTGATTCGAGAGACGCCCAAACTGAAGCTGGCCAACTACACGATCTGGAGGGCTCTGGAGGCTATCGACTCCGCCCGAGTGCCAGCCACCCAGCAGACGGATATCTGGTGCGTCCAGCTGACCCAGCGCTACTTCCCGCAGCAGTTGGAGAGCCTATTCCACCGCAACTACAACCACATGCAGATGATCAACGAACTGCAGTCGACGTGGTCGGACATCAAGCGCGTCTTCCGGGAGGACCTGCAGGCCTCGGAGAATCTCCACTGGCTCACTCTCGAGACCCGCCAGAAGGCCATCTCCAAGCTGGAGGCCCTGAAGCTGCACTTCCGCACCCACGACGACCACAAGCTAGTACGCCAGATCCACGGTCTGAGTCTGCACGCTGAGAAGTTCTACCCGAATCTGGTAGCCGTCCTCCAGTGGCAAACTCAGCGACAGTTGGCCAAGCTGATGGAGGAACCAGTGGCCGAGGACGAAGTGCACAAGTTGCCTCATTACGAGATCCAGAAGAACAGGATCCAGGTGCCCATTACCTTCTTGCAGGCCAGGTTCTTCTGGGATCCGGCCTACCCCAGTGCCCTGAAGTACGCCACCTTGGGAGTACTCCTCGCTCGTCAAATGCTGCACGGATTCGATGACGTGGGCAGGCGGTACGACGCCTATGGTTACCAGAACAACTGGTGGGACAGCACCTCCGAGACGTCGTACTCGCGCCGCACCCAGTGCTTCCAGGAGCAGTACGCCATCTTCGTCCAGTACAAGGAGAAGCCGATTCAGGACAAGGAGCTCGTGCGACGCGTTGTGGCCGACAATGGCGCCCTGGACATTGCCTACCGGGCCTACCAGCAGTGGTTCAAGAACGCCGCCGACACTCCCATCATCTACCAGCACGAACGACTGCCTCTCCTGGATTACAGCCACAACCAGTTGTTCTACTTGGGATATGCCCAGCTGTACTGCTCGGACTATCCCGAGTCCGTGGAGCGCTTCGACGAGCTCCCAGAGTCTCTTCGGGTGAACACTGCTCTGTCCAACCAGCAGGCGTTCGCCAATGCCTACAGCTGCTCCCGCGAGGATAAGGTCTATGCCCGCTTCAAGTGTACGCTCTACTGAGGTGCTTCTTATATTCTCCCTCCATTATTTTAAATGTATTTCACAAGACTATCCAATAAAGGCGATTTATGGCACATATCTTAGGGAGTTCTTTCTTTTTCTACCACTGGGAGTTGGGGAATATTCTGGATTTCCTCAGAACTATGTATTTGTTTTGTCGAAATATATTTAATTTAAGAAACTAAACACAAACTTGGGGTCTTTGAAGACCAAACACTGGACGGAAATATGAAATTATTCCTTGTTTATATTATCTGGAAGGCCCAGCATAAACTATCCCACTTTATGGAACCCGCTTTTATATAAGATGAGATGGCAACTGAAAATAAACTTTTAAAGTGACTGGATCTGTTATGCCTTCCAATGTTCGAATCTCTTTACGCTGATCAGTTCCCTCTCTTTCCAGATAACCCCAGTGGCCTCTGGCCATATCAGCTGCTGTAGTTGCCTCTCTGTTTTCCGATCGCTACTGGGGCAGTCGATAGCTTCATCGAGCTCCGGCAGCATGTCGGATACTGGTTGGACGACAGTGTTCCTGTGGCTGCTAGTGGCGAGTGCTTCCAGCTATGGAGAGGATGCTCCCACAACATTCCAACGCATCTACCAAACGGAGCAGACCCTAAGACAATCCAAGTCCCATGAGATGCGCGGCTATATGAACCAGAACATCGATCCGTGCGTGGATTTCTATCACTTCGCCTGCGGCAACTGGAAGCACAAGTGGACGCCGCAGGAGAAACTGGAGCAGCAGGTGGAACGGGAACTGCTCCTGCTACTGGAGGACTCGGTCAAGCGAGAGGATAGCCCCATAGCCCGACAGGCCAAGGAGTTCTACAAGTCCTGCATTGCGGCCCAGGGCCAGCAGAGCCAACAGCAGCAGCAGTTCCTCAGCGACTTCATTCAGCAGAATGGGGGGTTCCCCGCCATTCCGGGCTCCCACTGGGAGGTGCATCACCACGACTACGATTGGCTGAGGATCGTTGGAGGACTGCGGCAGCGATACGGCATGGACATCCTGATTGGACTGCGCGTGGGCTACAACTACGCCAAAGTGCAAGAGAACAGCCTGTACCTGAGCGAGCCGAGCACTGTGATTCCACGGGATCTGTGCACCTGGAATCGGTCAGACATTCGGGACGCTGTCTATGAACCACTAGAACATCGGATAGCTGCGGAACTAAAGACCTGGCTGGCTCTGGGAAATGACCAATCCGCTCGCCTAGCTGCCGATCTTCTGAGTTTCGAGCACGAGCTGTGCGGCGGCATGCGGAACGACACCTCCGAACTCTGGGACGCAGAGTGGGAACTCTACCAGGCCAACTACACCCGCAACACGCTCTCCGCCTTCTCCCAACTGTATGGACTAAACCTGGACTCGTATGTGACGGCCAGCTACGGCCAGAGCATCGTGAAGCCAGTCTACATGGCCGCTCCGGAATACTTCCGGCAACTGCACCGGACAGTGGCCGCCCACAACATGAGCCTGGTGGCCAACTACATCATGTACAGAGCTGTGGCGGCTTTGAACTTCCCTCTCGAGGATCGACCACACTTGCGGAAGACGGAGTGTCTCAAACGAACCAAGGAGCTGCTACCCTCGGCCCTGGGAGAGCTCTACGCCCGTCAGTATAGCGCCGAGGAAACCAGACCGGATCTGGAGCAGCTCTACAAGGGATTGCAGGAAGCGCTGCGACAGAGCTTGAACGCAGCGTGGTTGACGGAGGGAACTCGCCGCATCGGTGATCACAAGCTCTTCGGCTTGAAACTGACACTGCCCAACTACGAGCGGGCACCGATCCTGAAGCTACAACTGGAGCGGGCCAACTACTGGAACAATCTCCGCCAGCTCTTGGGCGCTGTGCATTCCCAGCGATCGAGCCTGCTCTTCGAGGAAATGAACATCACTCCCTCTGATCCGGTGGAGGCTTTCGAGGCACGGGTGCGTCTCCGGACTGTGCAGAGACGAGTTGACATGGGATTGGCTTTGTTGCAACCTCCGGCCTATGACAGACATTACGGGCGCGCCCATGCCTATGCCACCTTGGGCTTCAAGTTGGCCCAGCAGCTGGTAATGGCTTTCGACGATCCGCACTGGTCAAAGGGTCTGCTGGAGCAGGACCATTGGGATGGCCACACCGTCTGGATGTATCACAACAAGACCGATTGCTTCATCCGCCAAGTGGACAGCTATCTGAGGGCCAATGCAAGTGCCGCCAGGCAGCTGATCACTGACAGTGCAGCGCTGAGCGTGGCCTTCAGAGCCTACCTGTTCTGGCTGAGGTTCAAGGAGCCCAACAACGACTTCAACATTCTGAACACGGAGACCCTGCCCGGACTGGATTTCTCAAACACGGGCCTCTTTTTCGTGGCCTTTGCCCAGGAGCTTTGCCGCCCCGAGCAAGAAAGCCCGGAGGAGGAGCAGACCATGCCGGAGGGCTTTCGGTATAGCGCCAAACAGAATCACACCTGGGAGCGATTGCGGGTGAATGGGCCCTTGAGGAATCTGGCGGAGTTTGCCAAAGAGTTCAGGTGTCCCATTGGATCACCAATGAATCCTGCCAACAAGTGCAGTACATATTAGAATCTACAGGCATGTTTTGTTAATAAAAGACTACTATATTTTAGTTAAAACAAGTGTCTTGAGTCATAGTTTTGAATCGGAAATGAATGTAAGACCCTCCCGTAGAGGTTAAGAACCTTTCCTGATAGAGGGATTACAACACCCGAGGCTTGATTCAAGAATAGCCTTGTCGCCAAGCCATTTTTCCGTTTCTCTGTTATTGTCAATGCCAAGTTCTTGGCCCGCGAGGCCAAGTTTGTTTACTTCTCTCTCCGGTGGGTGCGATAACCCACAGGGACTGGGAGCGAACTTGACCCAGTTCTCCCAGGTTCAAGCCCAGCTCCGAGAGAAGCCTCCGATCCGGCGCTTATCGTTCGCCAAATAGCGCGTTCAGTCTACACTTCACCGCCAAGATGAGAGCTAGCACAGACGCTTGGATGGCTCTGTTTCCGCTGGTGCTGGCATTTGCCGTCCCCCCCTCCGGAGTGCTCGGTGTCCAGCACAACATCCCGAATCGCACGCAAATGGGTGGTGTCGTGGCGGAACCTCGCGAGGAGCAGAACGCGCGACGTCTAATTGCCTCGGACATTCGCAAGTACATGAACCTGAGTGCCGATCCCTGTACGGATTTCTTCGAGTACGCCTGCGGGCAATGGGGGAGCTACCACAAGCAGGAGATGCGTTCCGGGGAACTGCTCACCGCCCAGCAGATGATGGAGCGCCGGATCTTGGATCTCCTGCAGCAGCTGCTCGCCCAGCCACTGCCCCCTCACCATCACCCCAACAGACACAACAAGCCGAACGTGGGCAACGTCCGCAAGGTGCGAGCCTTCTACGACTCCTGCATGTCCGCCGAAGGCAAGGACCAGGAGCGGCGTCAGTTTCTGATGAATGTTCTCAAGGACAACGGAGGACTGCGGACAATACCCAACTCCAACTGGCAGGCGAATCGACAGTTCGTGCAAACCCTCGCCGAACTCAGAAGAAACTACGGATTCGACATACTCTTGGGCCTGGAAGTCGACTTTAACGTGGAGCAGATGAAGGGAAATAGTATCTACTTTGGCTATCCCAAGCTGACCATTATTCCGGAGGAGTATTGCAGCTCTGTGGCCACGAGAGAAGCTCAGGTGAATGACACGATCAACGAGGAGGTGCAGCGACAGGTGGAGGAGAACATTATCGATTGGTTTAACATGGAGAGAGGAGAAGCCTCCAGGTTTGCCGGCGACATTGTGAGCTTCGAGTTCGAGCTCTGCAAAAGGATTCGGGAGGAGCAGATCCAAAAGCCGGACGAAGAACCCCCCGCACCCAATGGATATCCCATGTATGAAGTCCGCTCCCGCACGGGCCAGGACAGGTTGCATCGTCACAGGAGCGGAATGAGTCTGATTGAGCTCACCAGTGAAATGGGCAATCAGTTCGACTTCAAACTGTATGTCGAGCTACTCCTGGAGATGTCCTACACAGACGTGGTCTACCTAAGGTCCCCGGAATACGTGAAGCATATGGTTAGGACCATCAAGACCCACAACCGGCTCACAGTCGCGGGATACATCATGTACGTGGCTCTCAACGAACTCAACCAGCACCCGGACAGGGATCCTGTGCGTCGCGCCCGCCAGTGCGTCCATACCACGCAGCGTCTCTTTCCCCAGTTCATGGGGGAGATGTTTCAGCTGCAGGTGCAGCGGGATAATATCAAGCACGACCTGGACGAGATCTTCAAGAACGTGATCAAGGCATTGGAGGAGCAGTTGCATGTGGAATGGCTGGCCGACAACGACAGAAGGGCGGCCAGGACGAAACTATCCCAGTACCGTGTCCTGCTGCCGGACTACCAGAGTCTGGATCTCTCCAGGCTGGAGTTCCAGAAGAACGACAACTACTGGCGCCGCTTCGAGACGGTCCTGCGCTACCGATCCCGCCAGCAGTTCGAAAGTCTGAAGGGCAACGACTTTGGCAGGGAAATGGACGGCATGGTGGACGGCTTTGAGGTGCGAGCCGCCCTGGCTCCTCGAATGCAGTCTGTGGTGGTGGGCTGGGGTCTACTGCAGGCCCCCTACTACAGTTACTACTACCCCAAGGCCATGAAGTACGCTCTGGTGGGCCAGAGACTGGCCAGTGCTCTGGTCCAAGCCTTCGACGATGAGGGATGGAATCGCCAGCCGCAGGCCACATCCCAGTGGAGCGATCTGACCATGTCAGGCTACAGTAACGTCACCGAGTGCCAGAGGGCGCAGTACAGTAGCTATCTGTTCAACGAACCCTCCGAGTTCCGGAACACCACCCGACTGAGGGAGGTCTTGACCAACGGCAGTGGCCTTAATGTGGCTTTCAACGCCTACCTTGCCTGGCTGGAGCAGCAGGACCACAGGCTTCGCTGGATGATGGCCAAAGAAACGCTCCCCGATCTGAACTTCACCAACACCCAGCTGTTCTTCATCTACTTTGCACAGGCGCAGTGCTGGGCAAAGGACACGGCGGAACCTCTCCCGGAATCCATGCCGCTGATGCAGCACACGCCAGAGCGATGGGACGTCAATGGGCCGCTGAGCAACTCGGAGGAGTTTGGACGAGAATTCGGCTGTGCCCTGGGCACTCCCATGAACAGCGGAGACAAGTGTTTTCTTTATTGATGATAATGCTGATGCCGATGCTGAGGCTGATGCTAAGGCTGACTCGGCGGAAACAAAATACTTTTAAACTAAGTCAAGAGGAGCTTTGTTAATTGAAGGGGATGCCAGTAGTTCCCACTTTAAACTACAATAAACTAAGCCAACAGAAATCGTTTAAAATAAACCCACTAAAATGAGATCTAGCTGACACTTTCACTTTTTTTAAAGGGCCCCTCTTCGCACCATTCCCAGATGCTGGGAACTAGAAGAATGGATTTCTACAAACACTTCAGACTGGTCTGGGATTCAGGCACTCGAGCACGCATCGTTCGATTTAACAGATTCCGTGAGAGATATGGACACCACTACTCGTTAGGCGCATCCGTCGGAAGTGGGCAGCTACCTCGGCCTTGAACTTTCCATCGATTACCGTGCCATTATATGGTTGATGAGCTCAAGAGCTGCCATTTAGCTTAAAGCCAAGCTTACCTGCAAAGACAAAGGAATTGAAGAGTATTATTGTTAGTCGAATATGTAGATAAATTGATTTTAAAGCTATAAGTCTATAATGTATAGTTCTGGCTGACGACACCCACATGCAGATGTCCAATTGAACTTTATACTATATCCCCAATTTACTAAAGTAACCTTTGGTGATCCCAGTATTCTACAATTCTATAATTAATGAAATGCAATGCTAATTCAAGTTCCAGTCCAGCATCTCATTGATTCCAAATGGAACGGAAGTGCACCATGGCCATCCGTTGAAAAATATTCTTTAAGCCCGTCATGCGTATCATCCAATGCAGCTGTGCACAAAAATGGCAAGTAATTTTTCGTACAATGCGTCATGGGAGAAGCAAAATATAAAAAACCATAGCCATAATTAATGTGGCAAGTTTTGTAATCACTTAAGAGAAGAGAGAAAACAAAAACCTAATAAAAGAGCCGACATAAAGTACCACAAAAGTAATTTTCAATTCACATTCGAAGGAAAAAGATGCCATGGCCTGAGTATATCATTACGGCGGCCCCCACACAACAGACAACAGACAACAAATGGGAAAAATGTTCGCACAACCGCCATAAAGTGACGCGGAATTCCAGCCACCACTCGCCCCAGGCATCAGGCACCAGGCACCTTCCTTAAGTATCGCTAGCTTCCCCCACAATTATCAGACGATGGCGAGACATCGGCCATCAAATCGGCGACGTCGGCTTCGTTTGTTGCCAGCTAATCAGCAAAAAAAAAAAATAAATAATAGTACAAGTGAAATGCAAGAAACGGAAGCTTTGGAAAAGCCAATAACAATGATTGCCAGATAATCCATAAAAAGTAACTACGGAGTGGGAGGCCTATTCAAATGCCACAGTTCATCGTTCTCTTGATGAGGAATTTGAAAAACACCCACGACCAACTATCCAAAGGTGTAACAGCGGTTTTATTTCAGCTTCTACAGTGTCCCCAGAGCAGGTTTTAAGCAGCTTAACGTTGGTCTAACAGGGCCCTGGAATTTAAATGAAAATGTTCCAAAATAAACTGCACGCACGAGTCTATTTGATTAATCAACTTTACAAAGCCCCAATAAATCAAGCACTAGTCTTTAAACAAGACAAACGCCGGGCAAACGTCCCAAACGACCCAATTTCCAGCTCCCTATCTATCTAGATTCTTGATGTCTGCCTGTGGGTCGGGTCTTCGAGTGGCATTACCGATCTGTGCCAAGTGACTCTGGACTACTTTGTGGAGCGATTCAATATTTCATTCACACATTTTTAACCCAAATTTGAAAATGTCTTTGCATTAGTTGTAGGGAAACAATACAGAGTGGTTCTACATTCCAATTGATCTTGAATGTGGCCAACAGATAGAGCCAAGAGAGCAAACATACGGCTGGCTATGAATGGCCAGCAGGTGTGCCGGCCCGGCAGTGATGAGGAAATTCTTTTTTAGGCCAGAAAAATAAATGAAAAGTGTTGGCAGGGAGTAAGAGTGATAGTACAATAGACTCACTCTTGTGGATATGACAGGTTTTCTTTTTGGGATCTGGGCAGTACACCCTGCCTGATGCCCTGTTGGCCTGTTGGTATCTCATATATCACAGATCCGAGTGCAAACAGACTTTTGTAATTTAAAACTGTTTACGGAGCTTGTGGAGTGTTCATATCTCGACACACATTGCTTCAGAGTTATTATTATAATATTGTATATATGTATCTTGGCGGCAACTTCGTATGTGGGCGACGCCTCTCCGGATTGCCTGTCATATATGGCCTCCATTTATTCGCTGGCTGTGCACATACATATGGGTTATAAATACTTTACATGCGACTTTGGCCAAGCCATAAGTAATGAAATTTATTTCTCATTCAATTGAATTCTTGATCGCAGCAGGTATAGAGCTTGAGGTGCGCCCATATTTGGATTTGGCCAAAAACAATTTGTCATTAAGTCACCCAGTCATTACAAAGAGGTGTACCATGGGGGTTCTATAAGACTATTTCCAATTAACTTCCCATCGTATTAGCTTCGAAACTGCATACGTGGTTCAATTAAAGTAAGACACCAGGGTGTAGTTCCAGGGCGGTTTCTAAGGCCTTCCGAAAACCAATAAATAAACCCAAACCAATCTGCTTTCCTTGCAGAAAGCTATCCGGCTCCAGGGGGGCCGTCGCACGGAACAACCCTCTTCCGACCAGCTGGCAGCTGTTTCGTTTGAAAAAAAATGCCATTTCGGGAAGTATGGACTTTTGGAGAATGGGCCAGTGAGTCAGAACTGCACAAGTACGGGCAAAGGTAACGTTTCGAGGAAACGACATTGAAGGATACACCCCCAACCTCTGGTAGGTAGCACCCGCATCTATCTCCACCCCTTCACCCCTATTTGAGGAAAACAGCTGAGAGGCGGCGGAAAGAGAGCAGCATTGCGTTCTCTCGGAAAATCGATTTTTCAAAACAAACCCAAACTTGTGGCTGCCCCTGGCCACCAAGATTTGATGATGAAAGTATAGTTTACCTTTTCAAAAACACAAATATTTGCACATCCAAATAGCCAGTGGGAAATCCTATAGAATGACTGGGTATCCGTGAGATACTTTGCACACATAGGCCTTGTTCCAGCGATAAAGCGTAAACAATTGATAATTTCTTAAACAAAAACACAACACAGGGCCCTTGCGGCGGAAATAAGTGGTCAACGACTCAGTTAAACAAAAAATTGCCACACATATTCTGTAATAGAATATTATTTCGAAATTGCACTCCAAGACGACGCACTACTGGAAACGAAAAACACGACGTTGAGAGATTTTGGACATTGCGTTCAGTGGGTGTGGTGAGTTTCCCCGACGAGCTGGACGAGAACTACTCAGGACTTATCGATTCCCGAGTACAAGACTCTTCCAAAAGGCCAATCTTCAGCCTATATGGAGATTTTTTGTTTTTGTTAAAGCGGTTGGGCGATTTACGCGCTTATTACGGCGGAAAATATTAAATGAAAGCCAACCACATGGATACACTGCCGATTCCACGGGGGGATACACACGATAAGGCGATTCTCGGACCACGAGTCACACTCAGGCACAGAGCGAGCGAGCGAGCGAGCGAGCGTCGACCGTCGATGTGTGGCGCTGCTTTGTAACTCATTCTCGTTTGGGCGCTGACACTCGGGTACGGGCACGGGCCCGGTCCCGGAGCTCTCACTCCGCTCTGCTAGTTATGCTGGCGCAGCATAGACAACGGCAGAGGCAGAGCAACCTATAGCCAGCCCCCCCAGGCCATGTACAGACAGTGGGAAAACTCTTCCAGTTGCCAGCATTTGGCAATAAATGGGAAAATATTGTAATTTATTTTAATTTAAATGTTTTGGCAGTGGGGTTTGGATTTAAATTATAATATAATGGGTAGTGTGTCTTTAAAATTATAGACTTTAAATCAATTTTATTATAAATTACAAAATAATTTTACATTTTAGGTTTTCTGGCTAAAGTTTGTCTTGAAAATAAAACAATAAAAGCTAAACTTAAACTAAACATCAAAACTTATATTAGTTATAGGATTTTAAATAGTAATATTAAGGGGAATTGGATAAGGGTATTAACATACATTTTTTATGCCCCTATTCCCCCCAATCATGTCCGGTGAGAGAACGATATTCGGATAGTCTATAAGAGAGTCCATCCATATATGCAACTCACTGCCTCAAAACTGGATCACTGTGTTCGTGCTGATAGCCGATGGCTGCATGACACACAACGCTGCCCATGATTAGTGACTCGGCCCCCATGGCTAGCAGCTGTGAGCGTGCTGATAAGCGGATGGATGGGGGAAAAATCGAATCGTGCGCTCTCCGATCAATAACTGAAAAGTAAACAACCGAAAAAAGCCAAGCCATCGGTCACGCATGCTCCCAAGGAGCTCTAATGCCCCAATCGTGTTTGGCCCACTATTGGCAATTGAAGAACTGGTTTCTCGATGACATTTCCATGACGATCCGCATTCTATGCAGATTAGCTGCTCCACCCCGCCACAAGCAATGAGCAATTGTAGAACCCGTTCCGAGGTTAATGACATTACATTGCTGATGCAGTTACCGTATCAGCCATTACCTAACTAATGATCTAGCGGCGGCTTTTGCCCAACACGCAATGGCTAAGAATGCCAGCTGGATGTGGCAGGCAAGGCGCAACAAATGGGATTTAATTTTCACGGGGAGGCAACTTTCAATTATCAGCAAAAGAAAGAAAGTGTGCACAATTGAATTAACAAGACTCGGGAGGGAAAGGAAAAATAATCAAAATCTCAGATAGGCTTAGAGGAGAAAACTATCTTAGGCTTTGGTTTTCAAATATATTTGTAAGGAAATGCAAGGCCCATTAGAAAGCTGCATATCGATATTCATTCAAAGACTACCAATAGTAACTTCCTGGTTCACACCATCTGTTACTCCAGCCCTGACAGAAACCAACTCAACACACCTTAAAACCAAGTCACCGCTCTGAAAAACACTCTTTGAATTTTCCAATGCGCCGGCGCACTGCCAGCCAGGAAACTGAAGTGAAAAGAGAGTCGCAGAACCAGAGCATTATGAAAATGTGTTACAGCCATAAAGGTAAGGAATCTGCATATATAGCCTACGCCAAGTTTTGATGAATCATTTGGTTGGGTTAGGCATGCAACTGGGGTTGTACTGGGTGGGGAGTGGGAGTGGAAGCGAGAGCCGGGAACTGGGCTGTGGGTGGTTCGGGCGGGGGTTGAGTCATTGCCTGCCCAAAGGAATACATAATTGATGGCGAAGGACCAGACTGCGTGACTGCGACTAATGGCCACTGGCAGGGGCTTCTAAAGGTGGACACAAACCGAGCTTGAGTAAAGCCTATCTTAGATTCAATCAACCTTCACCGCTGATGACATGATATAAGAATTTATTACCAATTTAGAGCGGCAACTTCCGGAGTTACACAGACACAGATAAAAAGGTTCTTCAAGCTCGAACTCGGTGTGAGGGGTTACACGCCATTGAAATGCAAATGAGACCCATCTTTTCTTCCCTCGAGCGTACTGCAAGATAGGCAATCCCAATCTGGCGGATACGTTTCAGTGCCTCGAGACCCAAAAAGCTTGATTATGACGATATTTCCATAAACAAAGCGAAGCTTTTGTCAGCCTCAAGCTCGAATTACTGTTGATGTTTTGGGTTTTTGTTATTTTGTATTTCGATATGGTGATCCAAACGAGTTTAAGGAAAAAGACATCACCGATTTGTTAGTCACCGAAGTGCAGAGCTAATGTAGAACTCCTGCAGCGCACCTCGCTTGTGGTTAAGCGATAATTATCAAGTTAATAACTCCACACTAATTAGTCAGGTGGGCAGGACGGTGGAAGAAGTAAATGAAGTACGACCCTAGGTCGCATTACGATGTAGTCCAAACCTGAAAACGAAAGCGAAACGGTTTCAGGTAAAGGAAAACCCATCATGTGCACAGCAAGATCGAAACCATGAGTTTTTAATAGATTATTAAAAAACCATTGGGAATATTATGCTGGCATCCGACACTCTTAAAAGTGTAACCCTTTTATATTAACCTTTACATCTAAGATCATAGTACGATCTCGGGCTTTAATGAGTGCGATAAAATCCGATGAGAAACCCATTTGGAATGGGTCAGAAACTTGAGCTGAAAAGCAATCCAAATGCCAGTGAATGAGGTAAATTAAATCACAGCATCACAGCACCAGCACCAGCAACAGTGGCGGCAGCAACAACAACAAATCAACTTAATGACGACCACGATGGCTGGCAAGGCAACTTTTCCAACGGTTTATATCTGGCGATCGTGAGGTGCCAAGCTCCGAAAGCTGAAATGAATTTAAGTTGCTTTTTGCAGCCCAGCAGCAGCAGCAACAACAACAAAGCCTGGCTAAAAAAAAATCGATGAGTGCTCAATTAACTGTTATTTGCACATACTCACATATGTAGCAGCACCCACGTATTCGCCCCCGCGCACTCATCCACTCTCTCTCTCTTAAAACTAAAAACAAAAAAGATACGTTACGCACAAATTTAATTTACCTTTAGAAGCCGAATAGTAGTGCCTTTTGGCAATTGTCTCAACCAACTATTGGCGAATGCCACTCCCACTTGCACTTTTCCAATAGGGCGCAGGTGGTGGTGCGGGTGGTTTTCGTTGCCAAAAATTGCTCTTTTTTTCCCTGGATTTCTCTGGTGACTCGCGCTGTTTTGTTGTTGCAGCCAAACTCCACTACTGTTTAATATAATTTACTTTTTTGCCCGTACAATCGCAGTTATGTCAACGGCGTCTTCCTTTTTTGTTGTTGCAAAAATTTTCGTGTAAATTATGTACAATGGTGGTTGTTTTGTTCAGTTGCAGGTGGTCAAAACACTCGCGTTCGCTGGGTTTTCGTGGTTTCGATTGCACTGGGTGCCACACGCATAATTTGCGATCTGCAAATCGTCGTTTCGTTAGCAATTTGGCTATTTATTTTATTAAACACGGAGAAAACTTTCGACGTTTCTTGGTTTTCTTTTATACATTTGCCAGTGTGTGCACACACAGTCACAGGAAAAAATCGCTAACGTTACTCATTTAGGGTTGTTTTTTAATATTTTCAATATATTTGGATTTTTAAAAACTCCTGTTTCGCATAAATCAACCAATTTAATTAAATTTAATTGTAATAAAGTTTATTTTAATTTATAAATTCTGTTTTTTATCGAAACCTATCGATATTTTATGGATGAATGGCAACCCTATTGCAGACGCCGTATTCAAAGACCACCACTTTGTTTATTTTTGAGAAATGCTCAAAAAGTTAGTATTTATAGCTTTATTAATTAACTTTAAAGGTGAAGCATTTGCCGATGATGATGGCTTATGCGGCCTTGAACAAAAATCATGTGGGGAATCGGAATCTGTGGACAATAACCACGACGAATGTAAGAAACTTGATGCAGGTTGTTTAAATTTATTTTAGACATGGTTTTCGTTTTCAGTTTCTTTCAAAATTCGTCGACAGATCGAGAAAGCTGTTGCCAACTACAAACCCTGTAGTACCGATGACGAAGATTCCAAATGTGCCTGCCACGCTGCGGTAATCAAACACGACTTGGCGCCCTACAAGGCAACAGGTGTGACCCGGCAAATGATCGAAAAGGCAGCAGGATATGGAACAAAATACAAAATTTTTAATCACCGCCTTTATCGTGATGCAAACTGCATGTTTCCCTCCCGCTGTCAGGGCATAGAGCACTTTCTGCTGCCCTTGATAGCTAGCTTACCCAACATGGATCTGGTCATCAATACAAGGGACTATCCGCAACTAAATACCGCTTGGGGGAATAGTGGAAGGGGTCCAATATTTTCCTTTTCAAAGACCAGCGAGTACATGGATGTTATGTATCCGGCATGGACTTTCTGGGCCGGCGGGCCAGCCACCAAACTGCATCCCCGTGGCATTGGACGATGGGATCAGATGCGAGAGAAGCTGGAAAAACGGTCGGCAGCTATACCATGGTCCCAAAAGCGAGAGCTTGGCTTCTTTCGGGGGTCACGCACCTCCGACGAGAGGGACACTCTAATTCTTCTTTCCCGCCGAAGCCCTGGCATAGTTGAAGCACAGTACACCAAGAATCAGGGCTGGAAGTCACCAAAGGACACGTTAGACGCCCCACCCGCCGACGAGGTATCCTTCGAGGATCACTGCAAGTACAAATACCTTTTCAACTTCCGTGGTGTGGCTGCCAGTTTCCGACTGAAGCATCTGTTTCTGTGCAAGTCACTCGTTTTCCATGTGGGTGACGAGTGGCAGGAGTTCTTTTACGACCAGCTTAAGCCCTGGGTGCATTATGTTCCACTGAAGAGCTATCCCAGCCAACAGGATTACGAGAAGCTATTGGAGTTCTTTAGGAAGAACGACGATTTGGCCAAGGAAATAGCTGAGCGGGGATATGACTTCATCTGGAAACACCTGCGCATGAAGGACATTAAATGCTATTGGCGGAAGCTTCTCAAGGGATATGTGAAGCTACTGAACTACGAGGTGCAGCCAGAGGATCAACTTATGCATATTCCTTATGGCAAAGATGAACTATAATTTTAAGCATTAAGAATTTTCCATGGCAGCTATTTATTGAAAAACAAATTATCTAATTTAAGATATAAATTTAAGTCCCATTTGTTTTAAGACTCAGAATTCAGTAAACTTTTTTGGAAAAATATGTAAACAAAATTCAAAAATTGGAAATGGCTCCAATGAGGACAATAATCCGGGACATCCTGGTATTGTTTTGCATTCTTCAGGGCATTTCTGCGTTGAATAAATGTCCAGCTACTTCGCCATCTTCTAAATCCAACTGTAGGATAATATGATCTGATATTTGGACACCCCATTGATTTTTCTGACTTTCAGCTACCTTGGACCTTGTTCCTAACATTTTAGTAGCGCTGGCGGAGTATAAGCCATGCGAACCAGGTGATCCACTGTGCCTCTGCCATGCCGCCACCATTACCAAGGACTTAGAGCCTTATTCAGACAAAGGAATCTCTCAAGACATGATTTCGCAATCTAAACGGCAGGGTACTCTTTATAAGGTTATTCGTGGCCGGATCTTTCGCCAAGAGCATTGCTCCCATCCCTTGAGGTGTTCTAGTGTGGAAGATGTGCTCTTGGAAATAGCTGAAGACCTTCCGGATCTGGAATTCGTTCTCAATGTATGTGACTGGCCACAGGTTCCCGTTCTATCAGGACTAAGTGGCCCCGTTTTTTCGCATTCAACTACTGCGCTGCACCTGGACATAATGTGCCCGGCGTGGTCATTTTGGACCGTTTCCGGACCAAAACTACAGCACTATCCACATGGATTGGGTCGCTGGGATTGGATGCGCCAGCACTTGGCAGCCTCTGGTGCTAAGATTCTTTGGAAGACAAAGAAGCAGTTAGGTTTTTTTAGAGGTTCCAGATCTTCCCCAGACCGGGATAACGTGGTGATTCTTTCTAAGAGATATCCAAATTTGGTCGATGCCCAATACACGCTTAATGTAGCCGATAGGTTCACGTCTCACATTCTCACCTCGGATCCTGCGGAGGAGGTGCCTTTGGCGGAGCACTGCCATTTTAAGTATCTTTTTAGTATTCGCGGGGTGGCTGCCAGCTTTAGATTGAGGCACATCCTATTATGTCGGTCTCTTGTCCTTCATGTGGGTGACCAGTGGCAGGAGTTTTTCTATGCGCAACTAAAGCCTTGGGTACACTATGTTCCAGTGGCCAGCAACGCCTCTGTGGAGGATATAGCGGATCTATTGCGCTATTTGCACCAACACGATGACCTAGCGGAGGAAATCGCCGAAAGGGGTCACCAGTTTGTATGGACGCACCTGCGAATGGCTGATGTGCATTGTTATTGGAGTAAGCTGCTCCAGGAGTACGCCAAATTGCTAACGTACCAAGTGAAACTAGAGCCGGGGTTCTACGAGGTTTCAAACAAAAAAGCACTACAACTTTATGGCGCCTAAATTTAAATTTCCATTCAAACGAACAGTGTGACCCCTCTTTTTCAGCCAATGGCCATTCTTACGTCACTGATTAACAGCTGTTTGGAAAGAAGCGGTTGCACTTCTACTGTGTGGATTTCGTATCATGACAGCACAGCTGAATCCGTTCCGCAATGCCTTCCGGCTGCCGGCGAAACAGCGTATTAACTGGTTCCCTGGCCACATGACCAAGGGCATGCGACAAATTCAACAAAAACTCCGAAATGTAGACTGTATTGTGGAAATCCATGATGCACGAATTCCTCTGGCTGGCAGGAATTCCCATTTCTTTGACACGATCACAGGTAATAATGACCGCTGAAGAGGTACCCTTATACTGTTTTATTAATTCGTAGGAAGCGGAGTTAAGCCACATATCTTGGTTCTGAACAAGGTGGATCTTCTGGGACCGAAAAAACAAAAGAACATTCTTCAACAGCTTAGAAGGCAGCAGCCCGAGCTCAAGAGCATCCTGTTTACCAACTGTAAAGACCAGAGGAACCACGGCGTCCTAGACATCTTGCCATTGGCCACGCGCCTTGTAAACGAAAGCAGTCGCTTCAATCGGACCCAAACCAACGAAAATAATCTTATGATCATTGGAGTACCAAATGTGGGCAAGAGTTCCATTATCAATGTTCTGCGGAACGTCCATCTGAAAAAGAAGAGCGCTGCCCGCGTAGGTGCCGAAGCCGGCATCACCAGAGCTGTGGGTGAACGCATCAAAATACAGGAGAATCCACCGGTCTACATGATCGACACACCAGGCATCTTGCAGCCGTCAATCAAGGATGACGAAATGGGTATGAAGCTGGCCTTAGTGGGCTGCCTGCCGGATCACATTGTGGGCGAGGATCTTATAGCCGACTACCTCCTCTACTGGCTAAATACCCACAGAAGATACGCCTATGTCGAGAAGCTCCACCTATCCGGACCCAGTGATAATATAAGCGCGGTTCTAGCGGAGTATGCTCAGCGGGAGGAACTGTTCCATAAAGTCAAGCAATACGACGGTCGGGTAGAAGTGATGACAAATTTATTAGCAGCAGCGCGCAAATTTATACACTTCTTTCGCACCGGCCAGCTGGGAAGCATTAATCTGGACGAGCCCAGTGGTCTTAGTTGAAATTAGGAGCTAAAATTAAAAATTTTACAAAAGTCTTTTCACATGATCTTATCTATTGGTTTTCCGCCATGGGTACGTCTATTGCAATGTGTCCAACTCCCGGCACGGGAATGGAGTAAGACACTCCCACGTTGCCGTGATCTGGGTCGTCGGATATTTGCGGAGCCTGATGGTCCACCGCCATAGGCAACTGACTAGCCATTGACGTCGAGGGCTCTACGTCGGGATGAGTTTCCATGGGCGCGCTACTGAGGTGAGAATATGCCGTGCGTGAGGCCGTTAAACGTAGCTCCTCGGGAATACCTTTCATCCGCTGGGCAATGTGCTTATTATAGGGCGCCATCTTTTGGTAGTAGGCTATCAGCATCTGAGGGTCCTTCTCAGAGACCTGGCCACTGGGTACCAAGTCGAACTCGTCGCAAAACTGCCACCGAACCAAATACTTAATCTCTCCGGTGACGTCGGTGGCTCCTACAATCTCAGCCAGATCTAGGCCGCGCTCGTAGCCGCGCGGCTTCTGTATCTCCTCGCATTTGGGTTTCTTCTCACCCCGTTTCTTCGACTTGGCGCGAGATTCTTCAAATCGTTGGATCAGCGTGGGGCAGTCGCAGTTTTCCTCCGGCTCCCACGTATTGTCCGTCGACGGGTAGCCCCGCCACTTGATGAAGTACTCTACTTTGCCTTCGCTAGTGATGCGCTTATCGATTATGCGCTCCACCACGAAATTAGGCTCATTTTTAACCATTTTTCACAGTTTTTGTATGTTTCTCAGCGTTGTTTACAATTTTCCAATGTATACTTGTTTGGTCTAACCAGTGTGTACACAAAAATTACGCGACGCAGGCAACAATCGATAACATTGTGTGTGGCCAGATGCTCATTTCTCCTGAAGCTTTTTTTTCTGCTCGAACTTGGCAACTCTGGCCCAAGTCTTTTCCTTTTCGTGGGCTCGGTAATTCGAATCGTGTGTCTAATTGGTGAAGGTAGTGGACAAGTTTAATCATGGAGAATGTCGAAGACTGGTCCAAATGGAATCCAATGGCTGCGGATTTTTACGATGAGGCGGTGAACAGCTACGTAAATGCTGATGGGCCAAACCTTGTTGACGAGGCACATGTTCCTCCACTTGGCGAGAAGAAGGAAGAAAAGCCTATTAATCTGAAAAAATACCCGAGTTTGGCTATTGCGAAGGACACGAATTTAGTAACCGAGCGTACACTTAAGATGTTCTTAGGCGAACATTTAATTTTCCATATAGATTATCGAAAAAACTCGGGTGTCTTTAAGGTCTACTTCAAACATATTGGGTAAGAAATCTGGCCTCCCCAAAGGGCTACTCTAAATCATATTAAAAACCAAAATATATATATGTGAAGAGTTTCTAATTCTGTATAACCTTAAAATGTTTCAGCGCCTTCGAGACGGCTCGCCTAAAGCTTGACGGTTGTAAAACGTTCACCGTTCTTAATGGTCGCAGAAATTTCCAGCCAGAATTCTCAATTCCGTCTGGTGCTTCAACTTCACCTAAAGAATGGCCAAGTCCAGCGCCGTTTAAATCGCTATTGGACCGCTCGAGTGTGGATCTTGAATCCCGAACATATCCGATTTCAGAGAAGTTGAACGATCATCCGCAGTTCACACGCGCTCCCCTGGTCATCAAAGCCGACTATGCTAAGGGATCTCTGTTGGCCAAGAATGATGCTAGTCGGCGATACTTGAACGTTAAATACGAATTTGTTTTGGAACGATATAATGCTTATATCCTTGCATATGAATCAAAGCAAATAAACACGATGGTGAAGGCTCAGTCTGGAAGAGCCTTTCTCTAGTAAGTTTTATAAAATTTCAGGGAGTAATCAAGTTGTATACAGCTTCAATTGTATAATATTAATCTATATATGTCTTACATATGTATATATATGTATAAGCTCCAACATAACTCACTCATACCATACCACTCGCCTCATTTTATAAACAAAATATCTGAGGCTTACAATCTGAGATGCTCTCTGCTCAAATTACATTTCCTCTATAAAGCAATTCTTTTTACATCTTTTTTTTTATTTCTAGTCCCAAAAAATCGATGTTAGTTGAAAATAATTTTATAATCAAAAATGACGAAAACAACAACGAGGATCTGAGCAAATGGAACATCAAAATGTGCATCGCTTGCCATGGCTTCACCAAGACCGCTTGCAAGATCTGCGCAATGCCATTTTGCAATGCAGAGTGTCTAAGGGCAGTCAAGGACAAGCACGAGGAATTCTGTGCCGCAAAGGACAAGCACGAGGAGTTGTGTGACCCAAAGACTCCTTTTCCAGTTGGTGAGAAAGTTCCAAGTACTGCTTGTCCCAATCCTGGGTTGCCGCCTACAAAAGGAACAGTCAGGATTACTGCCTTTGAACAGACCAATGTGGTCTATGTGATTTCGACTGAACGCGATGTGGAGATGGCTTATTTTTCTGTACTCCAGGAGGTCACCTCGAAGAGTAAAAACGCTGTCAAGCTTCAGACGGTGCCACAATGTGGACAGATTGTAATCTACAAATCTGAGTCTCAAACAATTCGAGCCGTGGTTTTAAATGTAGAGGACCCTAAAGAGATCTATGTGGTTTGCATGGACTACGGCAATGTTGATATCGCAAAACTAGAAGATCTGTACGAGTGCTCGGACTATTTGGCTGGCCTCGCTGTCTATCCAGTTGCTGTTCAGTTACGGGGCGTCCCAAGGCGTTTCATGAATCCCAATGTACGGGAACTTCTCTACGAGCTTTGCATCAGCACCACCTATAAAATAAGGTACTCCAAGCGGGAATATAACTATAAGAAGGGTCTACAAATTGTTCAGCTAGTTGAAAGCGAGTTCCATCGAAACCTAAATCGTTACATCAAAAACATGATTACTCCCGTGGAGCCTTCGATGTCTGGAAAGGGATTCAAAGAGGATGTAAGCAACATATTAGAATCTTAATTTGATAAAAATTAATAATCCCATTCTGGACAGTATTTTTCGCATATTTACTTGCCTACCGGCAAAAAGATCCAACTGGTTGTCATGGATAACACTTTTGTTAAGTATGGCCTGATCTATTGCACCGTCTTGGATCTGGCATACGAAGTCACCAAAATGCAGAGGGACCTGCAGGATTACGGCGAAAACATTGCCAAATGTGAATCATTTGCACCACCGTAAGGATATCCAAAATCATGATAGAAAACAGTTTTAAAAATATGTGTTCTATTTCAGTAAAGGCGAGGTGTGTGTAGCCAAATATAAGGAAAATTGGTGTCGTGGTATGACGCAGGAACTTGTGGGGGATGGCTATCCAAGCATCTTGTTCCTGGATTACGGCAATATTCGGCCGGTTCACATTAGCGAAATACGTCCATACCCAGCAGAGTTTAAATTTCCCATTGTGACCTCAGAACTGGAGCTGATTGGCAAGTTTTCGACTCTTAACTAAAGTCTTGAGTATCTTAATTATTTTGTTTAATCCTATAGGTTTTCCTGAAGAAGTTACCGATGAACAGGCTGCACGTTTAGAGGATTATTTCGGCGTGGGAACTTTGGTGAACTGCGATGAAGTTATTAAAAACGAGGGCGCAAACAATTATAGTGTCCGTTTTGATATACTTAACCGTATATTAAATATCTAAATACATTAAATAACTATATTAAGTATATCATTCTTCTTAAAAATCCTTCTTAATTTACATATTTAACTAAACACCTAAAGCCTATACAGTAATACCAGTAATATTATATAAATAATATTAATTAATGCCTTGTATTCAGTGAAAATATATTTTATTTCGTTCTAATTATTTTCTAGTTGAGTTTTTTTTTCATAAACATAAATTGAAGGCTTTCCAAGTCATGAAAGGGACACACTTCCTTTAAAAAAAATACATTTATATAAATATTTTAGAAAAATAACAAAACAAAAGTTACCTTAACTTCTTCGCCAAATGGAGGCTGCATTCTTATCCAACTTGGCAAAACCTTCAACCAAAAATCTCAAATAAAATGATTAAAATAATACTATATGTATACTTACATCCTTATTATCACAGAACCCATTTGTTTTTTCTCCAACATGATTTTCAATGTCATCTAGAAAGTGTCCACTCTTTTCGTTTCCGAAAAATTGTTGCTCCTCCGGACAACCGCCCGCGGTGATCAGGGTATATATATTAGTGTCTATTATGTTTGTATTCAAAAGATTGATTACTAATGATCTTGCATTATGGTTGTAGATAATAAGGTATCTGCAGTGAAGATCTCGTATCTTTTGCAGCTGGCTGGTCAGAATCAAGGCCACCATGGCTGATTCCTCCGCTGTTGAGTTGAAGACGGCTACTTGGTCTTGATCTTCTATTTCTACATGTGCAATATCCCAGCTTTGGCAGTAGCCCTTGAATAGTCGCAAGCAATCTGGATTGTTCGCCACAATACAGCACTTTTGGCCCCGCTCCACCACTAAGTCATCCAGCATTACGTGGACAAACTCGAACTTGGAGGAGTCATAGATTCCCATTTCTGGCCAAGGAGGCAAGTGGGGCTGAAGTAGTTGCATTAAGTGCAAGCTGTTGCTTTGATTTACTCGGGATTTAAGAAGCACTGGATGATCACAAACGTCCAAGGCAGAATCCATCAAAACGGAAGGGTCCTAAAAGAATAGAAATACTACAATAAATTAAATAATATATACCTTACTACTTACCAATTCAGAATTCCCACAAATCTGTTTAAAAAGTGATAAAGTTGTCTTTTGTAATTCAGATGGAGACACCAAACAGATATACTCGGTTTGGGTTGACTTGGCAAGGGGTGGATTCGAAAGACTCTCCTGCTTTTCAGGACTTTCCAGGCGCATTTTCTTCTTTAAAACGTGTGATCTAAATGGCAAAGGACTCTCGGCCGGTGGCGGATCATCCATGTAACCATTTTTGGCATCTATTTTTTGGCACCACGACGCAATTTCCAATTTCCGCTGGGCGACGCACTCTTCGACTGTCTTTATTTCCTCCTGAACCTCCACATCCTTGCTGCCGATTTGCAGTTGGTCGTTCTCTTTAACCTGCCGCTGCTTAAAGCAATTCATGCTGTCGATAGTCCTGCCCGTCTCATCTTTTAAAGTCATCTTTCCTGCACTGATCACAAGAGTTCCATTTCCAGTCCATGTCTTGTGCTTTTTTGTTGTTTGATTCCGCCAGAGTATATGAAAGATCCGACTCTCCTTTAGTGGATTCTCCCCGGGCTTCAGTTCCCTTGGACCCAACTGTTCCGATCCTTTGGCGGTTCCCCACTCCATGGGCGGACTGTTGGATGGCCAGGAGCACGAGGGACTCGTCTCTGGCTCTGGAGTCTTGGGTACATTAAGTGGCTCACTGCCCCACTTTTCTGATCGGCGAACGGAAGGAGCCTTTGAGCGCCGCATTGTTTGTACACAAATTATTTGTTTATTATTTTAGTTTAATGGTAAACAAAGCAGAAAAGTGGGCGCTATTCTTTCGAAGGCAATGCAAAGTGGGGCCAAGTGTTGAAAATTATTTGTTAGATTGCTTTTTGAAGGAAAAACGTCAACAACATTCATAAATTTATATAAACACATTCAATTTTATTTTAGTTATTAATTTAATAAATTTAATATTTAAAAAAAAACCTTTTCTTTAAAATTAAGACGATTTATCTAAACATAATAATGAAATGCATTGAAGGATTTCATCAAGCACCTAGAACGGTCACACTAGCATGCTGCAAGCCGGTGTTTGGACGATTTCATTAAAATAGTTCCAATAGCGAGAGATTTGTGAATCCCCTGGACCACCATATCGCCGAAATGGCGTTCCATTGGTGCGATAACAATCTACACACCACCGTGTTCACGCCGCGCGACTTCCAGGTGGAGTTGTTGGCTTCCGCCTTTGAGCGAAACACCATAATATGCTTGGGCCATCGGAGCTCCAAGGAGTTCATCGCCCTTAAGCTGCTCCAGGAGCTTTCCCGCCGGGCCCGATGTCGCGGGAAGGTCAGCGTATATTTAAGCACCCAGGTTGGTCGCGACAAGGAGCCTTCTTCCATTTACACCATGCTTTCCCATCTGACCGATCTGCAAGTGTGGCAAGAGCAACCGGATATGCAGGTGCCCTTCTGCCATTGCTGGACCGACTACAATGTATCTATCCTACGGCCCGAGGGGTTTATAGAACTTCTGGAGACACGCGAACTGCTTTTAAAGAGCGTAGAACTGATTGTGTTGGAGGATTGCCACGACAGTGAAGTGTATCGCAGGTTACTGCCCCTCTTTGAGGACCATATTCTTCCGGCAGCTCCTGTAGACCGACCCCGTATCCTTGGCCTAGCTGGACCATTGCATAGTGCCGAATGTGAGCTGCAAGAACTGAGTGCCATGCTGGCCACTCTCGAAAGGAATATTCTCTGTCGAATTGAGACGGCCAGTGATATTGTTACAGTGCTGCGGTACTGCTCCAGACCTCACGAATACATTGTTCAGTGTGCCCCCTACGAAATGGACGACTTGTCGCTAGTCTTGGCCGACGTCCTGAACACCCACAAAGCGTTTTTGATAGACCATCGTTATGACCCATTTGAGATCTACGGCACGGACCAATTCATGGAGGACCTAAAAGGTTATAGAGATTAGAGAATTTATTCATATTAACTAATACAATATCTTCTTACAGACATTCCGGATCCCAAACTGGACCCCTTAAACGTCATTAATTCACTGCTGGCTGTGCTGCACGAGATGGGTCCGTGGTGCACCCAAAGAGCTGCCCAGCATTTTTACCAGACCAACGAAAAGCTGAAGGTGAAGACGCCCCACGAGCGTCACTTCCTGCTCTACTGTCTGGTGAGCACAGCGCTAACCCAGCTCCATGCTCTCTGCGATCACACGTTCCAACGGCAACAGGCAGCCGGAGAGGATCCCCGTCATATAGTCGAGCGCTACTCCAGTCCCAAGGTTCGGAGGCTACTGCAAACTCTGCGCTGCTTTAAACCGGAGGAAAATCTCACTCAAGTGGACGGAATACGAAAAATGCGCCATCAGGTGGAGCAGACCGATTTCGGGCGTCTATCACAAGCTCTCGAAAACAAATGCCGGTTAGTAGATCAGATGGAGCAGCCGCCCAACGAAACAAAAGCCCTGGTGGCCAATCTGGAACACATTCTCCACTTATCAGACCACAAGAAACCAATAAAAACCAACTTTCACTCGACTACTAATGCTCCGAGCCAAGGAAAAAGCAAACCCACCGGAACAGGGACTCAACCTCGAACTCGAAGACGCATTTATACGAGGAGGCATCACCGCGACCAGAACGACGGGAGCGACACGCTCTGCGCCTTAATTTATTGCAATCAAAATCACACTGCTCGGGTGCTCTTCGAGCTTCTGGCGGAAATGAGCCGGCGTGACCCCAGTCTCAAGTTCCTGCGCTGCCAGTATACCACGGATCGCGTGGCCGACCCCGCCACAGAGCCCAAGGAGGCAGAACTGGAGCACCGGCGGCAGGAGGAAGTGCTCAAACGCTTCCGAATGCACGACTGCAATGTTCTCATTGGAACCTCGATCCTGGAGGAGGGCATCGATGTGCCCAAGTGCAATCTGGTGGTGCGTTGGGATCCGCCCACCACCTATCGCAGCTACGTGCAGTGCAAGGGCCGTGCTCGAGCTGCTCCCGCTTACCATGTCATATTGGTGGCACCCAGTTTCGAAAGCCCAGGCGTAGATTCTGTGAAGCTAAGCGACGACAGTCACCGCTTTATCTGTGGCGCTCCAGCAGCAGGAGAAGCTCAAGAAGCGGAGAGTGATTCGGACGATTCGGCAATACCACATTCGCTCGGATCCGATCCCTACACCTTTGGGACGGCTCGGGGTACGGTGAAGATTCTGAACCCTGAGGTTCTTAGCAATCAGCCGCCCACAGCGTGCGATATTAAGTTGCAGGAAATCCAGGATGACCCTGCCGTCCAGATGGACACCAGCAATTCCAGCGACGAGGCTGTCAGCCTTAGCAACACCACCACCAGTGAAAGTAGCGTAGAACGCAAACCCAGACGCTTTAAATGCGAACTGAGTACTCCATCCGAGTCTGAGGCTGTTAGTCCTTCAACCCCCTTTGAAAAAGGTTGCGTTGATGGACTCACGAGGACAACAACAAAACTGGTGCACCAGATGGCTCAGTATCGGGAAATCGAGCAAATGCTCCTGTCCAAGTGCGCCAACACGGAACCATCGGAGCAGGAACAACGTGATGCGGAACGCTTCAGTGCTTGCCTGGCGGCCTATCGACCCAGGCCTCAGCTGCTAACCGGGGCTTCTGTGGATCTTGGGTCGGCCATAGCCCTGATCAACAAGTACTGTGCTCGCCTGCCCAGCGACACCTTCACGAAGCTGACAGCACTGTGGCGCTGTACAAGGATCGAACGGGCCGGAAAGACGCTATATCAGTACACCTTGCGACTGCCCATCAATTCCCCACTGAAACATGACATTGTGGTAGGTGGAAGTCGGGTTGTGGCTTTACTTTACTAGACTAGACTCGTCTATTTCACATATTTGTTGTATTTTTAGGGTCTTCCGATGCCCACTCAAACTTTGGCGAGGCGACTGGCTGCCCTACAAGCCTGCGTGGAGCTTCATAGAATTGGCGAACTGGATGACCAGCTGCAGCCAATTGGCAAGGAGGGCTTCCGTGCCCTAGAGGCTGACTGGGAGTGCTTCGATTTGGAGCCTGAGGACGAACAGATTGTCCAGATGAGCGACGAACCTCGACCTGGTACGACGAAGAGAAGACAGTACTACTACAAACGAATAGCGTCCGAGTTCTGTGACTGCCGTCCAGTGGCCGGGGCGGCCTGCTACCTTTATTTCATCCAGCTAACCCTGCAATGCCCCATTCCCGAAGAGCAAAATACTCGTGGTCGGAAAATCTATCCACCCGAGGATGCTCAGCAGGGATTCGGGATCCTTACCACCAAACGAATTCCAAAACTGAGCGCCTTCTCGATCTTCACCCGGTCTGGGGAAGTAAAGGTTTCCCTCGAACTGGCCAAGGAGCAAGTGGTGCTGACCAGCGAGCAGATCGGGTGCATTAACGGATTTTTAAACTACACCTTCACCAATGTACTTCGCCTGCAAAAGTTTCTAATGCTCTTTGATCCCGATTCTACTGAGAACTGCGTCTTTATTGTGCCGACGGTGAAAATGGCAGCGGGTGGGAAGATGATCGACTGGAAGTTTCTGGACCTGATCCAGGCTAATGGAAACACCATGCCGCGAGAGGTGCCCGACGAGGAGCGATTGGCGAAACCGTTCGATGGCCAGCGCTTCCAGGACGCCGTTGTTATGCCTTGGTATCGCAACCAGGATCAGCCCCAATACTTCTATGTCGCCGAGATCTGCCCACACCTGTCACCGCTCAGCTGCTTCCCTGGCGAGCAGTATCGCACGTTTAAGCATTACTACTATGCCAAGTACGGGCTAAACATCCAAAATGCCTCGCAACCTTTGCTGGACGTCGACCACACGAGTGCCCGCCTGAATTTTTTGACTCCGCGGTACGTGAATCGCAAAGGCGTGGCCCTGCCCACCAGTTCGGAGGAGACGAAACGGGCCAAACGAGAAAATCTCGAACAGAAACAGATCCTTGTACCCGAGCTGTGTACAGTGCACCCATTTCCCGCTTCGCTGTGGCGCACAGCCGTGTGCCTGCCCTGCATCCTGTACCGCATCAATGGCCTCCTTCTGGCCGACGACATTCGAAAGCAGGTCTCTGCGGATCTGGGACTGGGAAAGCAACAAATCGAAGACGAAGGTTTCCAGTGGCCCATGCTGGACTTTGGTTGGAGTCTGTCCGAGGTTTTGAAGAAATCTCGCGAGTCCAAGCAAAGAGATGTGGGAAAGGATGTGGAAGCGAACAGTAAAGACGCTAAAGAAGGCCAGGAGGACTCTAAGAAAAAGGACACCGTTGTGGAGGCGGAATCAAACGCGGATAAGGTAGAGAAGAGTGCCAACGAACTTATAATCGAAGGGGAGCAGAAGCTTCAGGAGGCGGACGACTTTATTGAAATTGGCACTTGGTCGAATGACATGGCAGATGACATAGCCAGTTTCAACAACGAGGATGATGAGGAGGACGAGTCCTACCTGCCAGTTCTGCCGGCCAACGTCAAGTTCTGTAAGATTTTTAAAAATTATTTAGGAAACTGAATTTAAAGAAAATGTTATTTTTTAGGCGACCAGCAGACCCGCTATGGATCGCCCACGTTCTGGGATGTGAGCAATAGTGAGGGAGGCTTCAAGCAACCAAAACGCACCCAACCCCAACCGACTGGTAATGCGAAAGCCAAGGGTTCTGTAAAGCCCACCTATAGCTACTACGACTCGGACAACTCGCTTGGCTCCAGTTATGATGACGACGACCAGGTCGGACCTCTCAACTACATGCACCACAATTACAGCACGGACGATGACGATGTGGAGGATGAAATTGATGCGGGCCGCATTGCTTTTACTTCGAAGAACGAGGCGGAGACCATCGAGACGGCCCAGGAGGTGGAAAAACGCCAGAAGCAACTCTCCATTATCCAGGCCACGAACGCCAATGAGCGGCAGTACCAAGAAACCAAGAACCTGCTAATCGGCTTCAATTTCGAGCAGGAGCTGCAAGAAAGCTTACAGGTGTCCAGCGGTGATTATGAGCAGTCGATATCAAGGCTCCAGGAGGAGATCAGAAGCTGCGGCATGCTGGTGCCTCACAACGAGGAGTTAATCCTCAAGCGGCAGGACTCCGTAGAAGCCCAGCATGGTAAAGATTCAATGCTGGAGTTGCTGAAGCACTTACTTCCATATGTGGAGGAGGCTCAACTAGCAGATAAGCTAGTCAACAGAAAGCAGCTGCAGCTGGCGGATCTGGTGGAGCTCAATGCTGATTGGGTGGCCAAAAATGGGGGAGAGGTCTACCAGGTTCTCGGCTGTGGGGATAGTTTCGACAACTACAACGACCACAACAGGCTCAACTTGGAGAACAAGCAGCTAACTTTGCAATACGAACGAAAGAAGATTCTTCCGTCAGTGCCCGAAAAAGCCACACCATCCTCAACGTTACCGAAGGGATTCAGCTTCGATCGGCAGCCTGGCCTGGTGGGCCATCCGGGACCAAGTCCTAGCATTATCCTCCAAGCCCTGACCATGTCGAATGCCAACGATGGCATTAATCTGGAGCGTCTAGAGACCATTGGAGACTCCTTTCTGAAGTATGCCATCACTACCTACCTCTACATCACCTATGAGAATGTGCATGAGGGCAAGTTGAGCCACCTGCGTTCCAAGCAAGTGGCCAATCTCAATCTGTACCGTCTGGGGCGACGTAAGCGGTTGGGCGAGTACATGATAGCCACGAAATTCGAGCCGCACGACAACTGGCTGCCCCCCTGCTACTACGTCCCCAAGGAGCTGGAAAAGGCTCTGATTGAGGCCAAAATTCCGACGCACCACTGGAAGCTGGCCGATCTGCTGGACATCAAGAACCTCAGCAGTGTACAGATCTGCGAAATGGTTCGCGAGAAGGCCGAGGCATTGGGTCTGGAGCAGAATGGGCTCCAGACCGGCCAGTTGGATGAATCCAACGACAGCTGCAACGACTTTAGTTGCTTCATACCCTACAACCTTGTATCGCAGCACAGTATCCCGGATAAGTCCATAGCTGACTGCGTGGAGGCTTTGATTGGAGCTTACCTCATCGAATGTGGACCGCGAGGAGCACTGCTCTTCATGGCCTGGCTGGGCATACGAGTTCTTCCCTTCACTAGGCAGCCAGCGGAGAAGGAGGAGGCCAAACGAGTTCCAGGGAGCAGCAAATCGGACGCGGAAGGCATGGTCACCGTCTATGGTGCATGGCCCACCCCGCGTAGTCCTTTGCTGCACTTTGCTCCCAATGCTGCGGGAGAGCTTGATCAACTACTGAGTGGATTTGAGGAGTTTGAGGCTAGTCTGGGCTACAGGTTCCGCGATCGCTCCTACTTACTTCAGGCCATGACGCATGCTAGCTACACCCCCAATCGCCTCACCGACTGCTACCAGCGACTGGAGTTCCTCGGGGACGCTGTTCTGGACTATCTCATCACACGGCACCTGTATGAGGATCCCCGCCAGCACTCGCCAGGCGCTCTGACCGACTTGCGATCCGCGCTAGTCAACAACACCATCTTCGCCTCCCTGGCTGTGCGACATGGTTTCCACAAGTTCTTCCGTCATCTGTCTCCCGGACTTAACGATGTCATCGATCGTTTCGTTCGAATCCAACAGGAAAACGGCCACAGCATAAGTGAGGAGGTGAGTGAAGCATCAACCAGGTATGGCTGGTTACTAAAACACGTTTTTATTTTCAGTATTACCTGCTGTCCGAGGAGGAGTGCGACGATGCCGAGGACGTTGAGGTGCCCAAGGCGTTGGGCGATGTTTTCGAGTCGATTGCCGGGGCCATCTTTTTGGATTCAAATATGTCCTTGGATGTGGTGTGGCAGGTTTACAGCAATATGATGAGTCCGGAGATTGAGCAGTTTAGTAACTCAGTGCCAAAGTCGCCCATACGAGAGCTCCTTGAACTGGAACCGGAGACGGCCAAGTTCGGCAAGCCGGAGAAGCTGGCCGACGGTCGCCGGGTTCGCGTCACCGTCGATGTGTTCTGCAAGGGCACCTTCCGCGGGATCGGGCGCAACTATCGCATTGCCAAGTGTACGGCTGCCAAGTGCGCGCTGCGCCAACTCAAGAAACAGGGCCTAATCGCCAAAAAGGACTAAACATTTTCGTAGCTGCGATGATAATGATAAGGTCTAGTTTCAAATATAGTTCTTATTCCAATTTAAATTTGTATAAGCCTTAAGTAATTGATTATATATGATTGTAAACTAAACAAAATGTTAGTATTTGCATTATTTTTATATTAGATTAAAATAATAGTTAGTTATCCACTTGAATAAGAGGTCTTATCTCCCTTCTTATCGGTTCCCTAGAACCTTATCGGTTCCTAAATTGCAATTTATGTTTGAAAAGGCAGTTCAGTGTTAAGAAACATGACGGCGGTGGAGGTTGATATTATTCCCTACGAGGAAATTTCATCAATGAAGGTAGAGAAGCTACTAGATAGATTAATTAATAGATTAATTTTGGTTAATTGTTTACTTTTTAAGCGAATCGGTGGTGGAAGCTACGGCCAAGTTTTCAAAGCCGATTGGCGGAATCTCAAAATTGCTGTGAAGAGACTTAACTACGGTGTGGAAGCTGAAGTAATCGATAGAGAAATCAACCAACTGTCCAAGGTGCGTCACGAGAACATTATAGAGCTATACGGAGTCAGCATGCACGACGATTTGTATCACCTGCTGGTGGAGTACATGGACGGTGGATCCTTACATAGCTTCCTGCACGCGGATCGGAAACCCAGTTACACCATGTCCCATTCCCTGAACTGGGCTCTGCAAATGGCTCAAGTATTAGAATACTATATGAGAATAGGTGCCATTAAGATAAACTCGTTTGGGTTTCCAGGGGATCGCCCATATGCATGCCATGACGCCCAAGGCGGTGGTTCATCGCGACGTCAAGCCTCGAAATGCTCTGCTGGGAAATCAGGGCCGGATTCTGAAGATTTGTGATTTTGGCACTGTGGTGGACCTCACAATATCAATGACTGTGGATGTGGGTACTTGTAGATACAAGGCGCCAGAGGTTAGCTTCTATTTTGGATATTAATTCCAAATAATCTTCATAATATCTTTATGACAGGTGTATAAAGATCACTATACGGAAAAGTGCGATGTGTACAGTTGGGCCATAAGCGTGTGGGAGATACTGGCGCGGAAGGAGCCTTTCCCGGAGTTCGACACTCCATTTTTCTTAAAGGAACATGTCTGTCAAAGTAAGAGTATTTATTATTTTTACTAATTCTTATGCAATTCAATGAAATCCCCCGTAGATGGACGACCAAACTTGGAGGACATTACTGTACCCTGTAGCCAGGATTTATTATGCCTCTTGAAGGCCTGTTGGGATATGGACCTCAAGAATAGGTTTTCCATGGACTTTGTGGTTAAAGCTTTAAGGGAAATGGTTAAAGATGCGGGACCCATGACCCCTTTAGAGAATATTATAGGAGATTAGTAAAAGTGCCCTTAAATTAAATGAAAAATAAAGTGTTTTGTGTGTGAACGTTAACACTATTTTTATTTTCTTGAAAACTCTCCTGAAATATTTACATTTTAACGGATTCTGAAAGGATTATGCGAAGGAACTGGGCTCTGGAGTGGGTGTTGGATGCTTCTCGGGGGCAGGGACTCTCGCCAAATGACCAATTCAAAGCTAAATCCATTGAACTGATTGGTAATTCGCGGAAATACATATTTAGTTGATTATGAGTTAGCTGCGGGTATAGGTATGCAAATAGGAAATTTATAAAATACGATCTATGCATATGTTTACAGTTACAGTATATGGATCACTAGCGATAAGTTTGATAATTTTACTTAATCTCTTAAATTGTTCGTTCTTGTTATCGAATCTCTATCGAATTTAAACTTTAAAAAAATTAAATGTTAAAACTGTTTGTTAATTATATTCATATGTTTTTCTGTATATATTTAATGTTTTTTTTTTTTTTTAAACAAAATGATCCTCGCTCATGTGTTGGTTGTTAGTTTTCTTCTTAAACGATCTGGAAAACTGTGACGTTTCGTAGAGTTTCGTTTTTAGAGTATAATTGTTTCGTTAATTATGCTTTTTGTTTTTAAACTTATATATAGAACTATATATAAACATGCGTGTATGTAAGCACTGTTTAATAATTCAATTGGTTTGGTATAATTTTTGTCTTTATACTCGCTATAATTGTTTTTGTTTCGTTTTCATTTTCGCTTTTTTTTTTTCACCGCACGTTCCTGCCTACGATTTGTTCAATGTCTTCATATATATGTCTATATATATGGATGTTCAAGCATATATATTTCCCTTTGTATTGTTGTAATTTACGTCGCATTTAATTTTGTTGCATTTGCTTCACTTAATTTCGGCTTGTAATTGAAGTTTTATCGCAAAAAACAGAAACTAACGAAACATAATCCAAATCAAGCGATATAATATATGTATGATCGATCTGATGTTCTTTGATATATGCAATGAATGAACTTTGAATGATTTATTATGAATTATGAATTATACTTAAGAATAAATTAAATACAAATTATTATAAGATCATTTAAATAAATGTTAACAAAAGTGGTCAAAAACGGTTTTATTTTTGTAATTTGCATGTGATATGTTTAAGAGTGTGTTAATAAGACAATAAATAATTAAATCATAGGTGGTTACAAATGTTACAAGTACATAAAACGAATGCATACACTTAGGCTTTGACTTAAACAATAACTGAACGGCTCGGGGACATTCGAGTACGAGTATAGTACTGGACAGCTGCTTGATTAAATTATTGTACAAAAGGTAAAAGTGACGCGAGCCACACATATTCGAGAACATATTCGAGAGTGTTGGTCGCCCGATGATGCACTGGGACACACACAGGTGTTTCCATAGTTACAGTATTTAAAACCGAATCTCTTGAGTACAAATCATATAGACAACGATGATGACCTTAGTCCTTCGTTTACATACACATAAGATTCTAATTTGGATTCGATAAGTGGGAGATTACATGATGAGTACATTGCTATGTATATGTGGCTGAGTGTGAGTACGATATTGTAAGAGTTCTAATTCAACCTGGAAGGCCAAGTATGTTGCCTCAGGTTTCTACCAAAAAGAAAGCCCTAAACATCCGCTACAATGTTGGGTTGAACTCATTGGACATGCAATTTTATGTATATATGTTTGTGGTGGTTAATGCGATTAGCTTTCAGAATTCCTAGACGTATGTATATGTGACTGACTGACGACTGACGACTGACCGGCTGACTACATGATAGATAGATGGGGGTCGTGTGTTTGATCTGGGTTGATCTGCTTACGATTACCTTTTCGAAACGATACAAAATACAAACTCATTGGGGGGAAACCTCATCTAAACAAATGCCGAGTACTATGAGAAGGTGGGAGGGGTGGCTGATGGCTACGGATTATTTTTTGGTTTTAAATGGTCATGATATACACAATCATAATTATAACACATTCGTTTAGCTGCAAATTGCTTCTTTTCTAGAGTCTGATTTGAGTCGAAATCTATGTGTCTGTGTGTGTTGCTGTTGGTTGGCTGCTATATACTTAGGTCTAGAGAACGACGTCAGGCAGGTCGTGCGGCCTTGCCTAGGCGCGCATTTGGTTTTCATGTACGATCTTCCTCTCCTTATAGTAGATCTCCTCCGATTCCTTATCGCAGAGAAGCAGGACCACGGCCCCGAACAGGAAGATGGCTGCTCCCCAGCCGACGCCATAAGCCCAACCGAATTCCCATACTCTTCGATTGCCTGAAGATGAAATATTGATATGAAATACGGTTTTTCTAGAAGAGAACATCGCCATACCCAATGAGAGCTCGCCGGCAAAGCATACAGGATATACGATCAAAGCAGAGAGCACGGCCAGCACTGAAAAAGAGTCGTTAGTACTAGGATTAGACTAAGAAAAGGCTGCTACTCACAGGACACGAGCATAACCAGTACCGCTATGCGATAAAACTTATACTTTAGATTGTGATTCTGCGTTTTGAGGCCCAGACCGGTCAGTACTGTGGCAATGACATCCGTTACCAGCGTGATGATGCATAGAGCTGCTGTGGCCTTGATATATCCTGTGGACCAACAGAGATTAGTTTAAGTTAAGCTTGATCTCCATCTATCTTAATAATTCACCTATATCGCGAGTCCAGTAGCATCCTGGTGGATCCTGAATGTTAAACGGCAAGGGAGCCACCGAATCGTCCTCGATGCAGTGCACAAAGAGGCCTTGCCGCCAGTCGGCGGCCATCAGCCAGTCTGTGGATGCCAGGGCCATGATCATCAGCACCACCACGATGACGCCGCAGATAAATGCAATCACCTGTGAACGAACGAGACAAGCGGAGAAATGGGCTTAGCTATACGACTAATTGCAGTGATGGCAGGTGGACAGACCTTTAGTGGCCGGGTGATTGTGATGGTCTCGATCGTGGTCGTCGGTGCCATTTTCTCTGCTGGTGGACGTAGTACACTGCACACAAGATAATCGTTATTAATTGCATGACATATCAGTGGCATGCCGACCCGAACTCACCTTATCGACTATACAGGCAGAAAGGTGCTGCCTGCGGCTACTAATTGGAATGCGTTTCTTGGTTAGTTTTGCTTAGTGGGATGTGGGATGCGGGAGGCGAGTATGTGTTACTCTGGTTGACTTTAACAATCTAAATATAAATGCTTCAATTGGCGTTTTATTGCTTTTGGTTTGCGCGTTCAGGTTATATCCAATGCGGTTCAAAATTTCAATTTTCTGGCGGCGATAGCAGCCCGTTCAACATCTGCAAGGCAATGGGGAGAGGGGGAGAGTTGTTGGTTTGTTAGAGGAGGCGGGAATCCCAAATTCAAGAAACTGGCGACATATCTAGCGACACATACAACATGTGCGTTTACATCAAAGCAGTTAAATAAGCGCCATCAACATGCAAAACAATTGGAGCAACAACGACGGAGGAGGAGGGCTTGCCAGGAAGGATGAGCACGAATCAAATTGCGGCAACTAGGCAATTTTATTTACATGCAATTAAGAGCAACGATATGGGATTCTGTTTCGGCAACTACATCTCTACAAAAAGAGGAGACTGTGGTTGTAAAATCTGGCACTATTCATGAGTGGATTAACTGTCGCAATTCACCAAACACTGCTGTGTTGTCACAGTTGAATGGCTTTTTGTCATTGTTCGTTATTTAAATCGACAGACAACAGGGCGGCGGAGTATTTGGATCCGTTTGGGGCGGAAGCGAGGGCGCATTATGGCGCAATGCAACTCTCAGACTTCAGATGGAAATATTATTCCCTGCATCATTGTTAGGCTTAATTCCCCTGATGTATCAGCCTGAGTACCGTGCCAAATTATGGCATCTGCGAGATACAAATGCCAAAGATACATGTATCTGTGTCCGAGCAAATGTAGCGTCTAGCAAATCTGCAGATTTTGCTCGGGCCAGACGATTATTTTGTTTATTTATAGCGGCTCGACGAGATTAACACCAACAATATTTTTCTGATGCGAGAGTACCAAGGGTACTGTGCCTACAGTTGCGGGCAAAATAATAGGACATCTTAATAAATATAAATTGATTTTTAAATTATAACATATTTTTTATTTTTAAGTAGCTTTCAAAACAATTCATCCTTTTTAAGTGTTCTCTGGTTGTCCTCGGCTGTGGACCTACATATGTATGTATGTGTGGGTGAGTGGCATGGCAACAGGATCAGAATGGTTAATTGCTATATAGAACGTAACGGCAGGCAAAATTGGGGCAAACGACGGCATATGCAAAACAACAACAACAACAACAATATGGGGTCTTGGGGGGGGTGCAGTGGAGCAAAAACGGAAGCAAAACAAAATACGGACAAAGTACCAAATGCGATATGCGAATTTTATAATTTGTTTAGGATGCAGGATACCTTTCCTTGTAATAGTCCAGAGTCACCGATTCGGAATCAAATTCTGAATAATCGGGCAGCGACTCGGCGTCAAAGGAACTCATTCCGCTGAGCGTGTAAGTGGGCAGGACGTTCATTCGCCACCCAACGAGGCTGTCCTGGGGTAGTTGTTGCTGATTTTGCTGTTGCATAGTTGACTTTTAACGACTTCTCGACTTTTGTTTCAACAATATTGCGAAGACAAGACTCCAATTACAATTGGAGGCACGCACACACTACCACACGCCCACGACTAACGCACTGACTCTGAATGAAAACTACGCTATATTTTTCTCTATTCTCTTTTCGCTGCCTTTTCGTGTCGCTTGTTCTTTCGCCCGTTGCGAATACCTGTGCACTTACAGTCTGATAGGGAAGTTGCGTTACTTTCCCTCTTTCACATGTTCTCCACCGATCGGGAACTTTTTCTATATAATCAAAAAATAAAAACGACAAAAATAATAATGTTTTGCTTCCCACATCACAACTGAAAATTAGTGTGCCCGTCGATGATGCCTGGATTTGCCAGAAGAGTTAGTTGCCTGTTACTTTCAGTGATTTTCAAAATCACAGCATTATTGAAGGTCGATATATATCATTTTGCGATAAAATCTAAATTAATAGCTAAATTAATTTATCTAGTTCGAAAAGGGTAAATTCAACAGTTTATTTATTTATTTAATTTAAATTCATGTTTTAACTTTTTTTACATTCCGCAACAGTTTTCCCGAACAAGTGCTTACTTCAATGTGACCAGAGCCAAGTTTGCTAATCCTTTAAGAGTGTGACCCTCGTTGGAGTATACTATGGGAACATAAGGTCGGCGTCGCGTGGCTTCCCGAGATTAGCGAACAAAACAACAGCATCAGTACAATCCTTTGTATTAAATTCTTCCAAGGAGGCCGTCCCCAGTGGACCCTAGTCACACATGGCCACGGACACTGTGTCCAACGGCGAGAACTTCGCTCAACATACGCCCGGCAACGGGAATGGCGACGACGATGTAATCTGTCCAACATGCGATGTGAAGATCAAGCGCAGCCAGGTGGCCGATCACTGCCAGGTGGAAATGGAGCGTTTGCATAATCCGATCAGCGTCAGCAGCGCGGGAGCAGCAGCTCCTCCACCCACAGCACAATCCAGCTCCGGTGGCAGGCAGCCGTGGAGCGTTTTTCAGCGGGTGCAGCGTAACCGGCAGGCCCGTCAGCGTCAACGAACCAGAAAACGACCGGCATCTCCAGCCCCAGCGGCCCCTTCAGTTCCCCCATCAGCTCAATCTATTCCTGCCACAGCGCCACCGCCAACCGTTCCAGCAGCAGCCCCAACTGATTCCAGCCAGGCCACCTGTCCCATTTGTAATCGTAAATTTCCCCAAGCCAATATCCAAGAGCATGCCAACCAGTGTCTGCGCAGCAGTCGTAAGAATGGCCAGGCCAACGGAGAGCGACACTCTAGCGAGGATTCCGATGACAGTGAGGAGTACGAGGAGTATGAATGGGCTGGCCAGAAACGCATCCGCGTATCCACCCTGGTGCAGGGTGGCTACTCGGCTCTTGGCTTAGGCCAGACAATTAAGTACAATGGCAGTCAGGCGCAAGATGATGAAGATGAGGATCTCAACGTCGACGAAGACGACACTCATATATATGGGCCTACGCAGTATGGGGAGGGTGATGTGATACCTCTGGTCAACGAGGATACCGATGGAAACGTTTCCGAGGTTGATGTCACCAGCTACGTGCGCAGCTTAATATCTTCCAACGATGCGCCGAAGCCCACCAGCTCTGATGTAGAAGCAGCTAATTCCACGGCCGCCCAAGACCCAGTAACAAATGAGGAGCCATCCACCTCTCGCTCAACGCGTTCTACCTCCCAAAATCAACTGCAGGTCATCGAGTCGCTAAAGGCCAAGCTGCGAGCCTACGAAAAACAGGCACAGGGGAAGTACAAGTGCCTAATTTGCATCGACGACTACAAGAACCCCGCCATTTCTGTATCCTGCTGGCATGTCCACTGCGAGCAATGCTGGCTGCAAACCCTGGGAGCTCGAAAGCTATGCCCCCAGTGTAATTCGATTACCACGCCGAAGGACTTGCGCCGCATTTACCTGTAAAACTAAGCCAAGCCACAACAGATTTGTTATCCCTGCTGCAACTTTGTTTGTGCTTGCTAATCTTGGGAAAATAGTTGATAATCTTAAACAATTATTTATAATAACATAACAACTATGATATGTGACATAACAATAAGCAGACAATTGTAACTATTACGATAAACTATGAAATCCATAGAGTTCAGTTATATACGTTAAAGTATATATGTATGAAAAAGAGCACACACGATTAATTTTAATTTCGAACTTACGAAATAAACCTTAAAATGATACTCAATTTCTAGGAATGCAGTTTTTGTATTGTCTTAAAGATTGCCTTGAAATTAGAGGAGGGATTCTTTATCTCTAAGAAAAATATTTTTGGATCTGGAGAATCTTCAAATCCCTTCAGAAATTTCCAAAAATGCATGGAGCTACAATATTGCCCTCGCCTATGGGTACATCTTTTTCAGTGTCTATCGGGTTCTTAAACGGAATACCTTAAACAAACAATAAATCATTTTGTAGATTTTTTGTTCATTTTTCTAGGGGAAAAAAATATCAAAATAATACCCCTTCAAAATATGGAAAATGCATGGGAGGAGCAGTAAGGGCTACCTTGAAGGCTATATCTTTCCCAATTCCTATCCGATTCTTAGGCGGAATAGCTTAAACGATTTGTAGATCAATTCTTTATTAATTTCCATCAAAATCCAACAATAAAATATTTTTTAGATTTTTTGTAAATTTTTCTGAAAATATTCAAAATATTCCTTCAAAATATGAAAAATCCCACGTATCTTGAACGTGGGAGGTGCAGTGCGGGCCACCGCGAAGGCTATATCTTTGCCAATTCCAATCCGATTCTTAAGTGGAATATCTTGAACGATTTGTAGATCGATTCTCTATTAATTTCCATCAAAATCCAGACACACAATATATTTTAATTTTTTTGTCAAATTTTCCCTTCAAAATATGGTAAATGATTAGAAGGAGCAGTAAGGGCCACCGCGAAGTATTAATGTATTTTAAATATCAGATTTTAAACTTTTCTTTCGACTTTTAATGAATAATTATTATATTTTTAATAATTAATTAAAAGTATTGTTATTTTAAAACAGCAAAAATTTTTTTTCGGTGTACTTTGTCGTAGAGTAGCTTTAACCATCTGGCCACACTGATTGCCTTGTTTTTGTCCAATTCTCCATCATGTCCTCCAGTAGGTTTTAATTGAAGATAACACGATATTTAGCTGATTTAAAACCCTTTTCAGGCGCCAATCCTTTTGCTCAATTTGAGGAATCGTTCACCAAAGACGGCAACGTCTACAAATACTTCGACCTGCCCTCCATTGACAGCAAATATGGTAAGGCTGACCCAACAATCATGGAACTATCTTTATTACCTCGACTTTCCACAGATTCCCTTCCATTTTCTATTCGCGTTCTGCTGGAATCCGCAGTGCGTAATTGCGACCTCTTCCACGTTCTAGAAAAAGACGTGCAGAGCATTTTGGGATGGACCCCTGGCCTGAAACAAGGAGCCAATGACGTGGAGGTGTCGTTCAAGCCGGCACGTGTTATTCTACAGGTAGGGGAGTAGACTTTCCCTAATGCAGACTTGTGGGTAATGTACATATTTTAAGGATTTCACTGGTGTCCCCGCCGTGGTAGACTTTGCCGCCATGCGAGATGCCGTCCGGCAGCTGGGCGGCAATCCCGAGAAAATCAATCCCGTCTGTCCCGCCGACCTGGTCATTGACCACTCCGTGCAGGTTGATTTCGCCCGCACCTCGGATGCCCTGTCCAAGAATCAGTCCCTGGAGTTTGAGCGCAACAAAGAGCGCTTCACATTCCTCAAGTGGGGAGCCAGAGCCTTCGACAACATGCTGATCGTGCCCCCTGGGTCCGGCATAGTGCATCAGGTTAACCTGGAGTACTTGGCGCGTGTAGTTTTCGAGAGCAATGAAGCCGATGGTTCGAAAATCCTGTACCCGGACAGCGTCGTTGGAGAAACTGGGCTTCGATATCGTCGGCTACGGGTGCATGACCTGTATTGGAAACTCTGGTCCTCTGGATGAAAATGTTGTGAATACCATCGAAAAGAACGGATTGGTTTGCTGTGGTGTCCTTTCGGGCAACCGGAATTTCGAAGGACGCATCCATCCCAATACGCGAGCCAACTACCTCGCTAGTCCGCTGCTGGTGATAGCCTATGCCATCGCCGGACGAGTGGACATAGATTTTGAAACAGAGCCGCTGGGAGTGGATTCAAATGGCGAAAATGTGTTTCTCCGCGACATCTGGCCTACCCGATCTGAAATTCAAGATGTGGAGCGAAAGCATGTTATTCCAGCCATGTTCCAGGAAGTTTACAGTGAGTACTAAGAGCGTTTGGATTACTTCATAATGATATATATATTATCTCACAAACAGGCAAAATCCAGCTGGGCTCACAGGACTGGCAGACGCTGCAGGTTTCAGATGGAAAATTGTATCCTTGGAGTGAGGCATCTACATACATCAAGCGGCCTCCCTTTTTTGAGGGCATGACGCGAGAGCTGCCTAAGCTGAGCAGTATTGCTAACGCCCGTTGTCTTCTCCTGCTGGGAGACTCTGTGACCACCGATCATATCTCGCCGGCGGGATCCATTGCTCGGAGGTCTCCTGCAGCGCGTTACTTGGCGGAGCGTGGGCTCACGCCGCGAGACTTTAATTCCTACGGATCCAGGCGTGGCAACGATGCAGTTATGGCTCGAGGAACCTTTGCAAACATTCGACTCGTCAACAAGCTCGCCTCCAGAACAGGTCCCACCACTTTACACGTTCCCAGTGGCGAGGAGTTGGACATTTTCGACGCGGCGGAGAAGTACCGAAGTGAGGGCACTCCTCTGGTTCTGGTTGTTGGCAAGGACTATGGAAGTGGCAGCTCCAGAGACTGGGCCGCCAAGGGACCGTTCCTTCTGGGCATCAAGGCCGTGCTTGCCGAGTCCTACGAGCGCATTCACCGCTCCAACCTGGTGGGTATGGGCATTATCCCTCTGCAGTTCCTGCCAGGGCAGAACGCCGAAACTCTGAAGCTGAGTGGCCGCGAGACCTATAATATCGACCTGCCTAGCGACTTAAAGCCCGGCCAGCGCATCCAGGTGGAGGCCGATGGAAATGTTTTCGACACCACGCTGCGCTTCGACACGGAGGTGGACATTACCTATTTCAAAAACGGTGGAATTCTGAACTATATGATCCGCAAGATGCTGGATTAACCAACGCATTTTCAAGCAATTTTATTCCATGTGCATTTCAATGTAAATGTTATTTTTTATTTTAATATGAAATATTATATTTGAGTTTTTGTTTGGTAATAAGCTGTGCTTATTTCTTTTAATATATAAAGGCTTATGTTTGATTAAATTTATATAATTTTAAGGGTCTTTGGGCGGGCGATTTAAATGTAATAGTGTTTTAAACCCCAGTGTTGAAAAAGGAACTAGTTCAACGTGTTCCATATTCCACTGTTCCCTATCGTCGCTAATTTGACGGACATGTTAGACCTTTCTCCACGTCTATTAAAGAATTGTTTGGTATAATCAAGCTTCAACCATGCCGAAAAATCCAAGCGGTGGGCAGCGAAACGGTGGTCCGAAGAAGCGCCAACCGGCAGTTGCTCTGGACGAGGACAATCCCATTATTTTGGCTTTCACAAAGTATTCGAACGAACTTACACAAAAACACGACCGTCATGAGAGGATTGTCAAGCTTAGTCGAGATATTACCATTGAATCGAAGCGCATTATCTTCCTGCTGCACTCCATCGACTCGCGGAAGCAGAACAAGGAGAAGGTCCTCGAGGAGGCGCGCCAGCGTCTGAACAAACTGATTGAGGTAAACTTTCGGGCCGTGGCCCTGGAGCTGCGCGACCAGGATGTCTATCAGTTCCGCTCGGCCTACTCACCGGGCTTGCAAGAGTTCATCGAGGCGTACACTTACATGGAGTATCTGTCCAGCGAGGACGCGCAGAACAAGGCCAAGTGCGTTTCGGACTGGCAGGCTCTTCAAGCGGTGATGCAGTATGTCGAGGATGAGAAACCCAAGCCAAAAGATGAAGACGGAAACGAACTGGATGAAGTGGTTTCAACACCGGCAGAAGAAAGCCTCAAGAAATTCCAGTTTTTTGTGGACCCAACCGAGTACATTTTGGGTCTCTCCGATCTTACAGGAGAATTGATGCGTCGCTGCATTAATTCCCTTGGCAGTGGCGAGACGGACACATGCATGGAGACCTGCAAAGTCCTTCAGCACTTTTACAAAGGGTAGGTTGTTTACTTTCACTAGAAAGAAACCAGCTCATCTTTCCAATTTCAGATACATTAGCCTGAACTGCCAGCGAGCCCGTGAATTGTGGCGTAAGATTACTACCATGCGTCAGAGCGTTTTGAAAGCCGAGAACGTCTGCTACAATGTGAAGGTACGCGGCGGAGAGGCAGCCAAGTGGGGTGCTACTTTTGACCAGAAACCAGCCGACGATGTTGACGAAGGCTTCTACTAAATATAAACTATTATATATGTTTATAATATATATTAAGTAATTTGGTATTTGAAACAACTTAGTCTAGAATAGATTAACAATAAACCCTAAAAAAGGGATGGAATGGAAATACAGTTCCACCTATTTAATCGTAATCATCGCTGTTGATCCGCTGACTGTCGAACTCTAGCTCATCCTCCTCATCATCGTCGTCTACATCCGCACCTGGACGATAGTCTGCATCTTCACAATTATTATCAGCAAAGGGATCCTCTTCCTCATCCTCCTCCTCGTCCTCTGAAGCATAATCTTGTTGCTGGTTTTTGGCTTCCCGTTGGCGGAGACGATTGCGAATGTTCTGGGCGGAATTGACTGGAGTTTCTGACCTTTAGTCCACTTGAAGTCGAATCGAAGCGAATCCTACTTACAGTCTGGAGGATGCGAGTGCTGTTGAAAGTGAATTGGATTGCGGCGGTAACAAGCATTGCCGAAGGGACAAGGTGGGGTGCCTAGGGGCGGTTCCGGGAAGTCCGGTCGTCGATAGTCGGCATCTCCAGGATGAGCTTCAGCACTTTTATGGACTGGATTGCGTCTAGAATTGTTTTTGGTAAGTAAACTAGTTTATATCAGTTAGTAGTTTGTAGTAGAGACCTGTAACAACGAATTCCAAAACGGCAGGAGGGCCTTGCGCTGCTTGAGGACACAGACGAATCGCCTGCGGATTGACCATTAGTGGTTACAGCTGCTGCTGAAGGATCTGCAGTGGAAGAAGGTTCCGTTTTTACGGAATTCGTTGAGGATTCAGCTGGTTCTGTTTTGATTATTATTTCAGAAGGATCACTGGTGGAAGCAACTGGGGTCGTAGATTCAGCTGGTTCTGTTTTGATCATTATTTCGGGAGGATCACTCGTGGAAGCTACTGAAGTCGCAGATTCAGCGGGTTCTGTTTTGATCATTATTTCAGGAGCATCACTTGTGGAGGCAACGGAAGTCGTGGCTTTGTCATCTTTATCAACAGGTTCGCTTTTTATTTTGACTGGGTCTTCCGAGATAGGTTCAGTTTTTATGGAAACGACAGGATCGTCCTCCTTCGGGCGTTTGTTGGGACTGCTTTCGTCGTCAGAGTTATGCTCATTGTTGGTGGTATTATCAGGTTTTCTTTTGATACCCTGATTGAGCCCTGAATCCTCTTGAACAGATTCAGTTTTAGAATCCATTTTTATTTGGTGTCTCCTTTTTTAAAGGAAGGTTTATTTCAGCCGGGGTTTATTTTGCTTCCAATTTCACAAGAATGCGTAGAATGTTTCCTAACACTGAACTTTTCTATCGATAACCTATTTACTTACCGATTCCTGCCATGGGCGCCAAAATTTGAAATGTTTATTTCATAGTCATGTTATATATTTGTACAATTTTAAATACGTATTGAATTCATATAACAAGCAAAATGCGAATACATTATATAAATATAGGATTCCCGTGTATGCGTCGTGAGTAACTTCTTAGTTTGCCTAGTCGTATGTACGTATGTATATGTAATTGCTTGAGGCGTCTGGTTAAGGACTTGTGATCCAATTCCACGAACATCCTGATAGATTGGAGCCATGCTCATGGCACCTCAAATATGTATATTTATATGTATATGTAGTTGGTGCAGGCCGATTCGTGGGGCAAGGCCCCATCCGACTGCAAGTTAGTTGCATGGCACATTCGTGATACTGTCGTCTTTTTTTCTCGCATCGAATCCAAAAGTGAAGCTGGGTGCTGGTCAGGTGCCTCCAATTCCGGTGGGCATAGCATAGGGAAATATAAAGCGATATGATCTAGAAGGGAAATACTCTTGCGGGATATGTGACAAGCGCGCCCGCACCACTTCCAGCTGCTCCCTTCACAGCAATGATCCGATCCGATCTTCCATAGCCTACAGTGTCGTTTCAGGAACATGTTTGAGACGTTGGTCATGCTCCATTCGCAAATCGATAATCTTCTGCTCTAGCTTTTTAACACGCATTTGGTACTTGTGCTTACTATGCTCCAGCATTTTTCCCAAGTTGCTAGAGAGGATTATAAAATATCAGTCAGAGTATGCTTAAGCATTTTAAGGATGACTTACTGGTTCGACTTCTGTAACTCTTGAACGTTTTGATGCAGTTGCTCGTATTTCTCGTCGGATGCCTTCTGGGATGCCGTGACATTGGCCAGCAAAACCTGGATGCGACTTTTTAGCTCCGATTCCCGAGTTAAGGCCTCCACCAATTGCTGCTCCGTTAGAGCGGCGTGCTCCGCCTCTGAGTAAGATACCCTGTTGCTTGCTTGCAGTTGCTTCAGTGCATCATGAAGGATGGCCACCCTTTCGTTGGCATTCTGTCGCTCTTGCTCCGACTCATCCATCTTACTTTTGAGTTGCAAGTTTTCATCCCGCATCTCGAGCAACTCCTGCATGATAACGGCCGTTTCCAAATCGATTGGAGACTTCTTGTTTCCATCCCGCAATTCGTGCTCCTTCTCCAGTGCCAAACGCTTCTTCTCATAAACATCGCTGAAGGGTGACTCTAGGCTAACAACTGTGTGCTGGACACTGGAGCGACGTCCTTTTAGCTTTGAGACATGGTAGCGCAGTCGATTGTCGTCGTCGGAACACCATGGGCGAAGGCCCTTTGTAACCTCCTCACCAGATAGATTGATGTTGTGTTGCCAGGGTCCAAGGCTGTTCTCGCAAATGTTCTTCTCCCTGTCCAGGCGGGATAAAAGATGTCTGGCTACCGCTTCTACAGAACGCCGACTTTCCTCTGCCGCAGCCGATTTCTCGCTAAAAAGGGCCAGCCTTAAAGAAGTATTGAAGTAAATTAGATAATCGGAAAGACTTATTCATGACTAGACTCACTTGCTTTCCAGCAGAGCAAGCATCACATCATAGGCTTCTATGGCGCGATCGCTGCAGTTTAGAGCAACCTGCAAAGCCACTGCGTTGGACTCGTACTTTCCACATAGGAGATACAAATGATCCGTGTGCTCCTTGCATTCGTCCAGCGTCAAGGCCAGCATGGTGTTCCGCATTTCCAAGTGGTCTACGCGCCGCTGCAATCGCTCCAATTCCTTGCTCAAGTACAACGGTTCTATGAAGCTTTCCATGAACATGTTCTGCTCTTTTAATTCGCCCACCAAGTGCTCCACGAGATTAATGTGCTGTAGAATGGGATATATAAGTTTTCTTGAATAACTCCAGGGTGTAAAGTCCAACCTCATTGTCGGGGCGATCCTCGCTGCTTTCGTTTTTGCTGGCACACCGCAACTTCACTCTTTCGGCCATTTTGGGCACAGCAGGCACTCGTTTCTGGGGGCTCGTCATGGAGACACAAGCTGGAACACATATACGGCATGACTTTTAAACTTATTCCAAACGATACTAATGCTATTACCATTTAGATCGTTGAGTCGATGTCCACCATCGTTTACCTCCGATTCGCAGCCAAAAAAGGACACTTTTGTTTGTTCCTCCACCACAGCGTTGTCCTTTGTGGCAATCTCTGATTGAAGAAGTGCAATCTGGCCCCTTAAATGTAGCACCTCCTCCTGCAACGCCTCCACCTGGCCCTTATGGCTCATTTCTTGGGGCTTTGGGATGATGTTATCTAGGCTGGCAGCACTGCAGGCGCCTTCCAGATCCTCGAGTGGTTCTGTCTGGCACTCGGCATCGGGATTGGTCAGATTCAGTTCCGAGTTGTAAATAGAACCTTCCTGAAAACTTAATTCTGAAAAAAGATCAAAGATTTAATAAGATTCCTACAAGTTTAGAGCCTTGAAGACCTACCACTGCCATCCGGTTCCTGCTCCTCCACAATGATGTGATCCTGCTTGCTTCGCAATTTTTTGCTCAGCTCCGCTATGACGCAGTGCATCTCGGTGATGCGGCACTCATGCGCCTGACTCACCACCTCCAGCCGCTTGTGGCACATCTCCCGTTCCGCATTGCTCTCGGATAGCTGGCGCTCCGCCTGCTGCAGGCGCTGCGTTAGCTCTCGCACCCTGTTTTCCAACTGCTGGACCGACAACTGCTCAACCTGTAGGTGGAAGTAAAGATGGAATTAGTACATACAAGGATCTAATATTGTCTTGTCACATTTATGGGTCTCCGTGCCAATGGCTGGGCCATCAGGGTATATTCCCAGCTGCGCCGCTTGTCCCCACTGGGGACCGCCGGAGTATCGCTGCAGCAGAGGCAGCTTAGGCTGCGCGGAAGCAGTTGCTCCGCAATCATGGCCCAGTGGAAAATTTTGACTGGCGATTACGTCGTCATCCGCGCGCATTGCAACTGCTCTCCGCCGCTGCAGCTTGACCCTTGGCCCTCGGCCTTCAACACGCATCTGCGCACTGGGCACCACCTTCCCGCTCGATGGCCCCCAAAATATATACACTTTAAAAAAATGTACGATTGTTTTACATTAATTGAAACGAAATCAAACTTAGATGGTTTTACAGACAAAAGGAGGGATAGGATAGGAATTAAAATACAAATAAAACCGAATGTCTTTGGAGACTATTTTCTTTCAGTGCAGGTATCACTCACTTTGTTGACAATGTCCAGTGTGGAGCAGCTGGATATGTTGTTGTCGCTTTCGGTGGCAGTTGTGTCGCGATTGGATACCTCCGGGGAGTCTAGATTATAGGATCCCACCAGATGCCTGTTGGCCGGACCTCCCCGAGGCGAAATACTCCCAAATACATATTCGAAATCCTCTCCAGACGCGCTGCCAGAATGTTTCCCTTGAAAGCCGCAGGAGTCCCGTTTGCCACTGCGTCGCGGCACATCTGTGGCTATTTTTGCCACTCTGGCCACTTGCACGTCGTTGGACATGATGGGGGACCGTTGAGAGTTAATCTCTAATCTCTTCCAGACTTACAAGCGGCTTTGTTTTCCCCGCTTAACAGTGGCTTTTGATTTTTGCTCCATTCTCAGACTGGGTGGCACCGGCTAGACTCTACATGGCGATTTCCATTCGAGACTTATTTGAATATTTTAATTTATAATTTTTGATTTCGTTTTCGAGGTGGAACCGCCTTGATTTAGGCCAGTTGTAAGGAGCCAATTGTTTATTGCATTCTTATCAGAAATGTATACCAGACAGCCTTTTTTTCGGGAACTCACAGTGTTGTAAAGCCCCAAAAAACAGTGTTTAAGCAGTGTTTAGAATTAAATATATAACTGATTGTTTATTTTGAATCTCTTTTCAAATAAATATCTATTAAAAGAAATAATATAGTAAAAATGTATATAAAATTAAAATATTTTGAACTCTTTAAGATTCTAAGGAATAACATATTTATCAGAAAAGCTATCCTACCTTTGTGAAAAACCTTATCCATTAACTAACAGAAAAATTTAAAGTTAAAAATAAAATGTATATATAAGCTAAATAAAATGTATATATATAAATATATAATAAAATAAAATGCTAAATATAATGTATATATAATCTAATTTTTTAAACAGGTCAAATTTTTAAAAATTGATGAAGAATTGGATACAAATGAAATTCCGATTTTTTAAGAAAATAAAATGGAAAACAAATAAATAAAATAATTATCAGATCCTTAGTGCATCCCAGCTGAAAAAAAATATCCTTAATTTCTCACACATAGTTATTTATTGTACGCTGTTGTGGGAATATACAGGTTATCATTTTATCAACACGGCGATATGGTTCCATCTGTTCCATTAAGAGTCCTGAATTGAACTAGTTTTGTCCTAAAGGTAGGGAGGCAATATTCTCCGCCCTTATCGCCACCATGGCTTCGTAGTCTCGCATGTCAAGCTCGTGTAGGGCCTTTTGCACCAGGTTGGCTAGGTGTGGTGGCAGATCCTTCAAGTCTTCCATCCGTTCTCGGGCCACGGCGCTGGAGATGCGTGGAGTTCCATTGCAGCGACTGCCAAAGCCTCCGTTCCCCGAATCCGTAGTTGCAGACGAAGACTTTTGAAAGAAGCTTGGTCGCACATCGGCTCCATAAACAGATGAATCCACGGACTCCGTTGATAGTGATGACATACCATCGTCGGAGTGCAGCTTGTGCTTCGCAGGGTCGGCGGATTCAGGAGTCAAAGTGCCGCCAACTGCATTCTCTGCACCAATGGACGGAGGGCTGCTGATGGCATCGGCTTCATCATCAACCATGGCGGCGCAATAGCCATTGAGAAGCAGCTGAGAAGGAGCGTAGCCATAATCCTCATCCTCTTCCGCTTCAACGACATCGTCATTATCCTCGTTTCCGGAAAGCAACTGCTGCCACCGCTGCTCCAGCTCTGTCATCTTGCCAGCCAGAATTCTAATGGAGATCTCTTAGTAAAGAAATTGAAGATTTTTAACCGAATACTTTACTTGTTGGTCTTCTTCTGGTGCGACAGAGCCAAGTTCTTGTCATTGAGATTGTCTAGTAGAGCCAGACAAAGGGATTTTAGATCATGTATGGTTTCAGTTTTCTGCGGCAAGTCAATACCACTCTCCAGGATAGATTTTACTAAGGGGGAGAAACATATAAAATTATATTAATTAAATAATCATTTTTAGATCAACTTACCTTGCCTGGGGCTCAGTATAGTTTCTTCGTTTGTGCTGCCCCCGCCAAGCTTAACAATCCCCTTTTTGCGTTTCGCATCTAACATGGTCTGAAATAATGGCTTTAAATAAATGATTCTTGGAGATTTTTAGGGATGGAGCATACCTTGTACTTGGTAATGCTTTGCTTGCTTAGCTCCAGTTCACTTTCTTGGATCTTCACTCGTTCGTGCAGGTACTTGTTCTCCAGCAAAACGCTATCGATGTCAAGGAGCTGTAAAGATTCTTTCATTGATGAAGAGCTTTAAAAATAAATCTTATTAGATAAAAACTCACTCTTGGATGTGTTTTTTTAGCTCTGAGAGCCACAAATAGTTCATGGTTCAGCCTATGCGCCTTGCACTTGTACGCATCCCTTTCCGTGATCAGCTCCTCCTTCTCATCGATGACAGCTTTCAAGTCGAAGGCCAGCTGGGCGTTTCGCTTCTTAAGTCCCTCCAGGTGGCAGATAAAGTTGGCTCTTTCGCGGCGCCACTGAACCTCCTCCTTGTTGCGAGCGGCGTTCTCGGTGGCCATGGCTTGCACCCGCGTCTTGTTGGTAGCTTCCGTTTCGCGCAGCAGTTCCATGTCCCCTTGGAGTTCATTGAGTCGTTGCCTGAGAGCCTCAACCTCGGTGCTGAGCTTCAGGTTCTGCTCTCGGGTTTCGTGGAGAAGGGCGGCCAGACTGGAGTTCTCGCTGAGGGCTCCGCACCCGCCCACGGCCATAAGCTCACTGTTACTCTTAAGAGCAGAGTAGCGCAGCTGCAGGGTCTCGGCCACGAGCTTGTACTGATCCCGTTCCACACGGAACTGCTCGAGTTCCTGGCGCAGGATTCTCAGAGCCTCGACCTTACTCTGGAGCTTGCGATGCACGGCCGAAGTCTGCAAGAGCACATTATGAATTATGCGATGGTGGGTGAAGGAGTAACTCACTTCTACGTTGTACGAGGCCATATGCTGTCCAAACCCGTGGCTACTGGCCACGTCCTCCAAATCCATCGTAAATGTCTCCATTCGATTTCCGATTTCAAAGCTTCAGTCGTTGACATTGACAGTATATACAAAATATATGGATTATTTGAAACTTTTCTACAATTCGTGCGGTTTTAAGGATTTCATGCTGGCCAAACAAATTGAATGAATCAATTTTTCAAAGAAACCTGCGCACTAGGCTCCAGAATGTATGCTACATCTGTTGGACTTTTATCGATAACCGATAACTTTTTTGTTAAGGGGGAAGTACAATATATTTTTGAAAATTAATTAACAATAAAGAATTGTTAAAGTATAGAATTTAAAAATTAATACAAACTTATATTCATTTATTTACAAATACAACATTTTATTTATAGACTTTACAGTTTACAGATACGGGTTTTTGTGGAAAGAGTATCTTGATCTTGTAACTTTCATGTCGCTAATGCTTGTATTACTCGACCACCCAATTCTTGAAGCTTCAGGGGATAGTTGATAAACCTTCTGTCGTTTTACAAGGGCACTCATTACTCGTCTGCAAATCGTCTTGACTTCCATAACAGAAGTTGTTTCTAAATTCAGATTATCAACAGTCTTTACAATACATTGAACTGAAATTAAAGGTAAATCGAAGACAGATTAGAATATAGTACATATATTTCTTAAAAATATTGACCTCTTTGTATAAGTTTTTGTTGGCGATTTAAATTGGAAATGGTTCTTTTTCTTTCGTAATCCTGACAAGCATTTTTCTTATCCAAATCTCTTTTGAGGGAATTCAAAAGTTCTACAGTTTCCCTGTGCATCTCCACCAGGTGGTGGGGGTTCTCAACCTTTTCCGTCACACTTTCATCTGTTGTGGGCTTGCATTGCGTCCAACTGATCTTGCTGATGTTGGTCACCTTACAAGATTCACACAAATGATTGCTCTTTTCCTTCTTTGGATGGTTGCACGCCTGTTGTAAATCGAGTCCCATCGAGCTAAGGTCTTTCTCAAGCTCCAGCATGTCCAGCGACATTCCAGAGTGCATAGATTTAACCACTACCAGCTGGCTGGCTTGGGTCTTTAAATGTTCCTGCTCATCATCTAGGAGGGACTTCATACTCTTTCCATTACTCTGCAACCTGGCGATAACTTGTCGGTTGGACTCGGTCACACATTTGAGGTCGTTGATTTGATGGTTGAGCCTTCGAGTATAGTTTTCCATTCTGTGCAACACGTTCTCCACGTTTTCCAACTGCTTTAGAAATGGACTCATCTCAGGCGAAGAGGGTTCTATTGTATCTGCACTCATGCTGATTCGGTGAAAATGAGATCAAAATTTTTTTGTAGGTTTTATATTAACTTTTAGAATTTTTTCGGTAAGACTACTTAGCTACGGGACAGTCGTCACAATTTTAATTTACATAAAGGTACATGGTCGGGAATGAAAAAACAGATCAGGTAACTAATTAAATTCTTAAACAATCAGCAGCTCATGGCACTAGCTATGGTCACCATTTTCCGCACTACGTTCGGATTGGTTCCGTAGTATGGATCAATATCCTGCTTTCCCATCGTCACGTCACACTCCATTCGAGTGGTTGTGGGCGCTACATAGTCCTCGCTGGCTGTGTCCATGGCTGAGGCGTGGAACTCGCGGCACCGCGTAGTTGTGAGAATTTCTTCGAGATTCGGCACCTTGATGCCGGCTCCGGGCATGATAATTATTTCGCGGTGATGCTTGGCAATCATCTGCGCTAGGAAATCAGCCCCCGCGGCGGCCGAAGGACGAAACCCGCTGCTCAGTATTCGCTTGAAACCGAGCTCCTTGAGCAGCTGAACGTTCTCGTGCATAAATTTCTGGTCTGTGAGGTCGAAGGCTCGATGAAATGTCACGGGTAAGCCATCCGAGTGCAGCATTACCTGCCGGCAGTGGTCCACATTGATGGATCGATCAGGGTTTAGTGATCCAAAGACGAAGCCATCAGCACCGTTCGCTCTCAGAAGATCCATGTCCGTCAGCACGGCACTTAGCTCTTTATCGTCATAGACAAAGTCTGTTCCTCTCCGGGGCCGCAGCATGCAGAAAATAGGCAGAGTAAACGAATCCTTAAGAACCTTGAGAGTGCCAACGCTGGGAGTCAGGCCACCTTCTCCCAGGGCGGAGCACAGCTCTATCCTGGCAGCACCACCATCTTCGGCCGCAAAGGCGCTCCTAATAGAGTCAACGCAAACTTCCAGCTTAATATCTTGGCACGACATCGCTCTTATCAGTAAGAATCCCGATGGTAAACAAAAATATTCTTCTGTGCTAGCGATGGCCCTAGCGGCACTAACAATCAGCTGTTTTGGCTAGGCCATCGCCAGAAAAGTGCTATCGATAGTCACGGCACAGATACTCCCCTCAGTTGCATTGCTGGCAACACTGTGTCATTTTGTTGTGAACAATTTTTGTTAATTTTATAATTTGATTTGCCCAGGAGAGAGGAGAGTGCGTCGTAGCGTCGATCGGAAGTAAAAACAGAATCAGATGCGGATGCAGTTCCTGAAGTGCAGCATGCGCCAGGCCAAATAACGCGAAGAACGCAGCAGCAGCAGGGACAGAAACGTTGCAGCCTAGACCGAGCGTACTTGGAGTTACATAGAAATGACCATGGGCGAGCCAACCTCGTCTCTCGTTCTGCCCGTTATACTGCGGCCTATTTTCTCACAGGTAAGTAAGCCATCTCCGCAAGATTCGTGGCAGCGGTCGCGGCTCTGACTTTGGCTGTTGCGTAAACGCTAGTACCAATGTAAATGTGGTTGTATCTTGTAATTTTCCATTGCAGCTCGAGCGACGCGACGTTGGCGCTGCCCAGTCACTGCGCTCGGCCATTCTCAAGTCGGAGCAAAATAACCCGGGCTTCTGCTACGATCTAGTGGCCACGATCGTCCGAAAGGCGGACCTACACGTAAACCTAAACGAGGCCGTGCTCCGATTACAGGGCAACATTACAGAGGCAGACCGTAAGTGGTCATTGATTCAATTCCTTGTGACACAAATAGTTATATCCATTTTCTACGCAGTCAATGAATACCGATTGACGCGGACCGAGGAGCCGTTCCAGGAGCTAAACCGCAAGTCGGTGGCTCTCAAGGTGATCCTCAGCCGCATACCCGACGAAATAAACGACAGGAAGACCTTCCTGGAGACTATTAAGTAAGCAGTTGTTTTATATCTGCTTATATTATAATTTGTAAATGTAATCTCCATTTTTTTACAGAGAAATCGCCAGCGCCATAAAGAAACTGCTCGATGTGGTCAACGAGATCGGCTCGTTTATACCGGGCGTCACGGGCAAGCAGGCCGTGGAGCAGCGCAAAAAGGAGTTTGTCAAATATTCCAAGAAGTTCAGCACAACGCTGAAGGAGTACTTCAAAGAAGGACAGTAAGTAGAACATGAAGCTCCCCCCTCCAATGTATTTACATTGGCCTTATCATACGATACGCGGCCACGGCATGATAGCCGGTTTCTTTAATCGGCTCATATCTGGTTTCTTATCGTTTCGGGCCAACCGCTCGCATGATGTCACCGCATTGGCATTCCGGGTGTTTGTTGTTCGGTTTATCACATTGCGGCGGAGATTTTTTTGCTATGGGTGGCGGGGTTTGCCTACTTTAAAATTTAAATGGAAACCAAATTGGACGATTAGGCGCTGATAGTTGCGACCTTTGACTCTGTTGTCATTAGACGTGACCTTTCAATCTAATCGATTTTCAATTTAGTAAATAATTTAATCTGATTGTAGTGGGTAATCACCTAACTAATCGTTTGTACTTTCTTTGATCTATTTTCAGACCGAATGCAGTATTCATAAGTGCACTTTTTCTAATACGGCAAACGAATCAAATAATGCTGACAGTTAAGAGTAAATGCGAGTAGAGAATTAAACCCTTTAATTATGGAAATTTTTAGTGGCATTTTAATTTTATTTCTAAATAACCATTTAACCACAAACAATTCAAATAAACCAAGACCGAACACACTTAAATACCCAAATCGCCTGATGCAACAAGCCAAGTTAAAATGTTTGAAAAGTAAATGCAAATCTGTTGTAATTAAATAAATAGGCCCATTGAAAATCATTTACGTATAATAGTAACTATAATAATAATAATCGGACACTAAATTCAACAAAACCTAGGCATTGTAATTAATTAATGAGCAACTATTTATTAATACGATGAGATAGATGTGAAGTGTACGAGTATCATTTTGAGTTTACAATTTATTGTAAATAATTCATTCTTTTTCTGTTAACACAACAATATCAGTTTGTTTGTTTTTGTGTTTAGGAGAAAGCGTCTACGAATAAATTTAAAATTAGTGAAACAAAACGAGACACAGGATGATATGTATTGTATGTAACAAAAATAGTGGCGGAGGAATCGAAGGACACTTGGATTTTTAACTGTTTTTAATTGTTAGAGTTTGAAATTGTGAACCGAAACATAATAATCATTTACTTAATAATATGTTCGATTTCAAAATGCGAAAGACATAAGTAGCCGAAAGCACTATCAACACGAAGAGGAAAGAAATTATTTTATTTAAAAAATGTTACATGAAAAATAAAGAAACAAAAAAAGAACCTAAAAATAAAAGTAAAAACAGAAAACAAACTCATACTGTAGTCATAGCGAAAAAAAAACGACAAATAAATGTATTTATATTCCAAAAACAACAAATACTTTCATTTCATTTCAACATGGGCTTATGAGCCCATAACAGCTACTGTTAGTTAACAGTGGAGGCAACAACAGCGGCCGAACGTGTGGGAGCACGATAACATTTTCAACCCCAAATTGAGCGCCTGTGGAGAAAATTGCCCGTTTTTCAGTGTCATTTGGCAGAAAAATCGATTCCATCGCACACACTGGGCCACTCTGGGCAGGTTGGGCAGAAATCAGAGTACAAACCAGCCGAGCAGCGCGACCGAGATGACCCACTTTTCGGTTTTCGCACTGGAACCCAACTGCTCTACCAAACTAAATTAAATGTGCAAATATATACGGAGTTTTTTTTCTATCGTTAGATTGCGCTAATAGTAGCATGTTTAATCGCGGAAATTATGTACAACTCGTAGTCGTAGTGTAAACTCTATGCATTTATGTGAATTCCCCAGCGCAAACGTGGAAGAGGAAAACAGGCGACCTGAAAAAGCAGCGAGCAAGAAGCAGAAGCAGAAGCAGCAAAAAAGGTTCGCATCCCGTTATGTCCCCCCGAAAAAAACGACTTAAGGATAATATTTCGAAAATCTATGAGTCCGTCGTGATAAAAGTAAACCAAATCCTAAAATAAAAATGGCATAACAAAACAAAATTTTTTCGGACTGGTCCCGGGTGGCACACAAAAAAAAGTTATGCGAGCGAGCGAGCTGACGAAAAATTTCGCTCTACACCAAATGTTTTCCCAACAGCACCGCTGCTGCGTGAAAATTTTCATTTCCTTGATGGCTGAAAAAACAAAAAAATGGAAGAAAAACGAAATTGTCGCGTGTGTCAAGAAAGAAAAGCAAAGTGCCCAGTGAAAAATAAAATAATCTCATGCTAAAAAAGAAAATGGTTGGCCAGTGAAAAGTAAAAGTGTAAGCAAGCAGCATATCGATGGAGGTGGAAAAAGAGCAGCCGACGTAAAATTATACTCTCCCACACACACACACACACATACTCCTATCCCATACAAACACACCCACATGCTGATGCACATACATTCGTAAAATATGCAAATTCGAGTAATCGCACAAATACCAGTGCAATTTAAACCCTGAATGAAAACGAAAATTTCGGTCAAAATTGTCGTATTACTTGGTATTACTTGTCGAGAAACAGTGTGCATAAATAAAATCCCCTGACAAGGACTTTAATAAACCAAATCAACTGCAGTTGCCTAAAAACGGCGCCAATACTGGCTCACCCACACACACACAAACAGACCCGTATCCGTATAGTCCCTCGTAGGCAAGTAAGTAGATGTAAATGGCCACCGAAACTAGAGCAGCACCACTACCATCACCAAAACCATATCAGCGCAATGGCAGTAGCGGCATGTGTCGCATGCCTGCCTCTCTGCAGTGTTGCCTACTCTTTGGGGCATCATATATCACATTAAAGTTGCAATATTTGTACTCTTTATCATGTTTTAGTATTTTGCGAAGAATAATGTGATTGCATAGCTAGATATTTATTCTAATTTTGGGTTTAAGGTCTTTAGTATTTATTATTTTGTGAATTATGATCTTGAAGAGTTAAAAGTTATAATTACTTTACTATTTAACTCTAAAAGTCAAATATGGTGAGAAAAAGGCTAACTTGGCATTTCCCAAAACAATTCATATTCAAAAGCTGCCAACAGCAGTAAGTAGTGCTACGGCAGCGGAGCGGATGAACGAAAAGTCCCAGTTTCTGGCTCTGGGGGCGGTTCTGACACTTGCCTCGGCCTGCGCAACAACAGTGTTAAAGTTGTTTGCTGCTGCGTGCGTAACACAGCTATTACATACAACCCACACACATGCACGGCGCTGCTCCAAGCAGGAGCCAGAGGGGATAGAGGCAGGGGAGAGTTGTGCTCCGGGCTCCGCAGAGAGTGGGCAGGTATTGGCGTGCGGTTGACTACCTCCCCACCCTCCTTCACGCCAACATACACCCGGAGTTGGGTCCGGGTAGGTGTAAATATTCTCCGTGAACTACAGCCGTAACAGCTCCAACTTAGTAGCTCTGGAGTTCGGAGTTCCACTCCCTTTCGCCACCGTTCAATGGCAATTGCTTCTGATTGAATTTCGACGTTTAATTTTGGCTTTTGTTGTTGGCTCTTACGCACTTTGTTTATATTTATGAGACGCAGCGTTTAGCTTTCAAGGCAATGATCCCAAGTCACGCTCTCAGCATAACCCAATCGATTCGAGTTTAGTGTTGGGATGAGGGAGGCTAAGATGTCGATATTGTTAAAGAACTACAAAATTTATAAATATATTTTACATATATATCAATGAAATTCAACAAACATACTTTCTATAGTGAAATATAGGTTCTTAGAGTTTTAAGACTCTATGTTCAATAAAATGTTATTTATAAAGAGGAAAATATGAACATTGGTTAGGTTTACTGGTTAGGTCTTTAGGACTATGAATATTTATTAGATCATGACCTTATGAGCTTATGTTGGAACCCAAGTTTCTTTAGGACTTACTCATTCTTTAGAACTGCAAAGAACTCATAATGTTTTGGTGAAAAATGTATATTTCAATTCGGTTATAAATTGGAATTGGTATTCATCCATCCATTTATCAAAAAATACAGTTTCTAGATAATCTTTTTTAAAGTTTGATTTCAAGATCCTTTAAAGGGGTAATTGTTCCTACTAGGAAGTACAAGTCCTAAAGTATTTCCTAAAAGTATCCATTTTTTTTGCCTATTATTTCAGCCAGGATTAATCGTTGACTGTGGCCAATTTTGACATATGGCCATCATTCATTGATTTTTATGGGCTGGGAGGCAGCCAAGCTGCTACCATGGTTGAGTGGCCGCATGAGATTTCCCCTCTTAACTGCCCCACCATCCTCTTGAAACTCATATAACTGCTATGACGTTTTTTTTTTTACATATATACACAGTATATATATATTTATATATATATTTTTTTAGCGACAAATTTCGTGTGACTGTGCTCTGGAGGGTGTGTGTGTAGTTGGCTATAAATAGGCGAGATAGTTTTTTGCTCGTGTTCTTGTTTTGCTTTTTCCTTGGCTCTGCGATTGAGGTCAAACCATCAGAAGGATAATGAACTTTCCCAACATCTCAAATGTAATTGCACGACTTTAAAAACTTTCAGTTGCCAGTGTTGTTTTAAAAAGTTTTCCCAGCTGTCGTAGGCTTCGAGGTCGGTTAAGTATTTACATCTGACTATTTATTCATTTATACAAGTCCTGGCAATAGGATTCCTTAGTCCTCACACTTAATTGCTGCAATTAAAAGCATTTAATTGTTTCTCACTTTGCTTGAGGGTGCAAGTATTTCATTAATTAAACAGCACTTTCAAGAACTCTTTCGTTTTTAAAGAACTGGATACGAAAATAGGAAGAAATGTTAATTGGGCTGCTTTTACAAACTTTTTCTTGAAAAAAAGAATGTAAAAAATTGTTATTTTTTAAACAAAACTTTCCTAGTCTTGCTGAAAATCAATCTCGAAGTAAATCAAGTTGACACTCAAAATAGAAGGAAAAAGTTGAATGGTGGAAAAAGTTGTGAAATTAGTTTGTCGTAGTTGGGAGTCCAATAAAAAAGTTGTCATAGCTTCATGCCATTTTAGAGTTCAAAGTTCGGCTTTAATTACCACTTTTTACATATTCAACTTGTAGCCTGGCAGATGATTTGTGTGTAAAATTACGCATACGCCGCGTTGTGCGGAAATAGAGATATTGAGCTGATGGCCCGTTTTTCCGGCCCGACCCCAGCCGCTGCTAGGGGAATGAATGAGAATTTTCCATTTAATTTACTCCAATGGCCGCAACGACTTTGGCCAGAATGTGGGTTAATAGAGTGTAAAGCAGCACCAGGCCGCAACCCAGTTTCTGGCAGTTCGGTGGGCCCGTTGATTCGCCTCCCTGAGAGGTTGCCTGGTGAGCAGCCCCCGGCTCCGGCTAATCTGCACTTTAAGAACTCATTAAAATTTCAAGCCGTCTCACAACAGCCATAGAAACTGGTGTCTGTCTCTGTCTACCCATTTGTCTCTTGTCTTTAGAAGTAAATCATATATTAAAAAAAATCATGCGAAAGTTTCTTATTAACTATGTGATAGGTCTGCCTTGAGCTTAGTCATTTAATTAATTAATGACTGGTATGATTTTTTACGGTGTTTGGGAGGCTGGCAAACACTTCGCCTGTGACGTAGGCTCCTTCCGCCGAATGCGTGTGTGGGCGGGTGGATAAATGGTGCCAAGCACTGCTCAAGCCCCCGAAAGTGTGCGACAAACGGTGGGGAGCTTAAAATAGTCACCGACAGGCACAGACAGACACTAGCTAAGGCTGGGGCTCGGGCGGGAGAGGGTTTAGAAAGGACATAGGACATAGGAAGTTAAAAGTGGCTGATGTTGGAGCTGTTTTCTTTAAAGGCAAACAAGGAAATGACAGCGGCCGGATAGCAATCTAAAGCTATGGCCGAACAAAGAGCACGCCGAATATAAAAAAGTGCTCAGCAAACAAAAAACTACAGAGAAAAAAAATAATATGTTTATAAAAGATATTATAATGAAATGTTAAATAAAATTTTGTTTATAATCTTTGATTTAAAGTAAATATAATAAATATTAAAATATCATAACTAAACCCCATTAAATATTTTTATATTGGTTGTAATCTTCCTTTTTAAAGACCCTCTTTGACGAAAATGTTAATTAATTTTTGGGGCATACTTTGGTGTGTGTATGATTATGATAATGACAAAGGTCTTTCGCCCACATCTACTTCAATTGCGAAATGCTTGCAATGCGCTTCATCATAATTAAAAAATCCTGCGGCCTACATGGAGGACTCACATTTGTACGCACACGCACACCCACACACTCCGCAAACAGAACTCGTTTTATGTTGCCATTTACAGCGACCCATTACAGAGGAAGTGCTGTTATCAAACAACTTCCTTTGCACATGCGCCATTTTGGGGGTTCGCTCTCTCTCTCTCCGAGGGGATATTTTCTCTTGATGGTCAGACAGCCGACATTTTCGCATCCCTGTTTCCCACGTAATGAGAGCTGGAGAAGTAGAGCGATTAACAGCAGAGCGCAGTAACAGTAACAGATGTATTTCGTAGTAGTAGTGTTGTGGCTGCAGTTGTAACACACACATAGACACGTCTACCCTGCATAACAGCAACTAGTGGCCGTGCTTTCGTATTTCCCGTTTCTCTTTCACATTTACATTTAAGTTGAGCTGCACTGCGGTCGCGCCAGTGAGTACTTGTAATTATTTTATTATTTGCAACGCTAAAGTGTAATAGGCCAAGAAATAGTGCTACTCACTAACGAGCGATTTAATTAGTTAATGACCGTGATTGCGCGCTCCTTCGCATCAGCCATACATAGTACACACTCATACAAACGCGAACGAGAGGTGGGTGCATTTTATTTCTTTCCTGTCAAAGACTGCAATGCAAGTGAAGGGCGTACTGAAAATATCAAAGGCTTCCGGCTGGCTCCAGCTAAACGCTGTCATGCAAACGCCCACCAGAGGGCGGGGCCAGACCAGCACAGAAGCAAAGCAGCCGAGCAACATCATCATCAACATCGGCAATGGATAAACGCTGTCATAGCCTTTAAATGTCAGGCAGCATCGCCCAGGCACATCGGACCACATAAACACTGGCATTGACAGGCCACAGCCGAGGGAGTCCTGGTGGGTGGCAGGATGGGTGGGTGGCGGGGTGGCTCGCTCCAGCTTCCGATGGCTGCGAGCTTTGATGTATTAATAACAATTTATCGATGCAGCGCAGCTCCGGTAAATTGAATTCAATTTTGTATATCCTGCATTTAATGATTGGATTAAGATCAACGTAAGGGAGGCAGAGTGCACGCCATTTCCAGTTCTCGGTTTGCACTTCCTTGAATCACTGAATCGAGTTTACCAATTTCTGGCTTTCCGCCGTCTAGACATCCTGGCGTCGTCTATTGTCTCAATGAGAGTAGTAGTTAGGGAAGGCCATGACTAATGCAGGATACTCAGTCGTAACGGTGGCGTATGAGTAATTTAACTGCAATGCAAATCTGAAAATCTTGCCCAAATAACTAGGCATCACCGGCAGCTATCACAGGACCATATCATCGGACATTGGGGTCTTGTAGGCTGCTGTGCGTGGACAATAAATTTGGGCCGGCAGGCAATTAACCTAAAGTTCAAAGTTCGAACTGTCGCACTGACCCCTCACGGACACGTGCGTGCTGCCCAGAGCTGGCAGGCAGCTGACCTATTTCCATACCCCAGCCCACACACTTACACCCCAAGATATACACGATCCGGGCAAATAAATAAATAAGAAACCAATGCCATGGACAATAAAAATTATAACTATTTTCGTATCAGAGGCCGGGCCAAGTCAAGTGCCAGTTGAACGGCCCAGCGCCAGTTCCAGTGATTTATATTTTTGACATTCTATTATATACTTATAATACTGACCAAGTTTTTGCCTCTTTTTTTGGTTTGCAGTCGTCATAGGGGCAGCCACAGCATGCCGTACGAGTCGATGCACCATCATCAGTCGGCGGCCGCTGCCGTGGCCGCTGGCGTCGCCCCCAACGGAATGCTGGACTCCCTCAGCCTGCAGCTGCGCGATGCAGAGATGCGGCGCACGGAAATCGAACGGGCGCATCAGGTGATTTTTGGAATTCCAACTAGTAGTTATAGTATTTTATAACTTATTAAATCCTTATAGGAAACCCTGGCACAAATACGCAATTTGAGCGGAAGCGCACGTCCCGATGCCGAGGCGGTTGAAAATCTGCAATCGAGGGCCCGGGAACTTGAAAAGAAGGCAAGTTTAAATGAATTTTTAAGAAAGGATATTCCTAAATTATCCTTTAATTCAATACCAGGTCGCTTTGGAAAATGTGCGCTGCGAGGAGCTGCAAATCGAACTGACTGCAGCTCTGAAGGCCAAGGCAGCGCGCTCGACGGTCTCCGGAATGGGAATGGGAAGTGGGGCGTCCGGAGCCGGCGCAACTATTCCGACGTCAGCCAGCAGTTCCACCGTCACTTGGGCACCGACAATCAGTCACCAGGACCAAGGCTCCGAGATTGATATCATAATGGCAAAGATTGAGCAGGTAAGTTAATAGAATTTAAGTATCGTAACCTCTTCCAGGAAAACTATAGCTATATTATTCAAGAGCCAAACATTAATAACATTTTATATAGACATTTATGAAAGTGACAAGGTATTCTTTTCTCAAAATACAGAAATGTGACAAGCAGTTCATGTTTAGTAGGTGATACTAATCAAACATGTATATATCCATAAACGGTTTAAAAAATCGACAAAAGTTATACTTCGGGATGGAAATTTACTTTAGGATGCGGCATCTAACAGCTTAACAATATCCATCTCGAACTATAACCTCCTCGAATCGAAACCCCACCCAAAGTCCAGTTGTATCAACGCAAACGGAAAATCTTAAATGTTAAAGTAGCGCAACTGGTATGGATCCGTCCTTCCTACTCCGGTTGCTTGGCGGGATCGTCGGCGAGAGCCTCGTCGATGAATTGGCGGATATCCAACTGGCTGACCAGTGAGTTGCCGGTAGGAGATGCATCGCCGTCGGTGATGCCCTTCGAGAGGCAGGAGATAAAGCTCTCCAGGCTGCTCAAGCTGGAGGCCCGCCTTAAGGTGGCCGGGTCTGCGGCGTCGCTGGCCTCGAACTGGGTGCTGCTCTCGGTGGATTTGGGGTATCTCTGTTTAAGCATCGGGTCGGCAGTGCTGATCTGCAGCTGGCGACGCATCTCCTCGTTCTCATCGGCGAGCTGCCGAATGATACGTTGGTTCCCATCGCTATCGAGGTCCTCCAAGTCGGCGGTCAGCTTCATCACCTCCAACATGTGCTCGATGCGTGCGTTCTGGTCATCGACAATCTTCCGCATGCCGTTCATGTAGCGCTCCTTCACCGCAAACGATTCATCGAAAATGCCATCACTATTCTCGCGATGCTTGGACATTATAATATTGATGCCCTGCTGGTACTCGTCGACAGTAGCCTTTAGCTCCGAGTTCTCGCGCAACATCATCATTTGCTCATCCTCCTTGTTGTTCTCAGCCAGGTGCTTTAGCACCAGTTCCTCGCGGTACTTGCAACAATTCATCAAGTCCTGGTTGACACTCTCTCCCAGGGCGATCAGAGAATCGGTCGTGGCCTCCATGTTAGCCAATCCACTGGCTATCTCTTGGCTATTTTTTAAAAGTACACCAATGAGTCCGGCACTAATAGGCGATCTGGCTTCCTCGTTCTGGCGACCTTCCATCGATCTGGCTGTTGGGACCGCTAACGTTGAATTTTGAATTTTTTCGATGGAAATTCAATTTCTTGGACTCTTCCAAGCCAGGTTTGGAAGTTAAGAGAAAGTTGAGGGAGAGAATAGTCAGTAGAGCGAAGTCTACTACGTTTATGAACATATTTAAAAGGGGAACACCTTATAAATTAATAATTATTAATCTACAAAAACTAAATAGTTAATACTTTGTTCTTAAGAGATATATTTTGTTATTTTCTTGACCAAACTCTTCTAGGATAATCGCGTCCTGGCCGAACTGGAGCAGCCTCGCACATCGGCCAGCGCCAGCATGTCAGCATTGCCGCCCAGTTCCATGTTGAGCACGGTAAATAGCGAATTTAGAACCATATCAAAGAGTGGTAAGTACTGGCCCTACTTCCTTCGAGGATAATGACCTAAGAAATAATATTTCGTTCCAGAACTCGAAGAAGAACTGAACCGTTATAAAAGGGCCGTACTAGGCGGCGCCTCGGGCGGCGGCGGGGGGATGTCCGCGATGTCCTCCGGCTACTCGAGCCTGCCGCATTCGCTGGCCTCCACGCTGCCCAACGGCGGCGCCAGCACCAGCCTGAGCGGCACCAGCGTTGGCTCGCAGAGCGTGGCTGCCGCTGCTGCTGCCGCTGCCGCCGCCTCTGCCGGATCGGGGGGCGGAGGCATGGTCGGTGGCGGTGTTGGAGTCGGAGGCCTCACATCCATATCGGCCCTGGTGCCCAATCCAATCAGCGGCATATCCTCGAGCCTGAGCAGCCACGGCATTCAGTCGATGCAGTACGGGGCCGGGCAGACGTCCGTGGAGAAGCTGTTGAGCGGAACTAGTGGAATCTCTGGCATTCCACCTCTGCCGGTAAATATTCACACGATGAAGGCTATGCCAACGGCATTAAGTCAGGTAAACCAACTATTTTCAATCACAATGAACTAACAACAACAGCAACCACAGCCAAATAGTCGCTGCAATATTCAAATGTTTGATATTCAGTTTAATCGCGAGCCGCGATCGATTTGCTTTGACGCTTGCCACATCTAGACTATGCGTTTTTAATGCAACCTGAATACTTTTATAGACAATATATACATATATATTTACATATGTATCAATATGCGATCCGTTTTTGTACCCATATAGCGATCATCTATAAGTATCAGCTTTATCGTTCGTTCGTTCGTTCGTATCGTTCCGTTGATCGCCTGTTGCAGCTGAGAGCTAAGGACGATTGTGTCTTTGTGCAAAGATCACGCATTGCGTTTTGTTGTAGTCTCATTACTGATGAAAATAAGCATTCACATACAGTGCCATCCACTCGAACAACATCACATAGCCACACACTTGTACAACACCCAGTCTCACACAAAAGTCACACACACATACCCATTTCAGATTAGAGTATGAGTATTTTCGAATATTTCTTTGATTTTGCAATGCCTGCTTTTATTAAAAGTGTTTTCATTCCATCGCATTCGCTGGCATGCCGGATATATCATCTATTGTATCACTAGTTTTGTATTTTTGTAATGTTTTAATCCTGTAAATATATAATGAGCCCTATTCGAGTATGAAATATTTTCAGAAATTGAATAAATATTTTTGAACTTTTGAAAAATGTTTCTTAAACCCACCATCAACATACGATTTTAAAATCAAAGAAATCCTCTGAATAATAGTCTATAAATATAATTTTTTTGGAGTTATACTATTTTATGTATTTCTTATATAACATTTCAAAGTTCATAATATTTTTTAAAGCATATACACATGCGTACTCATGCATTTGCGGCATATACAGACATACAAACATGGATTTTATGTACCAACTTACATATATCATATGATTTTTTAAGCAGTTACTTGTTGATTGACGTTTTTGATGGTGATGATTGGATGCTAGCCACATAATTAACATAGATAACTCCGCTTGGAAACGGCTTCAGATCATTGCAGTTCGAATAGCCACTCATGACCAGCCGAAAATCACAACCAACATGTTCAGTTGTTCATGGTTCATGCATAGATGCCCATTTATGATGTTCTCCTAGATGCGTTTGCCTCTCACAGTCGAATAAACGTGTTTCCTGTGATCTCTCTTTCCGTTTCATATGCTTTCTCTGTCTTCCCTTTTATCTCTCTCTCTCTAATTTCTCTAATCTACATAATTAATGATGAATTCTGTGACCGTTCTCTTCTCCCCTCTGCCTGCGGCTCGGCTACGATTGCCGCGAATACAAAAATCTATAAAAAATAATAATGTCAATCAAAACTGATTTCTCGATCTATATGTATGTCTGCATCTGTATCTGTCACTCTGTATCTGTGTGTGTGTGCGTGATCCTATATTTGTGTAACTACACCTGTACAAAAACCACAACAAAAAACACACAACCTCGCCATGTAAATTCCAAAAACAAAAACCAAACCAAAACCGAAATCGCAAACAAAATTCCAAATTTTGCAAAACACGAAAAACCACACACGGCAATCGAACTGAAAACTCAATTTGAAATTCGAATCGAATTTGAATCTGAATATGAATATGAATCGAACCGAGAAGCGCGGAACAATACAACTGTACAATTTGCAGAGCACAACCATGCCCCTCCTGTCACTCAACTCGCATAACCTGCCGCCCGCCGGCTCGAGCAGCTACTCGGCCCTGGGCCTGAGCGGCGTACCCGCTGGCGTTGGCGGCACCTTGCTGACGCACCCCTCCATGGCCAATCTCGGCCTGCTGGACACCGGCACCCTTCTGGGAGCCGCCGGGCTGGCCGGCCTGGGCGCTGGACCCGGTGCCGGTGGCATTACGGGCGCCACTTCGCTCTACGGCCTCAGTGGTGGAGCAGCCGGTGCTATCGGCTCCTCCTATGGGCCACCCTTCCTGGATGTCGCCTCGAGCGCTTCGTATCCTTTCACCGCGGCCGCTCTGCGTCAGGCTTCCAAAATGAAGATGCTGGACGAGATCGACATCCCGCTGACGCGTTACAACCGCAGCTCGCCCTGCTCCCCCATCCCGCCCAGCAACTGGGGCTTGGACGAGTTCACCGACGGTCTCAGTGTCTCCATGATGCACAATCGCGGCGGCCTGGCATTGGGTGCCCTCGATCTGGACAGTGAGTATACGTCACACGACTGCCGTGGTTAATATTAATGTTTCATAAATCACTTTTCAGCCCGCAACCATGGCCTGAATGGAGCCAGTGAGCCTCAGGTGGATATGCTGGATATTCCCGGCAAAGGCCGCTGCTGTGTGTTCATTGCCCGCTTCCCCTACGATCCACCAGAGTAAGTTCCAAAGCTTATAAGATTCTTCTAATACACTTCATAGGGCGACCCACAGGGCGGGTACTTGATTTCCCTAAGAGTATGCTATGAAAAGTTTTATTTTAGAAAGGAACTTATGATAATAGTAATTGTTGTTTTATTTAATGAAGATATTTTAGCTTTAGAAAGCATATTACATTATATTCTACATTCATCTTATCATGATATTAAAAACCAATTTTCATACTCTAATAATTCCTTGTTGATGATTGCCTTTAAAAAATATTTAACCTTTTTTTAAGGAAGTATAGCACACACAATGTTAAATTAAAACAAGAAAGGAAAGCTAACTTCGGGCGGAGCCGAAGTTTATATACCCTTGCAGTTAAAACCGGATATATATCGCAAACATCGGATATAGTTGGCCGATCCTTATGGGAATAGGAATATATAATCCAATTTATTACAATACAAAATCTAAAAAAAGTCCCAAACTTCTATCTTCAAAAATACGAAAGTTGATATTTCTACCAAATACCATTTCCGATCGTTCAGTTATATGGCAGCTATGGGATATAGTCGGCCGATCCTAATGAAATTTGATAGGTTGGATCAATTGACCAAAAATAGAATCTGTATTAAATTCCAGCTTTCTATCTTCAAAAACACGAAAGTTGGGTCATTTCCGATCGTTCAGTTATATGGCAGCTACAGGATATAGTCGGCCGATCCTTATGAAATTTGGCATGACGTAATGTTTTGCCAAAAATAGCTCTCATGTCAAATTTGAACTCTCTAACTCTAAAAACACCAAAGTTATACCATTTCCGATCAATCAGTTATATGGCAGCTATAGGATATAGTCGGCCGATCCGGGCCGTTCCGACTTATATACTGCGTGCAAAGGAAAGAAGGGTGTGTGCAAAGTTTCAAGACGATAGCTTTAAAACTGAGAGACTAGTTCGCGTAGAAACAGACAGACGGACAGACAGACGGACAGACAGACGGACAGACAGACGGACAGACAGACGGACAGACGGACAGACGGACAGACGGACATGCTTATATCAACTCAGGAGGTGATCCTGATCAAGAATATATATACTTTATAGGGTCGGAGATGTCTCCTTCACTGCGTTGCACACTTTTGGACAAAATTATAATACCCTCTGCAAGGGTATAAAAAATAATAGTATTTTCTGAATTTCAAAGTGTTTTCATTACTTTTCCACATAGCTGTGAAGGAATATCCGATAATTTTTGAAAACACTTCCAATACATCCATTAATAATCTCTGTTCTACAATATATTCCAGAGCTTCTAATAAATCCTCTCTGTTTCCTTATAGGGAGGCAGAGGGCGAGCTATCCCTGTGCGCCGGAGACTACTTGTTGGTGTGGACTAGCGGGGAGCCCCAGGGCGGATACCTGGATGCGGAGCTGCTGGATGGACGACGGGGCCTGGTGCCCGCCTCCTTTGTACAGCGTTTAGTAGGTAAGTGGATCAATTTGGCTTCGAGTCTATAAGAATTCCTGTCAATGCTTATCGCTTTTGAACCTCTACCGCTATTTGCTAGGCGATGACCTCCTGGAGTTCCACCAGGCAGTGCTGTCGACGCTGCGAGACGCCGAGGACGGGTCGATGCAGTGCGACACCACTTCGCTGCCCTCTTTGCCGCCGCACAACCCATTGCTCACACACACCCACGAGGACCTGGCACGTTTGAGTGAGACGCACACCGATCTGGAGCACGACCAGGACGACATTAGCGATAATGGTAACTATACGTCCTCACCTCGGGCCCTTGTTTGGCTCTTTCATATTATAATCTTTTGGTTTTTGTGGCGATCCTCGAATGCGTCGCCGTGCATGGCATGAATGTGAGCATAATCCTTCAGACCCCTTACTCTGTTAGCCCGTAATAAAAACAAGCTTAGCACAAGCTACCATCTAAGCGTTGCTAGCCGCCATGATTTAGATTTAGACGCCATAGACGCTTCTGCAGCAGTGGTTTAAACCGCCGGCTAATGTCACACTTCTTGCTCCTCCCCGCAGTTCCAGCACCCAAGCACTTGACGCTGGAACGGCAGCTGAACAAGAGCGTGCTCATTGGCTGGTCACCGCCGGAGCCAGTGGGCTACAACCTCATCGACAGCTACCACGTCTACGTGGATGGCGTGCTCAAGGTCACCGTGAAGGCCAACGAACGCACACGCGCGCTTATCGAGGGCGTAGACTCCACGCGGGTGAGCTGCCCTTCTTAGAAAACTAAGCCAAAATTATTTAAAATCAAGAATAAGCCAATGATATAATATGGAGTACAAAAAAGAATCTAGGGAGAAACCTTCAGTCTGTTCGAAATTCGAGTGTAAATAAATCATCTCTAAATCAAATGGTTTCATCTCATTTATAGATGATTTATTTTAAGTTGAATCAAATATAAAGCATACCCTTGGAGTTTAAAATAAAGTATAAAATCATAAACCTTTTTCTCAAATATTTTATAATTTTTATAAGATTAGATTTAATAAAGTACCCTTATTCCCTTATCTTAGTAAAGAATGCATAGTCCCAAAATAATCGTTCATTATATTCATGAAAATCTCAAACTTCAATAAAATTCGGCTATTATTCTTGATTTTATTTAATTTTTTTAAGGCTTTCTTAAAAATATTTATTAACTTTGAATTATTATTATACAGCCGCACCGCATCAGCGTGCGGAGCGTGACCCAGAACAGGCAGACATCCAGGGACGCCGCCTGCACGATGATCATCGGGCGGGACACCTCGCATTTGGGCCCCTCGGCGGTGCGCGCCTCGCACATAACGTGTTCCTCGGCGGTCATCTCGTGGCTGCCGGCCAACTCCAACCACCAGCATGTGGTGTGTGTGAACAATGTGGAGGTGCGCACCGTCAAGCCGGGCATGTACAGGCACACGATCACGGGCTTGGCGCCGAGCACCCAGTACCGGGTGACCGTCCGCGCTAAGCACCTGCGGGCCGTTGGCCAACATGCGGGCAACGTGGCCCAGACGCCGGGCAGGCCCGGCCAAGAGGAGGCACCCGGAGCATACGCAGACTTCCGTACCCTCACCAAGGGTCTGCCCGATCCGCCGCAGGAGATCCAGCTCGAGGCCGGCCCGCAGGATGGTACCATTCTGGTGACATGGCAGCCGGTTAACAGGCCCACCTCGACGGGGCCTGTAACCGGCTATGCTGTGTACGCCGATGGTAAGAAGGTCACCGACATCAACTCGCCCACCGGCGACCATGCCCTCATCGACATTGGCAAGCTGGGCGTCTTCAATCCCCGTGCCGTCACTATTCGCACCAAGTCCCGCGACTCCCAGTCGGCGGACAGTGCGCCCATCTTGATACCAAGTAAGTATTTCGGATTTTTAGATGTGAGGCAAGAGCTGCATCTTAAGAGATTCTTGCATTTATAGACACTGTGCGCAATGCCGTGGCCCGCCGGGGACCAAACCAGATGGGCATGGGCCCACAGCTGCCGCAGGGGCCGCACCAAATAGGCGTGCAACAGCAGATGGGCGTGATTCCCGGCCAGCCCGGACAGCTGACAGCGGGTCAGCAGGGGCAGCACATGATGGGCCAGCAAATGGACCACGGGCAGTACGATCCGAATCAGATGCAACAGCAGGGCATGCAGCCGCAGCCAGGACAGCCGGGTCATCAGGTGAGTGAACGGCGTAGGTGCGGCGCCTCGGAGTCCGCCTCGCGTACACTGTAAATAACGTTTTGTTTTGTGAACTCGTTTGGTTTTATTATTTCGATGCAATTGGTTGATAACTCTTCAAAATTCTATTATAATCTAAATCGAAACCTTGAAACACACATCGAAGAATGTACATAATTTAAACTCGTCTTGAGCTCCAACATACTATACCAATCCGAATGCCACTCCACTATCCACACACCCCAAGGAATTCCCTCAAAATCAAAAAAAATCTGCCTGTGAAAGCCGCGCACCATCAAAAGATTGAATCAGAATCCCCCTCAATATATGTGACCCATTTGCATCAATCCTTTTCTTTACTCTCACCTCTATCTCTCTCTTTCTCCCTATATTGCTCTGTCTCTTTTTGAGAGTCATTGTTACCTTTCTTTTTTCCATATTCTTTTTCGGTCTATGCTTACAATCCTTTCTTAATGACTGCCTTTGATTTCAAATACTTTCCAACTACTATTTTCGGTCGATTTTGGTTGCAAATGAACCTATTATATACATACACTGAGCGAAATTGTTGAGACAACCGCACAAAATTCCCCACAAACGATAATCTCACATAATAATGATCTGCGAATCAGTTGAGTCTTCGGTTTCCGTGATAAGTTCCAAAGCAATTATGACCTTTCCCACCCAAAATAACTTGTATGTATGTAATTTATTTTAATTTTGATTTAAATTTATGTTTTCATTTGAAGAGAGTATGCCAGAGTATGCCGAATTATGATTTATTTGGGTTTTTGATTCGTTCAAGTATAGTTCACAAATAGCATGTCTTAAAGTGCAGCAGCTAATTGCAATTACGAAATATTATTAAATATTAAATCAAATACATAACTAAGATTTTGAACTTTGTTGAGTTGTTGAGATTTAAAAATAGAGTTTTTTAACTAATTATTGAGCCGAAATGCCAACAATTGTCTTAAGGATAACGCAATGCAACGAACAATTTTAAACAAAACAGTACATATTCATTTTCATTGTATGAAACCAAAAACCGATACCGATAACGACAAACAGCCCGACGGAGGCTCCGGCTTGTTAGGTGGCCTGCTCGGTGGCCTCTTCTCGAAACCCACACAGAATCAAGTGAACCAGAATGTAAGTTTTACCCACAACATCTTTCACACACTCAGACACACTATGAACTCACCATAAGCCCACAATACACACACACACTCTTTTATCCACACTAGCCATAAGTATCTGTAATACTTGCTTCCAAGTATCTAGAAATATATTACGTGTTCGATGCATATCTTATAGCTAGAACTTGCGCTTAGCTCGAAAACTGGATAAACTTATATTCCGAAGCTAAACTAACTATATGATAGCTATTTATTTTGCCTCAGTTTTTAGAGATTTTTGGTTAAATGATATTGTTGGTTTTAGTTGATAAGTATCTAAGTTGTGCCTCTAGGGAAAAAGCTATAATATCATTTTGGGTTCGTCTGTAAGTATCGTATTCCAGTCTTAGAGATCTAGACTAATATCGATTCCTGAGGGTTACAAATGCATGAATTAATCCTCCATTAGAACTCATGATGGTTGGATATATGCAGAATCCCCTTCCGACTGAAAAACATCTCTTTGAATTCATCTGTAAACTATAAAACTCTGTAGTCCTCAATCGATCTCTAGTTATCCCGACTATACATATGTAAATATGTATCTATTTCAAAGTTGGTCCTAGATGAACATGTATATTTTAAACACCCACATATACCACTCATAGATACTGCCACAGATACCCAGACCACCCACAAAGATACTCTATGAAACTCGAAACCAAATCCGTATCTGTATCCGTGCTTTCTTACTTCCGATAACATCCTAACCTTTTCATCTATACTTACTCGTATAGCTTCGTACTCGACTATCAGCTATAGATATTTGACTTTTTCATTCGTATTCATATTTAGATCGTAATTCGTCATAAATACATATATATATATATATACAAACACATAAACATTTATACAATTAAACGCCACTAACACCTGTACACACTCAGCTTCCGTACTTCCCTAGTTGTCTAAAGAGAATCGCTAAATGTAACCGCTAATGCAGATGCCTCCACTTTGCTTAACGATTGAACCTCTCTAAAGACAATGTGAATGAAAAACAGAGTACAGATTAAGAATTGCAAAACACCCCAAAAAAACAGAACCCAAAAACTAAAGCTAACTAAATTTTCAAATTCATTCAAATTGATTCAAATTCATGCGCGCTACGAATCTGCTACGAAACAACCTCGAATCCCATCCAGGGCTACCAGCCAGGGGCACCAGGCACCCAAAGGGGCATGGTTCCGATCCCGGGCCGGCCGCAGGGACCACAACAGCAGCAGCAGCCGCCCTACGGACCCCAGGGTCCCATGGGCGGGCCCCGCTTTCGAGGACCAGTTCCGGGCCAGATGAACATGCAGGGTCAGCAGATGCAGGGCCAGATGCAAGGCCAGATGCCGGGACAGATGCCGGGTCAGATGCAAGGGCAAATGCAAGGACAGCTGCCGGGACAGATGCCTGGTCAAATGCAGGGCCACGTGCAGGGCCAGATGCCAGGCCAAATGCCTGGCCAAATGCCTGGCCAGATGATGGGTCCACGCGGTCCGCTCAACCAGCAGCAGCAACAGCAGCAGCAGATGCAGCAGGGTCAGATGATGCCCGGCCAGCAGCCCGGTCAGCAGCCAGGCCAGCAGCCCGGACAGCAACAACAAATGCCGGGCGCCCAGAAGAAGCCACGCTACTTCGTTGCCATGTTCGACTACGATCCCTCCACTATGAGTCCCAATCCCGATGGCTGCGACGAAGAGCTGCCATTCCAAGAGGGTGACACGATCAAGGTAAGACCACTGACATTGATCACTTTGATCCTTTGATCCCACACAGAACCACCAGACACTTTCCAGCAGCCAGAAGCCAGCAGAGGCGACGGTTCCATCTTTCTAACTCTCCAGCACTTCTCCGATGGGCAATGGTAATCCGTAACCGAAACCGAATCCGTATCCGTATCTGATGCTACAAATTGGTTGCAATTGGATGCGATCGATGGCGACTGATTGATGTCAGAAATTGGCTGCGCTTGCTTGTTGCGCTAATTGAATGAATCAGTGCATGTTTTTCCTTCGCCCCTTTGCCCCAGAATCGTTGAGATACCTCCCAATTGCCCCCTCGACCCATTGACCCCGACTCACCACCACTATCTAACCATACAGTACTCAATATCCACCAAGTAGAAGTTGTTCTCTCTTCTAATAGTTCCATAAATACTCGTTAAGTTAGCGTTATGCACTCAATACACTTACAAATACAAATAACCACCTCTATAAGTACGGGTTTAAGCCTATTACTAACATCTGGATTTTGAACGCCTTCCCGTCCCCTCCTATCTCTCCGCTCCGATCGATTTAGGTCTTTGGTGATAAGGACGCCGATGGCTTCTACTGGGGAGAGCTGCGTGGCCGCCGAGGATACGTACCGCACAACATGGTATCCGAGGTGGAGGACACCGCCGCACCCATGACGGCCGGCGGCCAAATAGCCGGACCCATGGGACAAGGTGTGGGCCAGGGAGTAGGCGTGGGTGTGGGCGGCACCGCCCAGGTGATGCCCGGCCAGGGGGCTCCGCAGCAGAGCATGCGGAATGTGAGCCGCGACCGCTGGGGCGACATTTATGCGAATATGCCCGTCAAGCGGATGATCGCCCTCTACGATTACGATCCCCAGGAGTTGAGTCCGAATGTGGATGCCGAGGTAATCCTTTATATCTTATTATATGGGAAGCATAATGATATCAATCGTAGTTTTATTTGGATTATTACTTTCCTTTAGAGCCTACATGGCGGATGAATAATTTTGAATAATTGTAAAAATGTTATTGGTCCAATTTGTTTAATAATTAGAGGCTTAAAAGAATGATTCATTAAATTGGCAAAGAAAGATTAAATTAAACCTAACAACAGGGCGTGTGAGTAATTTTTAATCACTCATCCAGAATATTCCTCATCCGCCATGTATGCATGAAATATTACTATGACAACAATATTCGTACGAAGATTAGACTTATGAAGAGGTCTTTAAATGTATATATTAATTTTATTCAATTTATATCATTAACTAAAATTGTTATTTCTCTTAACTTACAGCAAGTGGAATTGTGTTTCAAGACGGGCGAAATCATACTCGTTTACGGTGATATGGATGAAGACGGTTTCTATATGGGCGAACTGGACGGTGTGCGGGGACTGGTGCCGTCTAACTTCCTGGCGGATGCGCCCGATCAGTACAACAACCAGATGGGTCCAGGCGGAGTCGGGGCAGGCAGAGGCGGGCTGAGCCAGAGGGGTAGGGGCCAGGGTCCCGGAGCGAGGGGCCCGCCGCCGCCGCCGAGAGACAACATGATGCCCGGCATGGGCGGGCAACGCGGCCAACCGGGCAAAAGTAAGTAGGCTTTGTGAAGATCGAGGTGACCAGTTGAATTTCGCATATTTTTTTTTGATTTCGTTTTACTTTCGTGTGTCTCTATTTTTATTGCGCTTGAGTTGAATACGAATTAACCAGTGATCGAACGATTATGAAAACTAATTATGCGAATTTAAATCACGGGCTTAACCAGAGTTGAGTTTTTCACGTTTTTGGGTTCCTTTTCGGTTGATTCGTTTTCAAAATCTGAAAGCCAATACTACCAAAAATAATACAAAACTACAATACTCTTTAATATCGAAACCACTTTTTAAGATGAATAACTATGCAGGTTCTTTCAGACTACATAAACAGTTCCACAAGCGGGATAATATATATATTATAAATAAATATATATATACCTATACTATAGCAATCCATTTTAGTTGAAATTTCCCAAATCTTATTTTTAGTTTCGGTTTTGTTTTATTTGAAAACCCGATGAAACCCAACGATATATTACAAATCAGCGAACACAGAGAATATTTCACTCTTTCTCTCTATCTGTCTTAACTCTCTATCGCCAAAATTTCCAAATGAAACAAAAACAGTTACAAGTTGAATACAAAATTCTAATTTTGAACGCCGCTAATTTGATTTCCATTTCGATTCCGAGCGAACTTTTGTACAACTCTTTTCTCCCATTTTCTTCAAATATATTTAATGCGATTTTGTTGATGTACAAATAAAGTTATTTCCAGCACCAATCAGTTCAATATTTCCAACTTTATGCCTATATAAATATTACCTTTTCCTTATTTTCGTACCATTTTTTTTCGTTTGGATTCAAATGATATAATTCTAATCCAATAAAAATATACAATAGATAGTTGTTGTTCTTGTTGTTGTACACACACAATATAAAGTATTTCTTAATCATTCATTGAAGACTTCATTGAACCATTTTTCATATTGAGAATAAAGTCAAAATCGAAAATTAAATTGCATAAAATAACAATCAGAAGAACATCATTCAGGCTCATTAAATCATCTTCTTAAATCACTCCTTTTTTTCATTTTTATCTTTGTACATAAGCCTTCACCTAGCTTTCTTTCAATTGTCTGTACAAATCTTATATTTTTTTTTCAAATCTTTACTCGTATCCTGTCTACAATTCTCTTCCTGTCTTGCGTGCCTCTTTATAGCCGTGTATAAATCTAGATGGTCTCTTGCATGTTACTTAAAATAATTTACAAAAAAAAAATATTATTTTCATTTGTTTTATTTTATTTTGGCTTAATTTTTAGTAAAGCAATTGTTTGCATTAAGAATACAAATTACTTGCACCTGATTGCCGAATGAATTGATTGCCTAGTTGATCACCTCTGAGCCAAGTCTGTGAATGTGCATTAACCCAAAGACGAAGAAGTAGTAAAGTCACTCCAAATGCCTGTAAATACTGACGAAGGTTCCGTGCAATCGACGAAAGATTATATACTCTTGGAGACAAGGTCCTAGGGAACTGCAAAGTGAGATTACTTCCGAGCTTTAAGTCCTTTCAACTATCCCTGGATACCGGAGATCCACAATCCGGTTCGAGCCCCCTTGTATCCGTATCCGTATCCCTGATAACGTTATACGAGTACGAGTATCTGCTTTTCGAATTAAAAACTAAAATATTTCTTTTAGCGTTGTTTCCTCTTGTTGATTTTGAATTTTTGTTCGTTTTTCGTTAACTTCTTTCCTTCTGGTTTTCTGAATGTTGGTCTTGTTTGTTTGCCAATTAGCTTCTTCGACATATATTTGATATTTGTTCATTTTTGTTCAAGATATAACAACAAAAACAACAACAGCATCAGTAAGGGCTCCAAGCACCAAATCCAAATTATGAAATATAAAATATGAATTTGCAAATAAAATACGAGCAGTATCTCTCTTGTATTTAATGTACATTTTTATTGTAAAATACTAAACTTAAACTTGAATTTTCAATCACTTATTTCCTATATATAACTTATGTCATATAATGCCTTAATAATATGTAATAAGCTGATAAAGTGCCCGTCCAAATGCTATATATTTTACCCAAAAATAATTGTACAATGCATACGAATGCTTATGCAATTGCCACTAAGAACAAAACTCTGAATATGCAATTCAGAAACGCCCAGAGCTCCTCAATCTTTGGAGTTCAGTAGGGTATTCGTGTTCGTAACCCAAGTGAAAAAAGGTAATATTGAATAAACACACTTTTGATAATGATTACGTCTGGACCAGTAACAACAATCAAATCGTATGCAATCTATTAACTTAACTCTCTTTCTGTCTTCAACCCTCAACTAATCTTATCCGATCTGATATCCTTTGGCGCCTTTTCCTCTTGATTTTGGTTATGACTTTGCGCAATAAAATTAAAAAAAAAAAACAAAACATACTTTCGAAAAGCCCGTATTATACTTACATATATTTGGAAGTGATTTTTTGAGTCCTGAGTCTAGTTTTGAATGTTTCAGTTAACCCTTTTACTTTGAGTTGTCCATTGATTTGTTCGTGAACTGAGGTGAATTATATAGATAAATAAAGTCATTTGATCGCCCGAATTAAACGCGCAGATGAGTTAATCAATATGTATCCAATCTTGCCAATCAATCAGTCACAGATTTCAAATAGGCAGCTTCAGCAGACATAACCCGAGTATATATATAGAAATATAAACTCTCTGCAAATTGTACGCGTCTAAATTCCATTTCGATTTCGATTGGTTTGGTTTTTTAAATTTTTGAATACTTTCAGTTCCGTTTGAGTTAACGATTAAGATTACGATTTTTGGTTAGACTACTACAACTTCTTTCAAATAATTTTTTGTAATGGTCTGCTGTGGTAAATGTGAAGTCTTTATGTTATATTCGTTGCTATAGATGCTCGCCCTGCTTCCCCTACACTGTTAGACAACACGGGCCATCCTGCCCCCGATCACCAAACGCAGGTAAATACTCTTTCTCTTTTGTTTCACTTTTTGTTTTGATATAACGAACGTATGAAAAGAAAGAAAAATATAAAAGATATACCTACAATATTTTCCTTTGTTTGTTTGTGAAAAAATAAATGCTAAAGCTAATTAAACGCAAAAAGAGTTAAGAATACACCCAATGTAACCACAACAACTGTTCACCTAATACCCGATTCTACTGCTACAATATTATTATTATTCAACAACAGTTACAACTTCTACAAGCTATGTCCTCTACCTTAAACTATACCTGAACCTATACCCTTCTACCTATTCACTTGCTATCTCTGTCGATCATTAATTTTTGGTTCCGATTCTCGGCCTGGCCAAAAGCCAATCAGTAGATTCCCCAGATACAGCTATCCCGACACTCAGACAGAGGAGACACACGCCATATCTTTCCTGCGACCTACTGCTATCGCTTTCGTTTATTCGATTTATTCGATTGTCCACTGTTCCGTCTCTTATTCTTTCACTCTCTCTGTGTCTATATCTCCTTAACATTCTATATCTCACTCTGTCTATATGTATTATGTACGTATATCCAACAAAGCTCTCAGATCAAATCCAATTCAAACGCTTACAGTACAGTACTTGAACATACCGATTTACGATAAATACCGATTAACCGATTACCGATCAACCGATTTATATATAAATATAGTACATATGTATAGCTAGCAACATGTAGTTAAACATTATAAATACCAATACATTGCAACCAGACTGAAGAGGCTCGTCCGTGTAAAGTAACTAACCCCAAGTATCATATCCTGCAAATGCCGCACTTCATGTTGGTGTAAAATACTCAAGAATCAGCTAATCAAGATAACCTATATATATGTGTATAGTCTGTACATAAACTATAGCCAAGGAACATGAGTCAAACATCAGCAACAATTTCCACAGCAACATTCATTTACATCGATTTTTATTTGTTTGTCATTCACTTATTTTCATCAACTTTAGATATTTATTTTCTTTACTGTATAGTTTCCGAATATTTCTTTGAATACTTCCTCAGCTTACAGACTTTTGAGAATTAAATAATGCCAAGAGGTTTCCTAACTATTTGCTTATTTCCCATTTGCTCTGAAGGTGCTTTAAGATACTTCCCTTTGAGACTGCTTTTCTCAAATTCCAGCATCATAACTTTTAAGCTTATGAAGTAAAGAAAATGGGAAGGTAGCTAGGTGTTATCGCTTCTAAATTAGCTTGGAGAGCAAACAAAAAACAAGTTTCGCAAATTGAGATAAATTAGGCAAACCAAAATGTGTACAAATTGTTTTTTTCACACAGTATCCGAAACTCTTTATCTACGAACTGCTAAATACCAGATACCATATATGCCAGATACAAAATACACACTTAAGTAAACTTATTACTGATAAGATGTGATACATACCTATAAATATATATAAATATTTATCTATATATAAATAAATTTTTATTTTCTTACTGGTATACGCTAATAATTATATTAATTGCTACTACTACTATATGAAATATTGGATGTAATGTGTACAAATTTCTATGTGATTCACTGTATGTGTAATTCTTTGACATTTTTTTCAGTTTTCGGTTTAATCAATTGTATTTTCATTTGACCCCCTCACTCTTAAGTTTTTATTTGTTTAATAAATCTGTAATTGCTTTTCATTACTATCAACTCGATCCTTCCATTATGATTTCTTCAGTAAGTTTGCATCTAGCTTTCGGTTTCTACAACAAAGAAAGTAACACTTAACCCCAATGAAAGCAAAAAAGATTGTCGGGACCAGATTTATTTTGTTTGTTTTTTTCATAAACTCGAACTCATCCAAGGTTGACAAGATACCCCCCTATTATAATTATTTTTGTTTTCAATGATTGCCTAGACACGTTCACAACACACGCCCGCCGACCAGTAAGTGGGTTGCATTTCACGCCTCATCCAGGTAGTGTAAATATTAGAGCCTTAGATATAGAACGTCCGATCCGAGAACGCATATCCTGGAGACACCCGAACCATGTCGAGAGATCTGTTGTGGGAATGCGTATTTTTGAAAAGTTTTTGATACATTTGCTTTTTGCCATGCAAACTCTTTAGTTGACCTTTGGCCTTAGGCCGGTTAAATTCGTTTTGAGTTGAACACTTTTAAGAAACGTTGCTAGTTCTACATACTTTTTCATTTTCCTCCCAATCAACGGATGTATTGAGTTACATCCCATCACGTAATGCTACTGTTACTCGTTTCAATTGAGGCCAGAAATCAAGCCTTCCAAGGGCCTCTGGGTCCTGGGAGCTCCTTCATTTCGTCGCCCTGTTAAGCACAATCTTTCATCTGCAAAGATTCAATTCGGTTTTTGACTAGCCATTTTTTAGTAATCAATAATAGTTTTCATTACTAACACCACAAATAAATAACCAATTTCATCTCGAGCAACTCAACGCCTACTGCTCGAGGACGAGTTCAACTAACACCCAACTAGTTCGTTACGAAAACGCTAAACTTACTAACCCCCCGGCCTTTTGAGAGAATAACAATCCATGAAAATATTAAGAAACCCCCATAATATACGTACAATATATATATATATTTAAAGAATTAGTTTGCCATTCGTTTATGCGACCCAAGCCTGACTGGAATCATGCCACTAACCTTTCTGTTTTGGTCCACTCTCTCTGGATGATGCCACCTTGCAGGGGATGATCGGTCGCGTTGGTAATGTCGGCATGCAGCAGCAACAGCAGCAGATGCAGCAGCAACACCAACAGCAGCAGCCGTACGGTCAGCAACAGACACAAATGGGACAGCAGCAGCAGCAACAACAGCAAATGGGACAACCTGGAATGATGGGTCAGCCGATGGGTCAACAGATGGGTCAGCAGCCCATGGGCCAGATGGGACAGATGGGCCAGATGGGACAAATGGGCCAGATGGGTCAGATGGGGCAGATGGGTCAGCCGATGGGCCAAATGGGGCAGCAGCAGCAACAACCGCCGGTGACGACGCAGGCGCAAACGGGTGGACTGTTCTCGGGAGCGACTAGCCTGCTCTCTGGTGCTACCTCGGCTGCCACCGGTGGTCTATTTGGGTCGAAGCAACCGCCCAAAACGGATCCAATGCAACCACCCGGGGGTGTGCAGCCAGCGCAGCAACAAGCGAACGCCTTCGGTGCCCAACAGCCCGGAATGCAGCCCGGGATGCAGCCGGGAATGCAACAACCGGGAATGCAACAGCCGGGAATGCAACAACCCGGCATGCAACAGCAACAACAAGTGCCACCGCAAGCCCAGGCTCCGCCGCAGGGTCCGGGCGCCGGCCTGCTAGGCGGGTTAAAGGGTATCGCGGCAGCGGCGCCCGGCGGCGATGTCCTGTCGAAAGGGAAAGACCTATTCGGAAAATTCGGGTTTGGCTTTGGCAAATAACCCCGGTCATTCCATAGGGTCCTGTTATATTATTCGTAGATTAGACTTATTATTACTATTATGATTATGATTATTGCTATTGATTACGATTACTAAGCTAATATAAAACAAAAACAAAAACCGAAAAAAAACAGAAAAATAAAACAAAACCCATACAGACGGAGGCGCAAAACCAATGCTATGTGTAAACCAATCCATAGTCCCCTGTGGGCTGATGTGAACCCTGTTGTCGATATGATACGGAACGATATGATATAGCAAAATGAAACTGCAACTAATAGAACTAATGATAATATTTTTTATTAATTAAATTGATAGAAATATTATGAGTGACCGGCAACAGCTGTAGCATTGGCCCGGCAGCTGGGACAGAGAAAGCCACAAAACCAAATGAATTGTTGTAAAATTATTTAAAAAATTGCCAGTTTAGGTAACTGATAAAGTAACTTGATAAAAATTCAACCCACTAACGGATAAAGCTCTATAATACAAGCCAGGTTACCGACAACAAACTCTTCGCCTACAGACACATTCAGATACAGAACACATAGAGATGCAAAACACACAGATATAACATACGCAGATGCAGATATACAGATACGATACATATACATGGTGGGAGGAGGGATAAGAAGATATATATTATATACATACATTATATTTACAATTATTTGTTAACGCACATTGTTAAATTTGCTACTGTTGCTGACCAGTTTATAAATATAAAACCAAAGGAAAAGAATAAAGATAAAGCAAACACATAAGGTAAACTAAACCAAATATAAACATACATATATTATATGTATATATTTAAAATATATTGAAAACTAAATTGAGATACACTAAACAAATTACATTTATAAATCAAAAACAAAACATAAAAACAAGTGAAACGTTGAGCAATGACGCAGAACAAATACACATACATTGAAGTAAATAAAAATAAATCGATATGATACATATTTACATATATACGCATATACTAAATACGATTTCGCATTCAAGCCAACCTCCAATCGGGCGCAATCCTCTACTTCCAAGGTCCAGTTTAAGAAGATACATATGTACTTTCCATTTTCCAGTGATATACTACCAGTGCGAGATAGAGAGTTATACCAGAGCCGAAGCAGCCCCAACAGCAGACGTGATCCTTCGACTTCTATTCTATTCTATTGCATTCTATTCAGTACCTTTCGAATACCCAAATTCTTTCAGTGTTTGATGTCCATAGAAGCATAATTGCGATTAATATATCAGTGTAACGTAAACAAAACCAAAGACCAAGAGAGATCTACTCCTACACACAAATATGAGATATCCGAAAAGTCATACACAAGTATATAAACTACTAAAGAGCCTAAAAAATAAAACAAAAACCCATTAGCGTTAGACGCAGAAGACATGTTCACTAAATTCGGCATGGAGAAACTTTCCATACAAATATTGTATTTTCTTTATCGTAATCGAGCCGCCCCTTGCTACATCTTCCTATTGCTAAACTACTTTACTTCAACTTATCCAACTTATCCAACATACTCGGACACTTTCGACCGTTATTTTACTTGCTACCGATAGTTGCGTTCCTCTGGGAGAACTTTTGCTTTATCCTGTTCGAAAGAGTTACGAAAAAGATAGTCAACTGTTTCCTAATGTTTAAAAAATTGCTTTGACTCAGCTCCCATTAAACGAAAAACAAAAAGAATATTTAATAAAATTTATAAAAAAAAAAACCAAAAACAAACACTCTAACACAGCATACATCGCGTACCTCTTGCTTTACGAAAATACAAACATTCAAGAAATGAAAAGTATAAAGATAAAAGATAATTAAAATATACCAATGACGAAATTGATGAAACAAATATATTTAACATGGCATATAGAGTTGCATATGTATATGTGCTTGAATGGCAAATAATTGTGAGCAAATGATTACTTTAAACGGATGCATAAACACACAGATACACTGACTCACATAGATACACTCACACACTCACATACACAGTCAACTGCGCAGGTTGACACTGTAAATTGTAAACTGGCAAATAGTAGTTGGCAGACACTTACCTAGATATCGAAAATAGTTGAGTTGATAGCTAAGAATGTTACAAAAAAAGAAGAAAAGATGAGAAATGAAACAAGCGTTAACTTTTCCCACGTAAATGATTTAAATCTTACAACAATCAAGTCACTGTATTATTTAGCCACACCAGAGACAGACAATTACAATCTACAAGCCTATCTTCGGCATCCACCGAAGCTGTAATGCCCCTGCAACTAGAACTGAGATAGTATCATCTGGCATCTGGCCTGCAAGGGTATACCGGAAACACACTAACACAGATTCAGAACACAGATAAAGATAACCCTTGAGTACACTATATAATCATTTACTAGACACCTATACAAGTACATGTACAACAAAATCAGTTTATTTCAAACCGAAACAGATTCCGAATCCGATACCGATGCGAACAATATAATATGAAATTAATGTCAAAAAACCTATAAAAAGTAAAACACTCACAGACAAAGAGAGATAATAGCGGAAAATACTATGCAATATGAGATGGATAAACAAATGGAAACCAACTAAATTGTTATACTGTATTATTATACTTTTTCTATAAATTATAATTTCCTTATTGAATGAGAAAAAGCGAAAAAAATAATAATTAAACAACAATTTCAAAGAATGCAATGGCCTTTCAATTAACGCGACAAGCCGCCCCTGACATTACTCATACGCCGCGTATGACGGTGGCACGAGGCTGGTTTTATGACTCCCGGAGATCATCTGCGGTTATCTTTATGAATTCATAGAATAATATACATAATTTTTAATAATGCATTTAGGTATTTACAGAGTCGGCCTAACTTAACAGCCACAATATATCTAAGTCTAGTAGCTAACTAACTTGCGTCTCTGCCACTTGCGCAATATCCGCTGCCGCCACTCGCATGCAAACATCAAGCGGTAACAGGCAGATTAATCTACAATTAACCCCGACCTGACGTCACTCGGCGCCGGATCAAAACAGTCAGATGCTGACTGACATCTGGAGAAAGCTGATAAGAGCAATCTCTACAGCTTCTCCTCCAGCTCCGCGGTCACTTCTCGCTCCTTCTCGGTCTGCAGGTGACTGAATAGCTGGCTGTCCTCCTGGCAGAAGCGCACATTGCTGATCACCGGCAGCATCTGCTGCACCTTTAGACTCATATTCTGCAGGATCAGTAGGACATCATTGGAGGCCATCTCCTTGGCCACGGCTATCAGCATTTCACTGAAGGTGGCGTCGAACTGCATGAAACGGGAACAATCGAGAACTACGGGAAAATCATTGTGGTACAAGGAACAAGCACTCCTCAGCTCAGAGCGAAGGCTGTCCACTCCCGTATAGTAGACATCCGTGCGGGGCACCACATGCACATAGTAGCTGGACTCGTGCTTAGGGAAGAAATAAAAATTAAACCTAATGTTTTGAGGGATGCGGTCTAATGTCTCACCTTTTTCAAGGCCACTTCTATCTTGGGATTGCCCAGGCGCAGCAAAATAAACACCATGCTGAGAATAATGCCGAAGAGCAGGCCCAGCTCCACACCAGCCACAAGACAAATAATGAAGCTTCCCACCCAGCTAAAGAAGTCCTTTTTGTTGGTTTGCCACAGCTCCTTGACGGGCGCCAGATCAATCTGAGGGATAGTGGGAGTTATATTAAAAGTTTTAGCTACTCTCTGGCAATACTAACCATAAAGATAACCGCTGCAATAAGTACGGCAGATAGCGAGGCCTTGGGAATGTATTGGAAATAAGGAGTTAAAATGCTCAGGGCGGACAGAACAATCAATCCGGTGTAGATGCCAGCCATGGGGGTGCGCACTCCGGAAGCCTGACTTACAGCCGAGCGGGTGAAGGCACCACATGTGGGCATGGCACTAAAGAAGGAGCCGGCTATGTTGCACAAGCCCAAAGTCAGCATCTCCTGCGAAGCATCCAAATTACCATCCTTAACTAAAAAATATATAGACAATAGTAAGAGTAAGATTTAAAAAATATTGCGTATACGCACCAAAGGCCTTGGCAATAGCCACGTTGGCCAGAACAGCTACAATGGGAACCACAATAATGCCACTGCCCAGCTCATGCAGGATATCCGTGAAGACATAGGTGCGATTCTGGTATTCGAAGGCGAAGGGGGGCAGTTTGATCGTGGGCATGGCGGAGGACACTTTTGAGGAAAGGGCGAAGGGAACCGCCTCCATGGAGCTCTTTTTCACCCACAAGAAGACCAAAAGTCCTGTGAAAAAGACCACCAAGGCATTTCTGGAAATGCTAATGTACCACAGAATCTTTTTTAAACGACGAGTGACGGCTGTGTCCTGACTGAACTTGACCTGAGATAGGAGCTAAAAGAAGAATTAATTTTTAATATATTGAGTTATTTAAAAATAATATCACAAAAATAAAGAAGAAACAATAAATGAGCTTGCAAAACTTTCCAAACAGGTTTATGGCTGTTACGTTTTTCATAAGAATTTTAAAACCAGTGCCCATAACCAGTGATAAACAAGAAAGCAAAGCTAACTTCGGGCGGAGCCGAAGTTGATATACCCTTGCAGCTAAAACCAGATATATATCGCAAACATCGGATATAGTTGGCCGATCCTTATGATTACACCATAATAAAACCAATTAATTACAATAAAAAATCTAAAAAAAAGTCCCAAGCTTCTATCTTCAAAAATACGAAAATTGATATTTCTACCAAATACTATTTCCGATCGTTCAGTTATATGGCAGCTATAGGATATAGTCGGCCGATCCTTATGAAATTTTGTAGGTCGGATTAACTGACCAAAAATATAATCTGTACCAAGTTCCAGCTTTCTATCTTCAAAAACACGAAAGTTGGGTCATTTCCGATCGTTCAGTTATATGGCAGCTATAGGATATAGTCGGCCGATCCTTATGAAATTTGGCATGTCGTAATGTTTTGCCAAAAATAGCTCACAGGTCATTTGATAGCTCAGGTCAATTTGAACTCTCTAACTCTAAAAACACCAAAGTCATACCATTTCCGATCAATCAGTTATATGGCAGCTATAGGATATAGTCGGCCGATCTCGGCCGTTCCGACTTATATACTGCGTGCAAAGGAAAGAAGGGTGTGTGCAAAGTTTCAACACGATAGCTTTAAAACTGAGAGACTAGTTCGCGTAGAAACAGACAGACAGACAGACGGACAGACGGACAGACGGACATGCTCATATCAACTCAGGAGGTGATCCTGATCAAGAATATATATACTTTATAGGGTCGGAGATGTCTCCTTCACTGCGTTGCACACTTTTGGACAAAATTATAATACCCTCTGCAAGGGTATAAAAATGGGGCTGGTAGGGGTTCGATTTTGTTCAAAGGTCGGACTTACCCGAAGAGAAAGCAAAACAACCATGCAGGAGATACCCATGGCCGCATCCGAGGGACGAATATTGGTGAAGAACTCGCCGAACGAGGGAAAGCCCTTTACACGAACTCCCAAGAGGTTCTTGATCTGGGCAAAGACCACAATCACCGCTGTTCCGGAGGTGAAGGCCTTGGTCACCGGTGCCGGAATGAAGCTGACAATGAAGCCAAGCTGGAACACGCCCATGGCCAGTTCCACCAGGCCGGCGAGGAAGGCCAGGACGATGACGACCTGGACGGGCTTGTCGGCACAGAATTGCAGGGTTAAAATGGCCATCAGACTGGTGGGGCCAATGGAGACTTGTGGTATCGTTCCGAAGAAGACATAGATGATGGACCCAATGAAGGCGGAGTACAGGCCGTACTCCGAAGAAAGACCAGCCAGAGCGGCGTAGGCGATGCTCTGCGGAATAATGGTGAGTCCCAAGGTGATCCCGGCAATCAGATCGGCAAAGGCTCGTTCCCTGTCGTATAAGCTTATCCAGCTTAGGAAATAGATCCTGCGCAGCAGCCAATGGGCCTCCTTGGGTTTCGAGTACTTGCTAGCCACGTCCATCTCAATCGCCTGGGCCTGGCTATAATAGTCGTCGCCATCCTGAGCCGTGTATTTCTCCTTCTCCTCGCAGTTGGCTGTAAAGGAAATTGCACTATTTTCTTAGTTGTTCCAGGCTATTAACCATCTTTAGATCCTACGATCGTAAATTGTGGACACCGTCGATTGGCCCTGCCCTTGGGGTATGCCATTGTTTCGACGGTTTTTTGGCCACAACCCGAACGTGTGCTTTCGCGGCCAACGCATTTTGTACTGATTTTCAGTTTCGGTTTCGCCAATGGCCAGGTACAATCGCTCTGCCAACCGAATTTGTTTGATTTTGTCAGGGGAATTTTTAGCATTTTAATAACAAATAAACGAGCGGCAGCAGTCCGGCTTGTCCGAAGCCCAGCCACCTTGCCGAACCAGCAAAAAACAATAAAGCGCAAAACTTTAATTGTGTGAAAACGTAATTAAGCACATACTGTATGTATATGGTTTGCTCTCGACATGGTTGTTCCCGGAACACAAGTGCCTTAAATTACTGAGATTCTTAGGCAACTATTGAGAGGGCATTATTAGAGAGCCAATACATCTTTACCAAGCTTAATTATATAGCGACTTTACGAGTATTTGTATTTGCATGTTCCGGAGCAGAAAACCAGTTATAGGTATCTTCCTCAATCGCTGTTTTGTAAATATCACGATAAATCAATTTTGTTGTAATAGGTGAAAAAATGAATGATTAATTCATTATATTCAAATTCCGGGGAAGTAAGTGAGCAAATTAGCACAATTTGTACCGTAAAGTTCCTAAAATATTACTCATCTCCCTGTCTGGGGCTTCAAATTAATAGTACAACACATAGTAGGTGCTATCTTTCGCACGAATTGCCTTAAAAGTAGCAAAAAATAAAGGAATATTTGTGAAAATTTTTTACGTATACAAGGAACCATTGTCGCATCAACGATAATAATAATAATAGCATTTGTATACCAAAATAAAATCTATAAAAAGTTCATATAGGTCGTGCACTCAACTAATCATTAACCTATAATTACATTTAATTTTTTGTAATAACTGCCGCGGAACCCCACTTAAATTAAAGCCATAAACAAATAATTATTTCATTTAATTTTGTCGCGAAATTATAATATTTGTGGTTGACGTGGTAAATATTTTTTATGCACGGGTGTTATCGGTCATGACGGACGCAAACAAAACCTCAAAATATATGCTAATTTGAAACACCAGGCCAAAAATTTTTAACAGCTTGCCGTGGCAATAGGTATTCGCTGCTAATTAAAGGGGGAGATCGTCAACTGGCATTTATGGCCAAGAGCCATTGTAAAACATCCAAAGTGGTGAATGGTGATAATCGAATAGTGCACCTGTCCGAGCACAAACTTTCTTTGGAAAATGGCGCCCGAAATCGATAGCAAAACTTATCGAAAAGGATATTTTTCACAGGGTCTGTTCATGAACAGACTTTAAACTTCACTTTAACTATCCTCTCGATACCTACCATCGAAGGATAATTTCTTTACAATCGACATAGTGCAGGTATCCACATGTAGTTTTTTATATATTCACAGGAAACTTCAGAATCAAATATCCCGCTTATCCTTGTCTCTCGAGGTGGGCCAAGTGCACCGCTTCGCAATCTAATGAAAACTGCCGAATAAGCGAATATTTCGAATGATAAATAAGTGGAGACGAGCAGATTTTTCTGATAAACACGAAAAATGAAAAGAGTCAAGAAAACGGCGGCAAACAGTCCGCTTTTATTTTCTGCTCGAGATCAGCAGAACAATGACATACTTAACGCCCATTCGGCAGGCGGGCATGGGCAGGGGCAAGGGTGTTGGGTGGGGGGCGGCGTGGAGGCAGGGCACGCAAACATTGCGGAGGAGGGTTGGGCGTACAAACGAATATATAACTGAATATGTCAACGGAGTACTCCGGTAGCAGAAACTACCGAGATATCACTGATCCCAGTACTCAACTGAGATGGGGGAGGGCACTTTTTTAAATTCTCGGCTCCCTGGTTCCTCAAAGTAATTTTCCATCTCGGACTGCCGATCAATTGACATACCAAGCATCTTACGATTGATAAGTATTGTACAAATATTTTATTTTCGAATAAGTTAGGATAAAACACCCAAAATTGATCGATCAAATAGGAACTTTAATCAAGTCGCGACACCTTGTGACACCTAGCTTCAATGAATCTGTCGAATTAGAATGAAAATAGATTTGTACAACTGAAAAAAAAATACATCAAGAATTTAGATAAAGAATATATTTTCAGGGGCTTATGATTAGACATCCACAAGGTGTTAACTATCCATCAAGTGATTACATGTAGGGTTCCCGCTGCTCGGCGTGTGGGTCTGACAGATATACGGCTACTGTATATGGTCGACCATGCCACTGAGAAGCCGCTGTAAACGAGATAATTAGTAATTAGTATACAACTGATATACGAGCAGGAGGCCGACCACCTTATACAAGAATACAAAAGATGGCAAAGATTGAATTTACGGCTGACTTTGAAATGTTTAAGGTGCCACATTGTTCTGGGAAAAAAGGAGTCAGTGACGGCGCTAATGGCCTCAAGGTCGGTGGGTGTCTGGTCCTTATCTGGGCAGTTGGTAAATATGCGGTTGTTTTGCACTAACCTAAATCAGTCAAAACAGATAAACCGATCTATTTATAGGTTTAACCATATTTGTGAACTAGATTTAAAACAAATATTTTGGGAGAAGAATACCAGTTTCTTCCTTACGCCCACCAAAAATGTAGTAACAATATTTATGTTGAAAGAGTATTTTTTTTTGGCTGTTTATGTTTATTTATTTTATAAATTTCATTAAAAATAAATACAAATTTGATATATTTCTTGCTTAAACTTTATTATAATAATCTCTTACAATTTTAAATTTAACGGTAAAGTATGACCGTTTAAAAAGGCAAAAAAACGTGCTAAATTAAGTCGATTATAGAGTTGCCTCATAACTATCGATAGTGTTGCGAATGACCAACTATCGGAACTTTTCAAGCAACCTTGCTCGTTATCGCAACAGTACGCAGGGAAAAAATAAAATTAGCAACAAAAGCATATTTAGCAGCCAAGTAACTGTGCTAAACGCCGCCGATATTGCTTTTTTTGGCTAAAATAATTGGCCAGCCGAGCAGCAGAAGCGCCCGCCACGCGAATCGGGACATTGGAGCGTCGGAAAATTGGAAAATAGTCCACAACAGAGCACACCACAGCTCAGCATAGCACGGGCCAGGGAAAGGAAAGGCAAGGCAAGGCACGAAAGGGAAAAGGAAAAGGGAAAACGCAACGAACGCCACTGGTTTAGACTTCTTGTGATCTGGTGCTGGTGCTGGCAATTGGATTGGCTTTAGCTTGCTCCCCGATCCCAACCAAACCGATCCGATCTATAATGAATAACAATAGCAAGCGGAAAACCCGACCTAGCGGCGGTGGTGGCGGCAGCGGTGGAGGTGGCAGCGTCGGAGGAGGAGGTGGCGGTGGCGGCGGAGCCAGCGGCGGCATCTCAAGGTAAGAAGAAGCACCCAGCTGCATTCGCAGTCCGAAATGCGAAAATAATGAGGGGATGGGTGGGGAGCAGGAGGTGACACGGGGGCCTAGCGAAAAGAGGAAAAACATACACACACACACACCCATACTCGCACACAAGTGCAGTAGCAGCAGCAGCAGCAGCAGCAGCAGCAGTAGTGGCAGTAGCAGCAGCAGCCGCGGCAGGCTGGTTTGCTTTGCTTTTTGCTTTTCGCTGCTGTGCTGTGCCTGTGCCTGTGCTCGGTTCGCCGTCGCCCTGACAAATTGAAAACCCGCGACAACCAAAAGCGCAGTGCCGCTGAAAACTGAAAACCGAAAAGAAAGAAACAGCTCTCCGCTCTCGCGAAAGAAAGGTGAAAGCGCGTCTCGTGTCGTTCGCGTTATTTATTTTTTTTTCTTTTGCTGTGATTTGTTGTTTTTTTTGTTTTTGTCCACGGCTGGTGCAGCATCTTTGAAAACTTTCTGGAATTTTTTTTTCATTCTTAAGACTACATTTTGGGTTCAACCATCCAAACCGTAAATGCAAATGGCGCTTATATAATCGCCTGTGCCTGTGATTGTTTCTCCTCATGTGTGTTAGTGCCTCTACCTGTATGTGTATGTGTGTGTGTGTGTGTGTTTTCAGCATCGAACCTTATGCTTTGTTTACATTTCCCTTTCATAACTGCGAGGAATGTGGAAAAAATGTTTGCTGTGTATAGAACATAATTTGTTTAAAGGTTTCCGTTTTTGTCGGATTCGGGGCTCGGATTTGGGGTTCGGATCCAACGTACCCCCATGGCCCCCTACCCCCTTTTTTTGCGCTGCTGCTGCGCCCTTAAATTTTCAATTGAAATATGACTGCAGTGCACACACATCCACACTACATCCACATCCGCATTTTGTACACAGTGCGCGGTAAAAGTTACCATTGGCACGTATGCCAACTATAGTATCTGATTGTGAAGAATTCCAACAAAGTCTAGTGGATCGAATGGAGGAATATGGATACTTTTGGCCCAAACTGTTCGATATGCCCACTGTGCGGCCGATGAGGGCCACTAATAGTACGTAGATTTGTCGTGGAGATGCACGCACACGCGCTCACGTATCGTACTATATTTTTTGCTCTCCCCACTTGCTATTTTTTGTGTTTTTCCCTTTTTTTCGAATGCATTTTCTTGCATTGTCAGCATTTTGCTGTTCTGCTGTTTGCCTTTTGCCTTTCAGTTGCTGTGACGTGCGGCGGCTGCGCTGAGTTTCGTTTAATTTCGTTCTTTGGCACACTTTGCCCCTCCACTAGCCCCCCAGCCCCGCTAGCCCGCATCCCTTGCTCCACACCGCCCTAAAACCCACATCCCCCGTTTCTGGGGGCTTCAAATTTGGGTCACTTTACAATTTGCTGACCGAACGATACCGCACCACCTCGGTCTCGGTCTCGGTCTTGTTTTCCGCTCTACGTCTATGCATATTTATTCGCCATTCGGCCATGCACACTTGCATTTTGAGTGTGCCTTCGTCGCAGCCTATTTCCCGGACCGAAAACCCCCCATCCCCATCCGCCGGAGAGCTTTTCTTCTTGCACCTTACCTTATCGGCTCTCTCGCACGCATGATTCACTCCACTCTCGAGCGCAATCAATTACTTGTTTTCATTCACGAAAATGTGCACAATGCACGCTCCGTGAATCAGCCAGAGCTACTGCTGCTGGCTGGCTGGCCTGGCTACCCTCCTTCCCTTCCTATAGCCTCTGTCCACAATTCTGCCCACCCCCTGCCTCTGACGACCCGCCCACACCCACGCCCGTGCTCGCTGAGTTGTTTTGGTGGCTACGGGTGTGTGCGTGGCCGGGTTCATTGTGCGTTTCGTTGCGCATTTCACGGTCGTCGATCCTGCACGCTAACCCAAACACTGAAAACACCCCGAAAAGCACAGAGAAAAGCGTCCAGCCGAGCTCAGTGCGGCCTGGTCTGACTGGCAAGCGGGACAAAGCCAACAAAGTGGTTTCTTCCGAAGCACAAAGAGTGTGTCATTGTTTTGTGAAAAAATCCTAAAGTCCTAAATAGTTGTACACCAGTCTGTTGTAAATATTGAAAACATCTCTAAAGGTCAGCTATTAAGATGTGTGATTCCCCCATAATGCTTTGTGGAAATATGCAAATAATATATCATTGGTTTGTGCCAAAAACGGGGACTAAAACTGCGACAACATAACACACGCTGGCGGGAGGGGGGACGGGGTTCAGCAAACGAATCGATATCGTTGCCGTCCCTGAACGGCATCGAGTTTTCAATTCGGTCGCTCAGTCTGCTGTCTGCTGGCAAGAGCATGCCATGGGGCATCGATGCACGGAATATCCAATCTGTAAAGTGAAATCTTCCATTGCAGATACAACTCCAACGACAATAGCCTGAGGCCAGCTAATAACAAGTCGGGCGCAGGATCTGGTGGCGGCAACGGAGGTGGAACAGTGCGTCCGGTGGCGCAGGGCGTCTACAATAACGCATATTTTATGCACTCGGCCACGGCGCTGGTCGGTAGCGTGGTAGAAGTGCGACTCCGGTCGGGCAACATTTACGAGGGCGTATTCCGCACATTCTCTGGAGGCTTTGACATCGCACTGGAGCTACCGGCGTGCATTAAGTCCAAGAATCTGCCGGACGAGGGTAAAGTGCCCAAACACATTATATTCCCGGCCGACACTGTGGTGACCATCGTGGCCAAGGACTTTGATTCGCAGTACGCCACTGCTGGCGGCTTTCAGACGGATGGCGCCATCTCTGACAAGTGCAACGGTAGGATGATTGTCTCTAAAGTGTCTTATTAGTTTACTTATCCAGTTATCCCCCGTCTAGGTGCGCGTCTTGACGAAAAGGAGCTGGAACCTTGGGACTCTGGGGCCAATGGCGGCATTGACATAGAATTAGATACCGTCTCCAACGGCTGGGACCCCAACGAGATGTTCCGCAAGAACCAGGACACATTCGGAGTAACATCCACGTTCGACGACTCCCTGGCCTCGTATACCGTGCCGCTGGACAAAGTCGACTCGCAGGAGTACAAAGACGCAGAGGCCAAGGCTGAAGCGCTGGCCGCTGAGATCGAGAACAATCCAATGTGCCGGGACCGCTTGGATCTGGAGAATGGTGACGAGGAGGCGCTCTTTGCCGCCGTGGAAAGGCCCTCTGATCAGGATCACCGCAGCAACGATCGGGACCGAGAGAGGGAGCGAGGAGAGCGTGAGGATCGGGACAGGGACCGTGATCGTGACCGTGGCAACAAGCCTCGTGCCAACGACTTCCAACTGAGGGAGACCATGAGCAGTGACCGCTACATCACGAAGCAGCCGCGCAGCATCACCGGACCGCAGCTATCGCATGTGGGCATGTCATCGCAGGGCGGTGGCGGCGGTGGTCGAGATCGCGATCGAGACCTCATGATGCAGGGCGGCGGCATGGCTGGCGGGGCTGGCCAAGGCAGCTCTACGCAGTCCACAGCAGCTCTAATACTAGCCGGTGGATTGAAGGGCTCGGGACCAGCCGCGTCGGCCAATGCGTCCACGGACACGTCCAACAAGTATGGCGGCGGTTCGATGGTGAAGCGCAAGTCAGTCCCCCAGGGTGGCAAGGTAATCCTAACCGAAGCTCCTTTTCGTTATGTAAGTATTAACAATATTTTGTGTTTGCAGGGCGGCAATGGCAACTCGGTGGGCCAAAACAAGGGCTACCAGCAGGGCATGGGGATGCAGAATCAGTACTCGTACCAGGGTAACTCGCAGATTATGCATGGGTAAGTCTTATATAAAATGTAACCTTTGTTTGATTGGTAATAACATCAGAGTAGAGTAGACCTATTTTAATATTATACTGTAAGTAGGTAAGGATGGATCCCAAGGATGTCTTGCTTGGGGAGAGAAGTCCATTAAGAAGATATAGTAATACCCTTTATGACCTTAATCCTGTGATCAAAAAAAGTGGGTGCATGTAAATTATGAGAGTCTAGCCGCTTAGAAAAATATAGACAATGGAGACAGTGTCTATGTCGACCCTATGAAGAAGATCCCGATGAAGAGTATATGTATAAGTAGGATACCAGCTGTGAGCTCCATTGCAATTCAATCTCTTGTCCCTTATTGTAGTAAGAATTGTTTCTTTTTTCTCCCAGCTCCTCTCAATATAGAAATCAATCTCACATGGGCGGCGCATCCAAGCTTAATGGCGACTCGAATGCCAATAATAACAAGCCACTGCCCCAGCGTCCGATGCGTCAGTATCCGGGATCGCAGAGCAACTCTTCGCTCAACTACAGCGGGGAGAATCAGTCGATTGGCAAGCCAATGCATGGTCATCCTGGCCAGAACAGCAATTCGCCGCCACTTCAGACTGGTGGGCAGCAGCAGCAGCAACAGCAGGCACCGCAACAACAGCCTCAGCAGCAGCAACAGCCGCCGCTGCAGCAACAGCACCAGAATATACAAACCCAGAGGCAGAACACACAACCGGCGCGTCAGGGGCAGACGCGAGATACCCAAGTGCAGGAGCTGCGCCAGTTTGGACAGGACTTCCAACTGGCGCCTAGCAACAATTCGCCGCCGCAGCAGCAGCCTCAGCCACAGCAGCAGCAGCAACAACAGCAGCAGGCACAGCAACAGCAGCAGCGTGCTTTGCAGCAATCTGCATCACCCCCACAGCAGCAGCAGACGCCACAACAGCAGCAGCCACAGCACGTACCCATGCAGCCCCAAGTGCCTCCGCCGCATTTGCACTTTGTGCCTCAACAGCAGCTGCAGCCGCTCCAGCCGCAGCATGTGCCCCATCACTTGCAACAGAAGGGGCAACAACAACAACAGCAGCTTGTTGAGAGTCAGCATCAGCACGTGGCCAAGCAGCAGCAGCAGCAGCCACAACTGGTCCCAGATCCCTCACAGCAGCCGCAGCCCATTTACCATGCAATGCCACCGCCGCAGACCTCGCCGGTGGTTCTTGCCTCGCCGGTGTTGCTGGAGCAGGCGCCACCCCCGCAGCAGCCCCTGCCGGTGTCCACACCCAAGCCGGAAGCTTCGCCGGCTCCAAACAGCAACACTACCACGCCCACTGGCATAGTTAGTACGCCCACGTCGGCGACGATTGTGAGTGCAGGATCTGGAACGGAGAAGTCGACGCCGGCTGCAAGTACGGCTAGCAGCACGGCGACCGTGGCTACCGGCACAAGCTCCGTGGCCGGGGCTCCCAGCGGCACAACCCCGGTGGTTAAGAAGCCCTCAACCCTGAATCCATCGGCCAAGCCCTTCACGCCGCGAGGCCCCAGCACGCCGAATCCCTCGCGCCCACACACTCCACAGCCCTCACAGACGCCGGTGCCGATGGCGGGTCTGTACGCGACCACGGGTACGCACGTGCCAGCGGCGGCGGCCAACCAGCCCATATACGTGGTGCAGCCCCAGCATCCGTTCCCGCCTCAAACGCATCCGCAGGCCCAGCCACCTCGGCTACGACGTAACAACTATGGTAGGTTCGCCAAGGAATACCCAATCTCTATTTATGTTAACATACTTTTTTTTATGTCATGATTTAACGTATTCTATTACTCTGCAGCTCCGATTCCATCACAGATGCATATGTCGGCCACCGCGGCCACGGGACAGCCGCTTATGGCCGCCGGGCCACAGTTTATTCCGTACGGCCATGCACCGCCTCAGCAACATTTCCAATCGCAGGCATACGCGCCTATGCAGATGCGCGTGTACTCGGACCAGCCGCAGCAGTTGCAGTTCATGACGCAAACGCCGCAGTCGACCACACCGTCGCCGGGCCAGCCGCATCAGCAGTTCCATCCGCCACCACAGCCCTCCCCCGCCGGCGGGGGACCCCAGCCGGCGTACACGCCGCCCACACCGCAGCCCACATACCACCTGATGTGCGTGCACCCCCAGTCGCTTATACCCAGCCCATATTTCCCGCCGCCAACGCCACAGCATCCACAACAGAATCAACAGTATCAGATCGTTATGCAGCAGCACCATACGCAGTGATGGGCGATGACCAACGGGTTGACGAACTGGAGGGCTGGGGGAGAGGAGAGACTCGGAGGAGACTCCTCTGGCGGCTAACGAAAGGGGGGGCTGTACGGGCAGCAGTCGTCAAGCAACATTTGGACACACAGACACACCACAAAACACACACACACAGAACCATGAAGCATACACCACACTAGCATCCGCATCCGCATTTGCATCCGGATCCGCATCCACATCCCCATCCGCATCCGCACTAGCATCTACAATTGCATTCGCAGCAACCTTGAGTAAATGCGCGGCTTTTGTTGTCGCTCCAAGCGATATTCGCCCCACAATCCAAGCACATCCCCAACATCCAGCACACAGCATTCAGCATTTGATGTGGCAGATCACATCCCAGATCACAGACCGAATCACCAATAACACCAACAAACAAAAAACAACTAGGAAATTATAAAATACAATTAAAACAAAAAGGAAACTAGTAAATTTTTTTGAAATTGCAAGACTTCTACAGCGCACGGAAGCGACCGACAACAAGAACAACATCAAAGAGTATAAAGCAAACAATCTTAGAACACCAAACGTATGAAAGCAAATGCAAAATTGTAAAAAATTATAAAAACAAAACAAAAAAAAAAATCAAATTGTATTCCAAAAAAAAAAGAAAAGCTTAAAGCAACATCAGTCAATCAATATTAATATGAGAACAATGAGCGTTTGTGTTTGGCGTGTTTCCTGCCCCGCACAAGTCCTGCTAACCGAGGCGAACAAATTGAGGTTTTGATTGGCTACCAAATTGATACAATCACATTGTAACCGTAACCGAAAAGCAACTGAAGTCAAATCAAAAACTTGAAAAAGAGTCGAACTAGCGAGAGTCGAGTTAAGATAAGAGCGAAATTTTGTAAAATTGTTTTAAACATTATACTTTGATGTACTTCAGCGCTACAGCTATCTATAGTTTCATCGGCTTTGGCTAGCTTTATATCCTTACATGCAATATCTACATGCACCCACTGACACACTCCCTCACCCCTCTCCCACTCGCAACAACCATACACACGCACTTACACACAGCCACACTCAAGAATCCCAGAAGCAAAGCGACAGCGAAAGGCAGACACCAAAAACCCAAGTCATCATTCCAAGTTAGTTTTTCCACTGGTGCAAGCAAAGCCAGGTGTCCACAGAGTGTCCAGCATAATGTTGCATCAGGATATCCCCAAGGACGATCCGATCGAAGGACATAGCTGCGGATGCCTTTGCTTGCATTGCGGAAAATGAAAAACAATTGCGAATTTTAAGAAAGCTTCAGATTTATTTTCATCCAAATTCGGTAAAACTAATTAATTTTATTGAAATTGAATTTTGTTTTCACTTCTCCGCCTCGATTGACCTTCTTCTTTCGATAGCATTTACCAGTAATTGAAATTGTTGAAATTGAACATTTTTGCTTAAATGTTTTCCGAGCATATTCCTTGCTCTCCTTGCAAGATCTTGAGTCGAGTTTCCATTGGGTTTCAGTGCCTCCGTTGTCCCTGAATTAAAGAATTAAAAGTTAAATAAAAATCCAGACTAAATTGAAGAAAAGCAATCCGTATTAATATTTTGCCGTCATTAATCAGTTCGATTATATTTCGTATGATCTAGAAGCATCTGTTGTGGTCTGTTTTGTTTTGTAAACCTTCAAGTTTCCTTAAATGAAAAAAAAGAATATAAAAATAATAATTATTATAAATTTAAATAAAACAAAAAACTACAAAAAAAAAAAAAACAAAAACAAAAAAAAAATCCAAAAATTATGTGTATTCTTGTTTTGGGGCGTCAACGGTATGGTATCGAAATGGTGACATTTCTTTGCCCAAACTCGTCAAAATGGCTGTGATATGATTGCGAACTACATAAGGTCACAAGCCTTTTAACGACATGGTATAAGAAAGACGGAACAATCGGTTACGAAATCGCCTGCCGCCCTGGATGCGATTTTTTGGAATTCGCACGAAACTCATCAAAATGGCTGTGATATGAGTAGATAATGCAACATTTCACAGCCCCTTGAAGAGTTACGTAAGAACTGGATGGATCTTCGGTTTAGGGGGACTTCGAGAACACTTGTTGGCGCAGCTTTATCCTTTAACTCGCGACACGGATTAACGGTAGGTGATTCTTTCATCTTTTAGAATTTTAAAAAATTATTTTCATTCGGAATCTATGCTCGTTGCAATGCCCATCAAAGCTGGCTGTGATACACTTCAAATGCAGAAATATCTCTTCAGCCCTTTTTGATGACATTGAAAGTAAGATTCATAGATACGTCGCAAACGCAACCGCACACACACACACATACACACAAATAGCATTCGACGTAACCGAGACGGCAACCGGCAACTACGTAAGCGTTTAGGGCGTAATAACGGCGCTTACATGTCGCTTAGCGCACGACGTAAAGTAACTAACGTAGCGCATAAGCGGCTTTCGGCTGTTTGTGTGCGTGTTGTATCTGTGTGCGGTGCGGTGCGAGAGTGTCTGTGTGCGTGTGTTGGTTGTATCCTGTAGTTTTCCTATTTCCGGCCTTTCGTCTAATTCGTCTGAGTGGGGCGGTTGCCGAGGGAACTGGAACTGAATTCAACTGAGCCAACGGATTAAATTAGTCTCGATGCGTGTGTGTGAGTTATTTATGGATGTATGTGTGTGTGTGTGTTGCGCAGCCTTGCGCAGGGTAATCCTTCCCAGTCCGTTATCCTTACGTTTCATTTTTTCTGTATCCTTCTTTGTTTCTGTAGGTTAAGTAGCCGAAATACGTTGCATGTTGCATATGCATCGGCGAATACACACACACACACTTATACGCATATATGGGTGTGTGTTAGCGAGGGACTGCGGCCGCGACGTCGACAGCGACCACCGCCCTCTGCTGCAGCTGAAACGTCTGCCATCCAGTCTAACTGTGCTGCCCGCCGTCTGGTTTCTGTATGTGTTCGTACCCGTATCTGTGTGTCCGTGAGTCTGTGTATGAGTGCGGTGTGTTCACCCTTAACATGCCCTTCCCAGGATCTGGTGGCGGCGGCAGTAACGGCGGCAGCAACAACCACCACTATTCCGCCGAAAGTCTCACCAAAAAAGAACCAATTTTTCGAAATTGAATTTGAGTGGCAAGGATATGTGGGATGGGCATGTAGGTTTTTAGATACATTTTGGGGCATTAACCGGAACGAATATTATTCAGTTCGAATATTTCTGGCAACACTCCTGCACAGAGAAAAATGGATATTGTATTGATTTATATGTTTTAAACTTAATTTTAAATATTCTTTTTTTTTATATGAGAATTTTTGTGAGTTTTAATATTTTCTTTAACTTAACTTGATTTTATCCCTAATGAAACATTAGTAAAAAGAACAAATTTATAAATAAAAGAGTTGCTAATTGTACATATTTTAAAAAAGTATTAAAAAAGCTCATTTCTAGTGCCGATTTTTCTCTGTGTAGGGTGTTACCCAGTCGACTGATTGATTTGTGGCCAGGTTCTGTTTGTTGTTGCCGCTCCTTTGGCTCCTGGCGCTGCGTCTGCTGCAGTTTTTGCAGTCCAATCGCACAATACACATAAATACGTTCGAAAAGCAAGCGGCAGCGAGGCGACCATCCCTTATTCCACAATCTCCCACACACACACACATACAGACACATACAGAACCTTTCTTTCTCTTTTTCCTCTTCCTGTTGGCACTCTTTCTCTACACGCCATCTGCTGTGTGAGTGTGTGTGTATTACTACAATCGCAGACGGACTTGGGCTTGCCACTGCCACCCACCCTTTTTCCTTTTCCTATTCCTTCTCCATTTTCATTTCCCCCACGCCCCGCATCGCCATCGTCTTCATCATTATCATCATCGTCGTCGTCGTCGTCGTCGTTGGCAGCTACGTCGTCCGGGAGTCCTGGCTGTCCTGTTCTGGTCCTGGCGCTAGTCGGCATTTGTCGTGTGTGTATACCGAAATACGTAAAATTCGTTTATGGCCAGGGCTGATTGTTGTTGTTCCGCCGACTCCTGCCTCGGCCGCCTTCTTCTTCTCCTTTGGCCTAAAAAAAGTCCTAGGCGATCCTGGTGTTTTGTTCCTGCTTCAGGGCGACGGCCGTGGGTGGCTTCGTCTTGGGCGAAGTGGCTCTTTTTTGGGTGTCCCGCCCACCGGCAACACGATACGATAATGCGCTTTTAATTACAAGACTCCCTGAAATGCCAGGACCAGCTATCCGGAGCTGTTCTTCGGGGTGCTCCCGGGGACGGCGAATGTATCTGTATCCCGTGGATACGGTGGCTCCATGGCCGAACGAAAGTGTAGCAACATTTTGCATTCGCTTCATGTATCCTGGGCCTTTTGCGCAGTTTCTAAATGGCCGCAAAACAATAAAGAAACCAAATTTGTTCCTTGTTCCCAGGGGCGGGGTAATGGAAAGCGAAAAAAAACTACAAAGCCAGCGAACAAATGTAGTACCGTACAGAATTTTCACCGTTTGACTTTCACTTGAGTTTTTCACCGATTTCGAGGCGTCTTCTGGCGGTTTTTTGAACAGTTTCCGAGGCCGGGCAGTTTCTTTGATTTTTTGCATATTCATTTATTTATTTATTGTGCATTTTACCATTTGATTAGCAATAATTTATTAACCGGTTTTTCTAGTGACGTTTTCGCCTTTTTACAACCACACACAGAGCAGGAAACAGAGAACAGAGAACCGAACGGAACGGCCCAACTGCCGCGGCGGCCGTTGTCGTTTGCTTCTCGGCGTCGGCGGCGAAACACCGCCGCTCGTATCCATCCTCTCTCGCTCTCTGCTGAGCCGTGGCTTGCTTGTGTGCGTGTGTATCTATGAGCGCGACTGGGAGAGTGTGTGTGCGCTGGGGATGCGAGTGCGCGAGCGTGAGCGTGCGAGATTTGGGCAGGACTACGGGCCGCCTTCGGTCGGGGCTGTAGTTTTCAATTACAACACCAACTATGGGTGCGACAATACACAAAATGTGTGTCCTGCCTGGCTCTCCAGCTCGGTACAGCGCCGGCGCTCTGAGAGCTCTAAGCCAGCATTGCTCTCTTGGGGAGAGAGTTTCGTTTCGCGACAGGATGTCCACAGGGAGAAAGATAGGGAGAGAAGGCCAAGTATCTCGGCTTGGGTACATAATTATATAGGGGTTTTTATAACTTTAAGTCGGGCTCAGGGTAAACAAATTTGTTTTCAGTGTAAAAGAGATAAAAACTCTCAATCGAGAGAGAGAGTTTAATAATTATAAAACTATTATTTAACTAAGAAATGTTATTAAATTAATTCGACTATTTAATATTTATACAAATTTTTAATTTTTTCCCATAATTCTGTTTTAGTATATTTTTAGCCCCTTGAAGTATGCAATAGTTTTAGTTTCCCCTTGAAAAGATACTGCGTAGTTTTCTAAAATATCCTTGAAATAGTGAAAGGCATATTGAATGTGTTGGTTTCTTTATTCATTCATTAGTTCTTTTACAGTAAAAAAATGTTCAACAGCTAAAAAAGATTACACAAACTTTTTTTTTTAATGTAAACAAATTGAATAAATATTGTACGAGTTACACTGTGCATTGTTAATTCTGATTGATCTGCGATTTTAGCTTTTGGGGGGCTGTGATTCACGTGACTCCCTTTCTCAGTGGATGTGGGTCGTGCTGGTTTCTTTTTGCTTTTTAGTTACTTATTCTTTTTATATAAGGTTTATTTTAGGGTAGGTTCCAGCCACATGGGCATGCCAACAATTAACAAGATCCGGAACCGCTTCAAGGTGAAAGTTACGCGCCGAGCTAAGTGTTCACGCACACGTAACCGAGATATCTGAGTGCTCATTCAAAAAGGTCTGGCAAGTTACAACTAAAAACGAGATACATATTTTGTTTCCTTTCGTTATGATCCTGCGGCTGCTGCTGCTGCTGAAGGATGACGACGACAGGGTCCTTAAAATGGTGCAAAGTATGTATGTGATGCATGATGCATGATGCTGGTGTTGAGATACATTCGTAGTACGATATGTGTATTTATGTATGTGTATGCTTTAAATAATGTAAGAATGGTTAGCAATTGAAGAAATCCAAATCGAGGGCGCCTCGGGGGTGTATTATACTACAACATACTGGTTTTACACACATACATAATTAACCGATATCTGAAATATATATAATTATATATATATATGTATGTTAAACATGGTCTTAATTCGTATTGCAACAGGGCCAATTTCCATAGTGCTAATATTAAATTTGTAATTCGATCAGCGCTTGGGGAGCTGCGATGCGATACGATACGATACAATACGATAATGATTCGTGATTCTTAGTGTCTAGGGTTTGTTGGAATGGTGTTCTGCTGGGAGAATGCTAGGCCTACCAATCTAACCAATGTTCATGTGGGGTCAGGTCATTACAATTACATTAACGATATTAAGTGGTATAATAAATAACTATAATTAGCATACATAGATTCTCTTCCTCAATTCATTTTTTTTTGTATCCTTTTTTTTTAATGTGTTTTCTATGTTATGTTTAATCAAATGCATAATCGTGGAAAATAAGGGGACATCCCCCTTCTAATGCTGATCACTCGGCATTCTTGATCTCGCTGAGACTCCGGCAGGCTTCTCGTTCCCGCTCCCGCTCCCTTTCCCTCTCCCGTTCGCGCTGCTCCTCCTCCAGCTTCAGGACCTTGGTCTTCAATCCGCACAGTATCTCCGCCGTGGCTATGTTCTTGATCGTGCTCAGGTCCAGGTGCTGGCTGTGGTTGTTGTTGTCATCGTTGTCGTTCTCGTGGCTGTTGCTTTTGTTGTTGTTGCAGTTGTTGCCACCCTGTTCCGGCTCATCCTGCTGCTCCAGTTCCATTCCCCGGTTGATAGCGCTCAACAACTTGTGCTTGCCCAAAGCCAGGGCTATCCCATTGTTGCCACCATCGTTTCTGCCCCCATCGCCGCCCGCCGGCTTGCTGTTGTTGTTGTTCGAGTCGGTTTCCATGTCCATGCCGCCGCGGTTGTTGTTGTTGTCGTCGTACTTTCGCTCGTACTCCTCGTCGTGTCCGTTGTTGGTGCTCTCCGCTGCCGGCGGTAGGTCGTGCTCCACCTCGCGCTTGATCACCTGGATGTCGGGCGTGGGCGGCGGCGACTGGGGGCGGGCGCGGCTGCCATTGGCGTTGGGGGTCTGGACAAGATTCAGGGCCTCCTCGTCGTCGTGGTGGCTGCCATTGTTGCTGCCGGAGTGCGGGCTACTGCTGCTGGTGTTGCTGCTGCCGCTGCTGTTGTTGTTGTTGCCGTTGTTGCTGCTGTTCGTCAGGTGATGGCTGTCCACGAGGCGTATCTTGAAGTTGTTGTTGTGCGTGGCTGGCGGCGGCGTCTGTGGCACAATCGTCGTGATGATGGGCTCCATGATGTTGTTGCTGTCCTGACCGTGGGCGTGGCTGTGGTTGTTGTTCAGCGCATCGTCGTGCTGCTCGGCACTGGGATAGCGCTCCCGTTCCATCTCCTTCATCCGCTTCTCGCCGCCCAGCTCCGTGTTGTAGTGCATCAGGATCTTCCGTTTCGCCAGATACTTGTGCTGCTTGCGTGCCGAGTCGAGCATCTTCTTGCTGTTGGCCTGCAGGATGGCGAAGGAGTTGCTCTCCGCCTCGGTCAGGTTGATGCCGTTGCTGCTGCTGCTACCTCCTCCCAAGTGGTTGTAGTTGTTGCTGGTGCTGTTGTTGTTGTTCCGGTTGAGATTCTTCATGAAGGTTTCGGCCAGCGTAGCCTTCGATTTGATGTGCTCCCGGAATCCGGCATATCCGGGGCTTCCGCCGGCGCCGCCGCTCGACAGGGGCGTGGGGCATCGGTTGGGTCCGTTCAACGAAGGCGACGGCGAGGGCTGCGGTGGTGGGGGTCCACTTCCGTATCCGGCGGAATGTCCGCTGGTGATGTTCACACTGTGAGTTCCGCGCTCGTAACGGCACTCTGGGCCGTCGCTTTCATGCGGCGAGCTAATGTCGCTGGCGTCGCTGTCCATGTTCTTCTGCAAGTGAAAGTTTTGATTACACTGGGGAAAATTTAAGGTACGGTATATGGTTTTGGTTATTTTCCATATTAAAAAGAAATATCCCCCATTTCTTTATTATTTTTCCCCAAACCCACCTCAGTGTGCAGCCCTTTGATTTTCATGGCCTCGGCCACCTTGAGGAAGACGGGCAGATCCTCGTACTTGACGTTCACCTGGCCGCTGTACATAAAGTCCAAAAGCCCGGCCATGTGACTGGCCTCCACGTCGGCCATCAGCAAGATGGGATGACTCGATGGGTTCTCCAGGAAGATCTGCTGAAAGTAGGGACTGCAAACGGACAGGACCTGAAACGATCAGAAGGGCACACAGAGAGAAAGTGTGCGAAAAGCATGAGTGCGGGAGTTCTTGAGGGTTAGCCACTAAGTTACCAATTTGTGGGCCTTGAATATCTTTCCGCCGGCTGCGATCGTCACGTCCACCATCTTCTCGTCCTTCTGCAGGGAGTGGAAGCCGCGGCACATGTTCCCGTGGAAGTTATTCCACGACAGCAGGTACTGATCAATGGTATTGGGATCGGTGTAGGGCTGCTGTTGCTGCTGCTGCTTGTGGGCCTGCTGCTGTTGCTGCTGTTGATGGTGTTGCTGCTGCTGGTGGTGGAGCTGTTGCTGGGCGGCCTGGTGCTGGGTGGCCGTGATGTGGATCTGTTGCGCCGTAGTGGGCGGTGAGCTGGGACGTGGCGTGGTCGGCTGGTGGGGGTGAGAGAGTTGGTGGTGGTGGTGTTGTTGCTGCTGCTGTTGCAGCTGCTGCTGAAGGTGCTGCTGTTGCAGCAAGTGCTGTTGCTGCTGTTGCAGAGCGTGCTGCAGTCCCGGTGGCGTTGACGAGGACGACAAGCGGTGTGGATGCGGCGACAGGGCTGGCTGGTGGCCCAAAAATCGCTGCTGTTGCTGCTGCGCCTGGTGGTGTTGCTGCTGCTGTTGCTGTTGCTGCTGCTGGCGTGCATGCTGCTTGATCTTAACCATGTTCTCCTGCTGCTCCTGCTCGCGCTGACGCATCAGCTCCGCCTTGATCTTGTACTGCTGCATGGAGAGGTCGTCCACGCTCTTGGACAACTTGGCCATGTCGCTGTTGCTGTTGAACTTGCTGTTGGGCAGCATCGGCTTTAGCTCGTATTTGTAGTCGCCACTGGCTCCGCTGGCAGCGGCAGCCAGCTTCCTTTCAGCGGCCAAGGCGGCGCGCTCCTTCTGGCGGCGGATCAGCTCGTCAATGTCCATGTAGGCGCCGCTGGTGGCGGCCGCGATGGCCGAGGCGATGATCGGATCGTCCTCGAAGACGCTGTCGTCCAGGGTCTCCTTCAGGGTCTTTGTGGAGGAGAAGAGCCGCAGCGACGGATCGTTCACCTGGTCACTGAAATAGACATCCATCAGGGTGAAGAAGGGCCACTCGCGGCGCTTGGGCTCCTCGGACATCTTGATTGCCTTGTACTCCTGCAGCAGATTGTTCCACTTCTTGATGATCTTCGAGAGGGGCAGGGGAACGTTGAGCTCCCGTTCCACCACGCTGTTGAAAGTTCGAGACGGAAATCGAGAGTTATAGTTATGCAATAACGTATGAGCTTTGAACATATATGTAAACGATAAAATCACTACTTACGCCCAGGCATATTTTGAGGCATTTCGTTTGCCTGTGAAGAGGGGCGAGAGTTCCGCCCGCAATCTGATCAAAGATTTGACTTTTTCCGCCTCCCCTGCAAAGAAATGAGTAATGGAGAAATCAGTATATAGCTTGTTAGGATCGAGGAACAGAATAATTTGGTTAGATTTCCGAAAAACCCAAAACACGGGGCATTGATCTGAGCGACTAACTGCCGCTTTCCACCTGCCAAATGCAATTCAAGTTTAAGCCACAATCCGCATCGATAAAGACCTCTGGCCATAACGGCAGCGGTGCACAAATTATAGAAAACTGCAGCTAGGTTTCAATGAACCCGACTCGCCGAGTCGGAATAGTCCGGCGGGTAATCACTGCAATCATCTGGCAGCGGACCGACGGCAGCGGATCGATGCCTGCTCGGCCATTTACGAGTGTTTGCCCAGGCCTTGTGGCTAATTGCTATAACGAATCTAGCAACTTTTACCCGTTCAGACCAAAACCGAGGCCAAAAATCGAAAAAGCTGGAGCCGATGCTGGAGGCAGAGCCAAAACCATACGATCCCATCCCATATTCATTGGCATCAGGCATCACCATTTCCAGTTGCAGATGCGCAAATCCAGCTAAAGTGATCGCTGGAATGGCTGCCCCTGTCTGGTGGTATCTGGTGGTATCCAACACATACACACACACACTTGTAAGAGTGCACTGTGCACTCATCAAGTATACGCCAGGTATACGCCAGAAACAACAACAGTACGTATACTCAACATTGTCCATAATGACTGAAAACTATTCAACGTTGAAGAATTCATTAGCAGATTTCACTTTCGCTCATGACGACGCCGTTCGCGTTCGCTTATTTCTTTTAGCCCGTCTTTCCCGTCTTTCTTTATTTATTTATTTATTTATTTACCGTAATTTCTACTCGTTCACTTTTTTTCTTTTTTCTTGAAGAGTCGCCCCTTCGGGCGGCTTTCGACATTCGGCTCTTGGCTTTCGGGTTTTGGTATTTTTCTTGACTTTGGCTGCGGTGGTTTTCTTGTTTTTTTGCGACTGCACCACACCGAGTCCAAGAAGTCGAAGAAGTCGCACAAGCGTCCACCGCCTTGCTGGGCTTTCGACTTGTTTTTCCCCGACGGAGAGAAAATTGTTTGCTAATGCCTGCATCCAAGCCGGATCTGGCCAAAAGCTGGCTTGGCGGCAGTGGCTTTGATTGGGATTTGGCCTAAAGGCCTCATCAATAATGTTTTTGGGAATTCTACGAGGCATGGAAAATTTATTAACTTAAGGGTCTTTAATCTCTAAAGGGAAAAGGATAAGAAGAATCCTAGTAAACATGGCTTTAAACAAAAATATATCAGATATTTAAAAAAAAAACTAAATAATAATAGTACTTTATTTATAAGAACTATAATGTTAAATAGCTGCATTTCCCTTCAATCGTATAACGAGAATGTCTGACCGATGCACCGCCTTACTTTCTAATTTTTGGAGCTAGGCCTTAGGTCACCCGGTGGGGGCTTAGATTTATGAAACTCTATTACTGGCATTTGGTCTGGTCTATGTCAAGGCAAGGGCCTCAGATCAACGTCAGTCTGCTGATGGTTGAGCAATTCCCAAGCCCCCATTCGATTCGTTTAATGGTTTAGCAGCCAAAGCCAGACCCAGAGCCAGAGCAGCGTTATAACCTAGCCCAACCCAAAAGAGTGCTCGTTAAAGATCTCCGAGTCAGAGCCAGATTCGGAATCGGAGTTGGCTGAAAAGATATACGCAAAAAAAACACGAACAAAATTGCTAACCTGGCAAATAAATAAACATAACAAGCCGAAATATTCGCAGCAAGCTCGGCTTGCAAAACAACCTCAACCTTCTGCGTGGCTCTAAGCGCTTGATCGTGACACGCTCGGGCTCCACGTTCCCCTTTCCCAGAGCTCACAATGGATTGGGTATGGGATTCCGACCAGAGAGTGGCGGAGGGCAAGGTGTAAGCGGTGAGCGGTAAGCAGGTATGGGGTAAGAGTTTGCGGGGGAACAGGCCAGCCAGCGCTCACAAAAGTTTCACTTTCTTTGCAACAAGTTTTGTGCGTCGATCGTGTGTGTGAGTGTGCGTGCAAGAGTGCTTGGAAACATAAAGTACACTGTAAGAAAAGTTATGATATTTTGCCAGAACTATGAAATAAAAGGGTCTTAACTGAAATATTAATTTATGCATATATTTGTCTAGTCCTTTTAGACCATAGTCCTTTTTACGAAAGTTTTTATATTCTATTGATTTCAGGTTCTGAACATTTTTTAATTATTTTATAAAAACTTGGATCTTTTAATAATTTACTTTCGGCACAAAAAAGATCCTTCAAGAATTTTCGTAGAATAGGAAAAACTATTTAAATGGATCCTAGAAACAAATCTACTCCCAAAAGTATTGTACCTCAAAAATATAATCCACTTTTTTCAGTGCACGCACTTTTACACACTGTCATGGCCTGGCCTTTGGAGCGGGCTTCTCGCTTCTTTCGGTTTCTACTTTCCGATTGCGCCCTTTATGTAACCCAAATCCTCGCCAGCAGCTTGGATGCTGTGGTCGCTTCTTGTGCCGACAAAATCCGATTCGCTTGCCAGCCCCAGCCGCCTCAGTTGGCTCAGTCGCGTCAGCAGAAGAAACAACATTTACCGTTAGTTTCTCTTTTGGCCTATATTTTGGCTTCGAAGCCGAAGAAGACAAAGTCGAAGCCGTAGCCGAGTCTTCTCGCCAGCCGTTCTTTATCTGCCTCTCTCCATCTGAATGGCCGGCCAGTGCTAGTGCTCACTTCCGTTTGGAGCACTTTCGTGGGCCGAGAACCGGTTCTAAGTCTCGGAAATGCAGAAGACTGTGCATTGGTGGGATCCTAACTTGATGATTCTTTTTTTTCGGCGATCGGGCTTGTTACTAGGGTGGATTGGTAGTACCAAATACTTTGAAATTCAGAGTTTTATTGCCATGGTCTACGGTCTAAGGCCGGGGCTAGTTAGAATGGCGTTTGGCGGTAAGCTTCTTTTGGCCCGGCTGGTTCCATTGTGGAGAGCCAAGTTCGCGTATCGTTTCGTTTGGTTTCGCTTGCTTTCTTTTTGCCACGCTTATTTGGCTTCCTGCACTTTTCTTTTTCTTTCACCGCCGCGGCGGGCCGCACGGGGAGAAATGTGAAGTTTTCTTCTTGTTTAATTCTTTGTTTGTTTGATTAAACGTGGAATTGTTAACCGTGACGTTTCGTTTTTTTTTTCTTCTATTTTTTTTTGTATTCTTGGGTTTCTCCATCTCCTCTTTGCGTGAGAATTTCTAATTGGGTCAGGATTTATTCTCTCCTTCTTAAAGTCTTTCTCTTACTCTGTCTGTGGCATCTGCATGCCGCGCGTTGCAAGCGGGAATTAATGAAGCATTTGACGTGCCCTACTCCCGATAGTCGCCTTGGACTGAAAGTGATAGGCCGGAGAAGGGAGCTGGCCGACTGGATTGGCTTAATTTCCATTACATTATGTTCTGCTCTTGATTGGGCAGCGAAGATAAAGCCTGTCGTGCGACATTGATTGATTGGCACTCTGCTGGCAGACAATTCCAAATCAGTTCTTTGAATTCTCTCAGATGCTCAGATGCTAGACTAGACCCTGAACTTCAAAGGGAAAGGCTTTTACAAGCCCCTTGCTTGAACACCAGAATTCGCTTGAAACTCATACCCCAATGTAACCAGACTCTGAATTCGAATCGGTTGAAACTCTAAACGTTCAGTTGCAGTTTAGGTTTCAGCTCGCCGTATTTTCTCCCAAGACCAGCGGCGATAATGCGCATACGCCCCGTGTAAGTCATCGACCAGGCACTGGGCAACAGGCGGCGAGCAACGGCGAATGCCAGTTAATTCTTGGCTTTTACTTTCTCCCAAATGATGCACAAATGAGTCTGGAGAGATAGCCAAACGAACAGTGTGGGGAAAGAAAAAACGGCACTCGGGTTTGTTATGATTTTCCAGCGAAAACCTAGAAGAAAGTCAAAGCCAAACAGAGACCTGAGACCAAAGACAAAGACAAGAGTCAGAGTTGCTAATAAGCTGGAAAAGCTGGAAAGCTGCAGTGCCTCTGTCTCAGATGATATAAACCGAAACTGATGGAGCTGAATGGAGCAGAGTCTCAGCCAAACTAGCAACTTGTTGCGGGGAATTTTCTTTAGCCAGCGGGCTTTTCTCTTTGTGCTTTCTGCTTTTCCATTTTCTTGTACTGGCAGTTGCTTTGGTAGTTGCAGTTCGCAGTTGCAGTTTCTGCTGCAGTTGAATGTACGCTAACCAACTGTGGAAATTCCGCACTACATAGTATAATCATGACCAACCACATCATCATTGCCATGGCGATCATCATTGCAATTATCATTATCATCTCAACATCGTCAGAAGTAATTTAGGAAAAATATTTTTTTATGCGCTCGCTTTTGTTGTTGGCTTTTCTGCTGCTGCTGGTGTTGGTGGTGGTTTGGGAAAATTTTATTGAACTTTTCCATGTATGTATGTATGTGTGCTTTGCTTAAGCAAAGTTTTCATTGTCTGCGAGAAGGTTTATGAACTTTTACAAAAGATTATTCGCTGCACTCTCCTGCAAGCCCCCCATCCGTTGCACTTGAAGTGCTGCATATTTTCTTTAATTTTTCGAAAGCGCCACACGGCGTATGAGTAATTTCTGGCAGAGTACAATCTGCAAATATTTGGCCTTAGCATGTTTGCCATTTTCTAGCCAATAGCTAATAGCCACTAGCCATTAGCCACTATGATTTAACGGCTTGCTAATGAGGCAGGGCGGGTGTGGCAGGCAGGGGCGTGGATGGTTTTATTTGAAAGCGAGAAGCAAATATGTCACAAAGAAAATCACTTTTGGTTTCTTTCGCTTTTGTCAGCCGCATTAATATTCTTATCAAGGCTGGCCAATCGCTGGCAGAGCTAACTGTATATGAAGAGATATATCTACCTGATTTTTGGTGCGTTCGCACGATTCGTTGTCGGCTTAGCCGGGCTCTTGGCTCTTGGCATGTTGGCTCTTAAAACTTTCACTTTGCGCTGTCAGAAGCGGCAGCGGCGGTGGCAGTGGCAGCGACCGAGACAGCACCGCAAACCTAAAGCTCTAATGGTAATGTAAGAGCCAAGATAGACAAACATATGTATGTATATCCACACACACGCATGGCATTACGTGCTGGCGATACGTCAGTCCAGATATTGAAACAAAGCCTCAAACGGTGGAACGATGGAAGAAAAAACCCAAAATATATTCAAACAACAAATCATTTATTAAAACCATTGTTGCATGTTGGCGAACTTCAAGACAACAAAATAAAAATCCAAAATACAAAAAGTAAAAAATAAAAATCAAATTAAATTGTGGCATCTTACATAAAAACTTAACCTTCCCCACACGAAAGCCAAAATGTTGTTTATGATTTATTTTGTTTGTTTGCTGTTTCTTGATAATTTTGCGCCCTCACTCGAACACCCGTCCACTGCAATTATCCACTCGAAACTTGATGACTTTGTGTTTAAGATACCAGAGCCGACAATCGGCATTAGTAACGATGCGAATTTAGTTTGGTAACTTTCTATTGAGAGCCCACTGCCGAGCGACTACCATGTATTACTATTACTCATCGGTACTGATTGGATAGCTCAGCATCTCTTCACTTTCTGGGTCACTTCTTCCACCTATTATTCAATTCGTAAAAAAAAGAAAGAAACCGCAAAAGGTGCCAGGTTGCGGCGTGAAGAGCGCCCCTCGAGGCCCAATTGAAGCGGACCTAAAGTGAAAGTTCTAATAAACCAGCGGCTGGGCTGGCTGGGTTGGCTGGTAGCGACAATCAAAATATGCAACCAACCGGAGTACATACATACGTATGTATATACAAGAGTTTGCGAAGAAATAGAGAGGTGCTTCAGTGTTGCGGTAGTCCAACAAAAACCCCATTGAATAGAGGATGTAAAAATAAAATTAAGCATTTCTTTTGTGTGTGCCTCTTTGGCCAGCTTTTCTGTTCGTGCGAAATACAAATGGTTCGTTTATATTTCTTTTCTTTTGCGGCAAACAATAATGTCTGTGGCGGGCGTGATTCTTTGCCAGTTTCCATTGGTAATTTCAAATTAATTGGATCCCCAAGGGGCGAAATGTGTGCGGATCATTTGGGGCTGGAACTGGAGATTTGCTTTTCTCCCAGCGATTGCGTAAAAGACTTTTTTCTTAGACACATCTGCCGCCAGCTAATCTCATTTAAATGTTCGTGGATTTACAGCTTTACAGCCGAGTCTCACGTCGGATGGCCAATTAAACGGCCGGCTGTCGAAAGCACTAGCCCACAATGCAGACATTATAAAAGAATTAATAAGCAATTGCATAATGTAATACGTGTCTAGGACTAGGAAGCGAGCTAGTTCCAAGCCGAAAGAAAAATATGTGAAAAATTCACGCAAGTTCATAGCGGCTTAACCAAGTTAGAAAGCATGGGCACGAGGGCCATCTAATGAGCCATTTATTTCGAAAAAAATCGGCCCTGATATAATCTGGTGTGTTGGGCTGCAGGTTTTCACTTTCGAGATATGCAGAAGTGGCTAATGACATTGGCCTTTTGATCTGATGCTTAAGATGGCGTCGGCAGGTTGCTTACTTGGATGGTTAGATGGTTGGATAGATGGCTGTTTGTTGGCTTGTTGGTAACTTTCCTAACATTTGAGTCGAATGACAAGGTACGAGCATATAGCCAGAGAGGCGAGCGGACCAGCGGACAACCGACAACCTTATGCCAAGTTGCATAATTTCATATACGAAACGAAAATAGAAAACAGAAAGCAGAAACAGAAACAGAAACCGAAACAACGTTGGAGAAATGTATGGATGGATGTTTGTATGGCTTGTATATGGTCGGTAAAATAATTTGTAGCGGTTTATCATCTAACGGTATTATTGAGCAACCTCCACTCCATTCCACCCAATTCAACTCCAACTCCAACACTCGCCAACGCCAACATTTAAACTATTTTCTTGTTATGTCCAATACTTCAACGGCATCGAATTTGGCATCGATTTTTGTATTTTTTTTGTTTTGAAAACCCGATGCGTCATTCTTAATAATTGCGCGTGCCAAAGTGTTGGCAATAGCAAATATTTATGAAACTAACTATTTGATAAACAAAACAGAAAACGAAACGGAATCAAGTCAGCCCTAGAGCTTCTGCTCTGAGGCAAGCACGGCGCACACGGCGTATGCGCAATGTCGAATCTTTCAGTTTCGGGGGGGAGCTCTAGAGCTCGAGAGTTCGAGAGAGATCCACACGCGTCGGGCAGGAACTGTTGCAATCGCCATCGCTGGGACATTGAACTCGAAATGGGGGAACCTGCCCAGACCCGAGTTTGTAAACAAACGTCGATTATGCAACAGCTTAATTATAATGGAAATGAAAATCCCAAAACGACAATAATACAGAAAAAAGCAAAACCAAAGAGCTCACAGTGATTTGCTGGTTATTCGAGTCAGTTGTAAGCTACATTGAAGGCTGAGCATGTTGAGAATGGGATACTTCGGGCTTCAAGTTGGCGATCCGAGTCAAAATCCATTTGCATGGCAATGAAAGTACGCAAAACCCGAAACTGGGTCAACTTATGACAGGACTCAGCTCACCCAGACCCAAAGTCAACCAACAACATTCACCCGAAGCCAAAGATTTGGCCAACAAACCAAGTTCACTTAGTAGAGCAATGAAGAGAAATTAATGAACGGCTCAAAGGAAACATAAATTCTGCTCCCGAAAAGGGATATTTGTTGTTGTTGTTGTTGATTCAGCAGCAGCAGCGACGCTGGCTGAGGCAGCGACCGAGCAGCAAGAAAGAAAAACGAAGAAACGAAGCAACAACTTTCACCTATTAATATTCGTGTCGTACAAGCGGCAGAAGCGAGCTGCCAAGCCAGCGGCAGAGACAGCCACAGCTACAGATACTTATACCTATACTTGTTCGCTCGCAGATACATTTACAGATACAGATACATCGTAAGCAGCAGCAGCAGCAGCAGCGGCAGTAGAAGCAGAAGAAACGACTGCGCTAGTCGCCGCCGATGCTCAACAAAAGCCACATCGCATAGTGCTTGGGTGACTCCGCACCACTCCACTCTAAGCTGGCTGCAACTTCGACTCTGACTCCGTCTCGGAATCCCAGTCCGAGCCCGACTTGGGGCAGCCACCCCTTCCCCGGGAAACTTTCTATAAAAAAGTTGCTTTTGCTTTTTGTTTTGAAAATTTCTTTCTTGCTGCGCAGGTTGCTCGAAATGCATACAGTTTGTTTGTTTGTTGCTTTCGCTGGGCATTCTGCAGTGGAGGCCCCCCAACTCCTTTTCTGTGTAGGCGATTGAAGATTAATTTTCCTCTAATTACTAGAACCAGTTAGAGACCAGTAGAGAGAACTAAGTTGCTTATATTAAGTATACGACCCGTAGACCCTAGGGGATAAGAAGACTGGGACTTACAACAATATCTCGTCGAGTATTGACAATTTGCATTGACCGTAGGAGTCATAATCTCGTTGGCAGCCATATCCAAATCCAATAGTTAATTAATAGTATTCCAATGCCGCTTGATATCCTTTTAGCTGATCGCTGGTAGAGTCTGGTAATCCAATTTGGGCGTACAAGCCAATGGTAATGCTTTGATAGTTTCTCTCAACACTTATTTTGCGTTTTGCCTGGTTTTCATTGTACCATATCAATATTTGTCATTCAAGAGGCACTCACGCACACGGAGCCCCGCAAAAGCACCGAAAACTCACTTTCACTTTTGCCTTTTGATATGCAGAGAACACATGCAGACAGTTAATAAAATTTCGTGTCAGAGGTCTTGCAGGGGAGAGACTGAGATTCAGATGGTATCCGCAAAGTCACAAGAAGTCAACATTTTGATTGTATTTTGTTTGCATGATGCCGAGGAATGCACTCTATATATTCACTGATGCACTGGATGCACTTTTGGGATATGACTTGTTTTTTTGTCTGGTTTTTTGTCTTTTATTTTTTTTGGGAAGATGTTCACTAGGCAGGCGCGACTTTCTAAGAGGGGCGCTTTAGTTGCAGATGATGGCGATTCTTGCGCGCCGAACGTTGGAACGTAACGTCTGCCTCGAACCACGGTAGACGTCTGTGCGGCAGCGCGCAGTGAAACCAGCGCTTATCCTCAAAGATCGCTAAGAAATTTCATGCCATTCCATTTCGTTTCTCGACGTCGGCAGCGACGCTTTCGCTTACCACAAACACAGACACAGGCACACCAGATACACCATTGACAAGCCTTGGAAGCTCTGTTGTTGGTTCTGTCGAGTGCTTTTACCATTTCTTTCTCTCCCCCTTGACACACACAGCCAAACAAGCTCACACACACCACCTTGCCGGGCAGCGTTCGTTTCAAGTTTGGTTCTTCGTTGAAGTCTTTTGTTTTGGTCCGCACTTTGTTCGCCATGTGCGCTGGCGTTTCTTTGAGTAAGAGTTTCGCCTTGGGAGCCACTCTCACACAGATACCAGGCACCACTTAATTATTTACAATTTACAGCCCGACCATCGTCGTTTCGATTCCGATACGTTCCTAAGCTACTTTTATAACTTTAACTTTCATCGCCGTCGAAGTTTTGGCTTCTTAGCCCGCTTCGGGTTTTAGTTTTTCTCTCTCCTCTTTCTTTGCTGTTGCTGTTGCTGCTGCAAATTACAACTTTCGTCTATTTTTGTCAAGATTTTTTTTATAATTATATAATTTAAACTTTTTTTCAGCTTCTTGTCGCACATTTTGGGCTTCGTTTCTGTGTTACTGTAGCGTCGGTGGTAGCAGCCAGTAGGCAGCAACCAGCAAAGGCAATTTTATTTCGCTTACTTTTCTATTGTTGCCTCAGTTTTTACTTTTCTTTGCATAAACCGCACGGCTAATTACGCACAAGGAGAGTGAAACTCCATTAGATTCTTAATTATACTTTAATGGGCCCCTGCCGCTTAGCCGAACCAAGAAATAAAACGGAGAGTAGCTCCCCCCTGAGCAAATCAGAAATTAAGCATCTTGGCTGCAGTGCATTGAGTTGCATTTGGAAATCTTTTACTGCTGCTGCTGGTACTGGTACTGGCACTGGGTACTGATACTGGTACTGGTGCTACCTATGCTCACTGAGCGTTGCAAGCTCTGCCTTTCAGCAGGCTCCATTTTAAGTATCTTGCCCGATGTTTCGGCTGCTTCCAGAGGGGGCTGGTTGGGGCTGGTGGGGTGACTCTGCACTCCCCACAGTGGTTTCTTTTGTCTTACTCTCGTTGCTGCTGCTGCCACGGATGCTCGGCCGTGTAGCTTTAGTTGTTGCTGTGTTTTGTTGAAGAAAACTTTCTAATGTAGAAGATGTCTGCAGCACTCTAAGCACACATTTCCCCCGTGTTTCCTATTGTACTTAAATTGAAAAAAAAATGGTGAAAGAAAAACAAAAAATCACGTTGTATGCCCAGTAGTTTGTTACTGGTAGGTAGGCCTGTGTTTATTCTACCTTTACTCAGCTTTTTCTTTCTTTTCAGATTTGTTCCCAAGCTTGAAAATTGCCACAGACTTTGAATTTTCATGTTAAAAAGAAGTTAGAGCACAATTCCACTATTTGCTGGTCCCAGGACTGCCCATCGATGAACTCTGAAGCGATTGATGGTAATTCTTTAACCATCACACTCACTTGGGTGAAAGTTGCATGAGAAATCCACCGACTATTACATTCGGAGATACATTTAAGCCATGCACCACGAGTCTCCGAACAGAACACCAAGACGCGTCATTAAAAACCTAAAGTTTAACCGTGCAGTCGTACCTAATCATGTGTTGCAAGTCCCAAGACTTTCGACCAATCTGATAGGCCCAATTTTTTTATTTACATGCTAATGAGAAACGGAATATTTTTGTTTCTCCTGAAAATGAAAACGCATCTTTTATTGCCAAACGATGGTGATATGATGGTGTTCATCAAGAGCTTCATAGAAGAGCTAATAGACTTAATTAGTCAGCCGGTTCGTTATATAAATCTAAGCCAGGCCAGAACCGTTTAAAGCTGAAATCGCTGGAGAAAAGATGTATCGCGGCCGAATGATTAATGCAGCCAAAAACCGAGAGCCAAGAGATGAGACCCTAAAAGCAAAAATCGTATTTTCACTTTTTAATAATTAACATAAAATTATTAACAAGACGCGCAAAGAAGACGAAGAAGGCGAGGCAGAACCCAAAAACGATGCCAAACGCATTAAGAGCACCCATCCAACGACGAAGAATAAGCCATGAAAGTCGAACCAAAATCCAAAGGAGAGGTGGAGAGAGATCTCCGAATTTCATAAAGCCTCGTAAAGAACCCAATGACTAAGAGCCCGCAAGCGAAAGACTATACAATATATAAGCCAAAAAGAATTTTAAGTGAAATGAGTTTGAAAAGTTTTCCCGAAAGCGGCCATCCAGCGGGGCCTGACCCAATTACCCATTTAGGCCCAAAGACCGAATCGGTGTGGTAGTGTGAGTGGCGAAGAAATTACCAAAAGAACGCCAGAAGATGGCGAGATGGAAGATGGAGATGTGGGGAAGCAACGGGGGCACAAGACGAGTAACAGTTATGTGACGGGCAGACAATCGAAAGTTTATGTCATGCTGCCGGCAGCAACGCAGCAGCAGCAGCAGCAACGCAGCAACACAGAAGCAACACCACAGAAACATCAGTAACAACAGTAAAAGCCATAAGATAAAGCCATAATCTGACAGCAGATGTTTTTCGGTTTTGGTTTTGGCTTTTTTTTTATTATCAAGGAATGATATTCAGATACTTGTTTAATGATCGAAGAATCTGAAAGTAACTGAATTCAAGATACATAGAAGAACGATCGCAAATGAACGATTTTTCTCAGGCCTAGCAACTCGGCCCGTCGAGTGAAATATAAAACAATTTTTTTTTTCTTTTCGAAAGTCATGCCACGAAATAAATTGTTCTTGTATCTATACATGTATCTTTCATAGGCCTACAGCAGCATGAACAATGAGAGCGGCAAAGCCGCAAGAAAAGAAAAAGTAACTTCACACCGACTCACCAGCTTACTCACACACTTGAAGCGTCCATCCGTGGCTGACCAGCAAATCGAAAAAGATACGAGAAAAGAGAAACAGAAAATAAAATAATAAAATCGAAACATGAAACATTCTGATTGTATGGGCTTGGAAGTGGGTCAAGCAGCACAGTCGCCGTCGCTGCCCCAGCTTCTGCCGGCTTCGTCGTCGTCATCGCCAACGCGCTCAGGTTTTGGCTTTGAACGTGGTTGTGTCTGTGGTTGTGACTATGGCTTTAACTGTGGGTCTGGGTCTTGGTCTTGGTCGGGGCTCAGTCTTCAACGAAGCCCGTTTGTTTGCCCGTGAAACCAACACATTTACGAAGAACAAAAATAAAAAAATAAAAACTAACACACAGAGCACACACTCGGAATACTTAAGCATCCGCGTCCACTTGCACTTTCTTTTTCAAGCTCAGCTTGCTTTTGCTTTTCCCATTCTGCTTCTGCTTCTACTTCTGCCTCCAGTTCCACGGATTGAATCGGATCGGGTTTTGGGCTCGAGTTCGGGTCTTAAGTCTTTCGTTTGGCTTTCTTTCGCCAAGCGGACGCTCTTTCCCTGGGTGCCTGTCAGCGGAAACGTGCTCTAGCAAGATATGGGGGCTCGCATTGTGACTTTGTAAAAATATATTTTAAACATTTAAAAGCTTATATTTAATAAAATATTTTTTAATAAGTAAAAAGTTTTAAATGTAGATATATATTTACATTTTACAATTTTGTTTCAATAAACAAAATTGTTTCAACATATGTTTCAATAATGTTAATAAAGTTTAATTTAATTAGGAACATCTGTGTTTTTAAGTTTATATTGCCAACTTTTGAAAAATTTTAAAGTTCCGCATTTTATTTGTTTCTTACATCTAAAAGACTAGCTTATAGAAAGAACCGATGCATATATAGCTGTCATTTATTGATACAATAAATTTTTCCTTAATATTAATATTGGAACATATTATGTTTTAATGTTCATATATACATACAGTGGCCTTTTATTATTAAGTATTCAGAACCGTAAAAGTATGCTATACCTAGCATTTAAAGTGATGGTTGCTGTATAGGATGTATATTTCCATACAGTAACTACTAAGTCATGTAAAAAGCCGTGTGATGGCGCTACTGTTACTTTTTTAAAAATGTAAATTATAAACTTCATAAAAAAAATATCCTTTAAAACCAATTTAAGAATGGTAAAAAATAATTTGAATTTAAAATGAGAAAGCTTTAACTTAAAGGCATTTATGAAAAAGGACCATATTCCCATAATATGTTGTGAACATATTTTTTTCAATTGATATTAACAAGGTTATTTTTAAAAACACCACAGTTTGCACGCCTCCAAATAAACACAAAACAAACACTAATTTTTAGTTTAACACATACTCTTGCACTAAAAATCGAATCATTGATACAATTAAAAAATAACTTGGGGAATGCCACTTATTCACTTCCGAACTATCAGTGACTATTTTCGTCCCAACCACATGCAATGTTTTTAGTCGAGCATTATAATTATAAATAGCGAAATGAAAAATAAAAATGAATCAAATCGACTTAAAAGGATAAATAGAATTCAATTGAGAAAATACAAGTGCACTGAGAGAAGACACGCCGTTGTCGCCCTGGCCTGGCTGACTATGGTTAATTGCTCTGATAAATGGTCGGCATGGCGATTTCGCAACTTCGGAGCAACTGCATCGGCGCCGTGGATGCCGCAGATGCTTCCTCGAGCACCGCGCGCGGAGATCTCAATCAACCTTGATGTTGATTTATAGTTGCCGCTGCTTGGCACGTCTATTTCGGTGTCGTCTCGCTGCGTGCCTGTTGCGATGTCCCCATCGTCCCAGCACCCATCCTTCTGCCCTGACCCTCCTTACCGCCACACCCAAATCCCATGCCCGACGGATGCCAATTGTTTTGCGTCGATCCTTCTAAGGTCCGTTTCTATTTTTTGAGCTCTCTGCAAAGTGAGCGAGTCCGATGTGTCCACAGGGGCGACCGGGGCTAATTGGCCACTCGGGAGAATCGATGGACGATGCGATGACTGCCGATGTGGTGCCTTTCACGCACGTCTTCTTATCACTCGGCAGGTTCTCTTATCTCGCTTTTGACTTTCTCTCTATGCAAGATCTCCCTACCATAAAAAAATCGAGTTTTTCCAACTTGGGGGGTTTCTTTAAACTTAACTGTTAAACCCATTTTTTTTTTAATATAGTAATTTTAGTAATTTTTTAGAAATATGGGTTTTATTTAATCCATAATTGAGTTTTAAAATCAGAAATTGGTAGATCATTGAAGCCAAAGATACTCGACTTAAGGTGAAGTTATTAGCTGTGTACGACACATATTTAATCCGTATTTAAGCAATTAAGCTAACCCTACAATTAAAACAGTTCATTTTTAGTTAGGTATTTATTATAAATATTTTAAGACCTATTCTATTTAATGAAGTTCCTCGCCTATGTCGCATATGCCACATCCCAGAGATTCTACCAAAAAATGTGTCCCTATCCCCGAATCGAACAAAGACAACGGCTTATATGGACCGATTCGAGTTGATTGGCCCACACTACTTTCGCTCGTCTCTTGCTCTGAGAATCCACGTAGAATAGTCTTCTGGCCCTCTGGGAGAGTAGCCGATATAAAGGCAGGACAGACAGCTCGGCGTGCCATTTGTTGTTGAGTCTAGCCGTCAACAAGAATCGAACGTGCGAATTTATTCAAATTACATCCTTTCGTTGACCTTAAAGGTGTGTGTGAGTGTGACCTGATTGTGGAAGGAGTCAAGGATTAACGCATATCTGGACTTGCCATACTGCCATGTGGTCCAAGGATTTCTTAAAATTTTGATAGTGATGTTTGTAAAGGGCAAGGCCTAATTTTAAATGAGGCGTAATCGGATCGGCATTCTTATAGACCTATTCGGGTTCTATGAACTATTCGCTTGGGTATTTTTATCCCAATGTTTTACAAAGTGATTAAGTGGATCGATTAACCTATAGTTCGCACTACAGTTTGTTACAAACTATTTTGTAGTTGTTTCAAGTTTCAAGGAAAGGAATTCGGGCATTTCCTTATTTAAACCTTTACTTTAAAGCTTAAATAGAAAAAAAAACTTAAGTAAATTATTCTTTTAGTTCGGTTTCTAACTCTTGAAGTATTTTGAAACTTAAAGATAGATTTAGGCATCGGTTTACTAACAAATGGAAAGGAAGGGGACCGTCCATTTTAAAGAGGACGTTCACTTTAAAAGTCTAGAAAAATTGACAAAAAATCTAAAAAATTTTTGATTGCTAGATTTTGATGAGTATTTGTAGAGAATCATACCACAAATGGTTTAACGTACTCCTTTCAAGAATCGGATAAGTATTGGCAAAGATATAGCCTTCGGGGTGGCCCATATGGGCAATTCCATATATTCTCCGCATTTTGAAGGGACCTCTTAATAAAATTGACAAAAAATCGAACAAATATTTATTTGCTTTATTTTGATGGGTATTTGTAGAGAATCTATCCCCAGATCGTTAAAGGTATTCCTTTCAAGAATCGGATAAGTATTGTCAAAGATATAGGCTTCGCGGTGGCTGATATTGTCTCTTTCCTGCATTTCCAAAATTTTGAAGAGAATTCCCCCGAAAACTCGACATTTTTCAATGTCCTCCTTTAAATATTGCAGATAAACAACTGCCAAGATGTGTGACGATGATGCGGGCGCATTAGTTATCGACAACGGATCGGGCATGTGCAAAGCTGGCTTCGCCGGTGATGATGCCCCCCGTGCTGTCTTCCCCTCGATCGTGGGCCGCCCCCGCCACCAGGGCGTGATGGTGGGTATGGGTCAGAAGGATTCGTACGTCGGTGATGAGGCTCAGAGCAAGCGTGGTATCCTCACGCTGAAGTATCCCATCGAGCACGGCATCATTACCAACTGGGATGACATGGAGAAGATCTGGCATCACACCTTTTACAATGAGCTGCGCGTGGCCCCCGAGGAGCATCCAGTATTATTGACAGAGGCCCCCTTGAACCCCAAGGCCAATCGCGAGAAGATGACCCAGATCATGTTTGAGACCTTCAACTCTCCGGCCATGTATGTGGCCATCCAGGCCGTGCTCTCCCTGTACGCCTCCGGTCGTACCACCGGTATTGTGCTGGACTCCGGTGACGGTGTCTCCCACACCGTGCCCATCTATGAAGGCTTCGCCCTGCCCCACGCCATCCTTCGTCTGGATCTGGCTGGTCGCGATCTGACTGACTACCTGATGAAGATCCTGACCGAGCGCGGCTACTCCTTCACCACCACTGCCGAGCGTGAGATTGTTCGCGACATCAAGGAGAAGCTGTGCTACGTCGCTCTGGACTTCGAGCAGGAGATGGCCACCGCCGCCGCCTCCACTTCCTTGGAGAAGTCTTACGAGTTGCCTGACGGCCAGGTCATCACCATTGGCAACGAGCGTTTCCGCTGCCCCGAGGCTCTGTTCCAGCCCTCGTTCTTGGGCATGGAGTCCTGCGGCATCCACGAGACCGTCTACAACTCGATCATGAAGTGCGACGTGGACATCCGCAAGGATCTGTACGCCAACTCTGTGCTGTCCGGTGGTACCACCATGTACCCTGGTAAGAGATCCAGTAATCCCCAAGTCTCTGTAGTATTTAACTTTAAATTTTATACCCACCTTAGGTATTGCTGATCGTATGCAGAAGGAGATCACTGCCCTGGCTCCATCCACCATCAAGATCAAGATCATTGCTCCACCTGAGCGTAAATACTCCGTCTGGATCGGTGGCTCCATCCTGGCCTCGCTGTCCACCTTCCAGCAGATGTGGATCTCGAAGCAGGAGTACGACGAGTCCGGCCCCGGCATTGTCCACCGCAAGTGCTTTTAAGTCCTTCGCTCCCGGCGAAAGTTCTTCAAAGGCATCCACCGGACACCAACCAGGAATCGAGCTCACCAACACCAGAGAAGCCAGCTCGCCCAGTGATAGACAAAAAGAGCAGCGAACACATCGCACAATTATCATCCAACTCAGATTCACGCAAAGCACATCCTCCATTGCAATCTAATCGGCCGCCGTCCATGGGATTCTTACTTTTTAAACAGCTTGTAGTGAGAATTATTAAGTGCCGACGGTTAACACCACAACGAGGCAGACCCACAAACACATGTCAAATGTATATGAAGAGCTTTTAACCCGTCAGTGAATTGAAAGCCAAATATATCTTCCATTAAAACTATGAAATACGTTAAATAAATACATTTTTCTATTATCCATATCGTTGTTCAGTACACGTTCCTCCGAGGTTGGGAAGACTAAGAGAAAGACTAACTAGTTTGGTAAACAGCTTTAAAATTCCTTTAATCAATATTATTTGTTAACATTTTTAGATTGGCTTAGGTTATAAAATGAAAATACAGCGAGGATATGATGGAGATTGAACATTCAAAGGGTGGCAGTGACTTTTTCTTATTGAAAATGTTCGTTCAGCATTGTTAATTCGATATATAATTTGGTGTGGGCTGGTGCCATTTGGGTGGATGTAGCCTAACTGATATGAGTATTTGTTTTAGTTACCATACGAAGCACATACACATAGAATATCTATTGATGTTTAATGCTTATAACTTAAATTTAATACGATGCTTATGTATTACAGCTATTGTACAGACCGGCATTGCACTAGTTTTTAATCGTTTTGGTTTCTTCATACCCCTACAAAGTTCTTAGAGGTCAGGATCTCTAATAATGTGATACTGACCTTACAATTAGATACAAATTGGAAGACTTCATCCAGGGGCTACCACTACAACGATCGGGTCAAATTCGTTCAAAATGGATACTGCCTTATTGGATGTTAAGGTTATTTTACAAAAGTTAATGCATTTAAACTGTAGGGGTACAAAACTTCGACACTATCCGAAGACTGATTTCCTAACTCTTTTTTGGGAATCGCCAGTGTAGGGAGAGTTTAAATTAAAATAAAATTCGTATATACTTAGAAAAGTTGAAAGCTAAGTTTAAAATTTTGGTCTACTCGTTCGGAATACTCCTAAAGAAAGAAGATTGAACAAAATTCATACAAAAGGAGGGAAATTACCCATCACTGATAATCATAAGCGTAAAGACGGGCTCATCGGACTGGCACTACTCTTACCACCGACTTATGAATTGCATTTTGGTAAAATCAATCTTATCCGCTACATTTATAGCTAAAACCTGCTTCTGGTATTTACAATTCTTAATACAATACATGGCAATAGTGGTTACTAATTTCGAATGACGTAATATTATATGTACACGTGAGTTACCGATTCCCCTACATCCGTCTATATACTTATTGCATTTATCGATTTTGTTCAGATTTCCTTGAGACGATCTCCAAGGGATCGTATTGGGATGCATATCCTAACTAATATTCGAGAATACTTGTGACTGTCGTCAGTGGTTGCGACTTCAAATGGTTTGGTGGTTTAGGTGGCTGTGGTGGTACTGATTGCTGCCCCTGGCTTGACGACGGATTGTAGTTGGTAATGCTTGGTTAGGCCCTTGCCCTTCGTCCTTCCCGGGACGTAGACCCGATTACCGTTGGGAAGGTTAACCTATGAATGTCAGGCAGTACGTCTAAGTAAAGGCATTACGTCTAAGTAAAGACCAGAGTTGGTTGCAATGTAGCAACCACCACAATATCCACCGCAGAAGGCTCTCCGAGACACGGCAGTGGTTTCAAACTGAAAGATAGAAGTCGATTATTAAAGGTTTTGTTGATAACAAGAAGAATTTGGTACCCACCTCGCTTATCCTTTTCATTACCGCATACTGGCCATGCGTTCTCCACTGAGTCCCTGGCCGTATCGTGAATCCAGTCCGCTCAAGATTGATGGAAAAATCTCCCTGTGGGCACCGACCGTTACGGTTGTAACAATCCCCCGCCGAGCCCAGATTCTGAGCCTGTCCCCGGGAATCGGCAAATTGGAAATCATTGTCGACAACCCGAAGATCCGTGACATTGAGTCGCAATTTACGGAAGTTCGTTCGACCCGAGTTCTGGTCGTTGTAATACTCATATGCCCGCGACACAGGCGGGCAGCTGTTGGTCAAATTAGATCGGTACTCGTAGTAGATGGAATAGTTCTCCTGCGGATCGACCGTGATATATTCCTTGGGAGTTCGACTGGCCATGTCATGGCAGTAGATGCGCACGGTCCGAGATCGCAGCTCCAGCTCGAACTCTCCGTCCTTGTATACGCCGTGCATCTCCCTGAGCTGAGCACAGCTCTGAGGTCTTCGTGGGGTCCGTAAACTGGGACTACTGCTAATGCTGTTGGTGCTCGTCATGCTGCTCATGCTTCGGACAGCGCTGCGTTTGCGGCAACTGGGTGGCGGTGAGCATCTGTGCCTCTCGATTCGTGAGCGGGTGGGGCAGCCAATGCGTACCATTCGGGAGTCATAGCAGAAGTCCCTGCGCTTCTCGTAGCCATCGCAGTTGCACTGAAAAGGATTCGAAATTTAGAAAATGTGGTTCATGAAGCAAAGAAGGTTTTTTGCTCACCTGTGAGACTACCTTCGATTGCCTTCGCACGCAATTGTTGCAGATGCGTCGCTTGCTCGGCCGCTTCTTGGCATCGCAGTGTCCTTCCTCCAGGCTCTTGCCTTGCGATGACTCGCAATGAACATAGCGTGTCTGGTATTCATCGGAGCAGTCTGCCGGGCAACGGGTCCAGTCCGAGGCTATCCACTTGCAGTTGATGTAGCAAGACTTGGCGGTGGTGCGCAGGGTGGGTCGTCTTACCTTGCGGCTCACGCAGTACGAGTCGTTGATGTAGACACGTCGCTTGGGCGTGCCAGGCACATCCGGTTTGTAGACCCGGGTGCACCGTTGGAGTTTCCTCTTCTTGCCCTCGCCGCACTGAACCGAGCACTAATGACAAGAATCGAGATATTTAGCTCATTGCACATTGAAACAAACAAGCTTGACACTCACCTGACTCCATTCGCTGGTGTACTTAATGTGACAACACTTTCTCACGTCCTTTGGTTTCCTGTTTCCGCACCCAATGCCATAGGGATTCGAGCAGCTCACAGTTCGCTTCTTCTCGCACCACTCGCTGCACTCGCCCCACTCTCCAATAACCCAGTTACTAACTGCCACTGCGTTCTGGTTAAAAAAATAAAAATTAGCTATAAGTTTTCTCATTAAAACGAGTATTTTACTCAAAAACTCACCGTCGGTTCCGTGTAGCTTGGGCAGGGATCCATGTTGCAGATGTTTATTAGGGCACTTATTTGGGGCTTCGTTCGGGGATTGCAGACATCCTCATTCACCCGGGAGCCGTGCATGACACAGTGAACCTCACGTTGTTTAGAGCCAGTGCCACAGGACTTGGAGCACTATTTGATAAAAAGATGAAAGGCATTTAGACATAGTACTTCCTTAAGTTAAGATCTTCACTTACTTGTGACCACTCCGAAAGTTGCCAGCAACCCTCCCGGCACTGTTCGTGACGATTGATATCAAACTTGAGTTCACAATATGACATATCCACAATATTGGAACGCCGAATATCGGGGTATATCTGAACGCAGTTGAAGGTCTTCTCGCGCACACCCTGCTCTCCACACGCGGCGGAGCACTCCGAAATGCTCGTCACATTGAGTCTAAGTAGAAGATATAAAGTTCAAATACAGAAGAATGCTCAGAAGAATGGGGAATGGACATCCTTACTCTAGTCGGCATTCCGTGTTGCAGGGTCGCTGCTCCATCTTCGGTTTGGCAAACATTTCGCAAAACTGTGGCGCCACCTTCAATCCCTGGACAGTGCTGACGCAGGCCGGCTGACGATACTTTCTGCCATCGCAGAGGGCATCGCAGTTGCTCCACGCCTGCATCTCCCACCTGTAGATCTCCACCTCCGCCTCGGGAATGGTCGGCTTGTCGATGGTGTAGGTGTATGTGATGAGCAGTGCATTGGGGTCCATCGCCTTACTCAATCCAAACGAAACGATCTGCGAAACAGTGCTATATTAACCGCTGTCTATATATGAATTATTGGATGTCTATTACCTGGACTATTAGATCTCGGGTCAGCTTCCATGAGTAGGTTGTGTTCACTCGCTCTACGGGTCGGTGGGAGCCATTGTAGTCGAAGGTGACTCCAGCATAAATGATTTTAACCGCAAATGACTTTAACTTTTTGATGTTCAGTAGGTCTTGGCCCTTATTGCCCTTTTGATCGCTCAATGCGATGAAGTTCTGCTCGGGATATTCGGGCTGGGTGATGACGATGTTGGAAGCGCCTAAAAGGACAATATTTTAGAGGTGTTGGAGAGGTTTTGAATGAAAATATGATGAACATAATTATTTATTTGTGCATATCTATAACACATCAATCAAAAAATTCTTTCAAGGAAATGCAATCATTATTTGGGTTCAAATTCAAATTCAAATCCAAATGAACCATTCCCAAAAAACTATTTCAGTGTGACCAACAATTCTACGATAAAAACTTATCCGATAAAATCTTACGAGTCCCTGAGCTTTTTTTTATCGTTGGGAATGAATAGCATTTCCGGTTCCGCTTGTGAAAATAGCGACTCGAAAATTCGGTCCATTAAGTGGTTGCATTAATAAATGTTTAATATGCGATAGCCTTTAATGTGTAATGGTGATCACTACAGATTGGAATTTACATTATCGCTAGTGGCGCCAGAATATGGCTTTGCCTTTGCCGGTGATTTCAAGCGATAGCATTTAATTTATGAGCGATTACGAATGGAGATGACCTGCGCCCGTCGCCTGATTACCAACGGAATCAAAAATAGCACAATCAGGGCGTACGTGAGGTGGTGCATTCACCTGGAGTGGCCTGTTCCGGCGCCGAGATCATTCAGCTGCAAATGATCGAGCACGAGCTGGGGCCACAAACATGGCCGTGCCCATACAGCACGTTGACAATGTACACACGTAAGCGAGCGATTCGCCAATTTAGCCCGAAAGGCATTAACAGATACCATTAGCATTCATTGATGAAATTATTAGCCAAAAGTTTAATTATCGAAATGTTTTCGCTTGAATATATTATTGCTAGTTGTGTTAACGATTTTGATCTATGTTGTCTGAGGCAAATGAGTAGTTGTTGCGGGCACACACCTTTTGGTATTGTCGTCACATAGTGGAGGGTCTCTCCGGGGGCATTGGTCGGCAGATCGGAGACGTACAGATTTCCGGTTACCTCTTCGCATGTGTCATTCCGGCCCTCGCAAACGCCGCATCTATCTGCAGGTTCGAACGGAAATTGAGGTAATTAAATGTTGGGGGTTTTTATTCTGGTCTCGCTTACCCAGCTTGGCAATGGAGTTGAGTTCGTTATCGCAGCCTGCCGGCCTGCAAATGCCATTGACGCACTTGTCCAAGCTGTCCACCGTGCAGGAGGTTCCATCCGTTACCTTGTTTTGGAGCTTAAAGTACGTCTGGCGGTTCTCCAAGCGGCAGAACAGCTTGCACTGATTGGAACTTTCCTCTATTGGCGGAAAGAAGAGCACATTATATGTTAGAATGCCAATAAAGGGCCCTTCGATGTCTACTTACTCTCGTACTTGGGAAGCCATCTGTTGTTGGGATCAATGCCCGGAATGTTCATGTTAACCCCGTTCATGTCCATGCACTGCTGCTCGCGGGGATCGAGGTGTCCCGGTGGGCAGACGTGTGTGTTGCAGGAACGGTACTTCTTGCGGCTGCCAACGCAAAACTTGCCACCATCGGGCTTGGGATTATCACACTCACGGTGCGACTCCTGCACTCCTCCACCACAGGGGAGGCTGCAGGTCGTGAACGCCGACCAGGGACCCCAGCCGCCGCTCACCTTTGGCTGGTTGCTACCCTGGCGCGGCACACACCGGCCCTTCAGACACCAGTGATCGCTGTAGCCGCAGGGGGTGCCGTCCGCCCAGGGCAGGTTGCTGGAGCGGCACTGATCCATATGATTTGTGTTCGCGCCGTTGCACCACAGCCGCAGGCACTCGTCGTCATTGGGGCAGTGGGCACTCGAGTTGCCGAAAATCAACTGACACTGATTGTCCAGGGAGTAGATCTCCCCAGGCAGGCGCCGCGTCTTGTTCGGTATATACGTGGACGGTGTGTTGTCCAGACAGGACTTGTCCGATTTCCTAATCAAAAGAGACCTAGTTGAAGACCTCTTGAAGAACCCCTGGGAAGACAAATACTTACTCTAGAAACTCGGAGACAAAGTGTTGGGAGCACTTGGACCAGGACCAGGGATGCATGTGGATGCCCATGACACTGGACATGATGTGCTTGTTGTTGGAATGCCTTGTGGTGTATGGGATGCACTGGCTGTCATCGTCGTGGGGCATGCTTAGGCTGTGGGGATGAGGCTTCTAAGTGCTACAGAACTTCCTAATAAAAAAACCAAACCACTTACATGTGTCCTAGTTCGTGGGCCATGGTAAAGGCGGCAGGCAGACCTGTGTCCTGGACAATGGAGCAAGAGCGGGGATTGCACACCGTGCCCAATTCGGCCAGACCCAGCATGTGACAGGCCTTGCCCGGAATGCCACCGCATATGGGTTCTCTGTGAGAGTTAAGATTACTTTACTATTGGAGAAGTCTTCCAGAAGACCCTGTTTCGGACCTACCTGGTTATCAGCATAGCCGTGTCCCTGTGGTAGCCTTTCCGGTTGATGAAGGTGCAAAAGTGCTTCAGCATTTCGTTGCTGGAGTTGTGCCGCTGGTCGTTGTTGTTCGGCAACATGATGAGGTTGACCAGCGAAATGCGAATGGAATTGCCAATGCTGGCGTCCTCGAAAATACTGGATACAATGGAAAGCAGGATCATGATGTAGGAGGTGAGGTCGCCCTTGTGGAAGCGCTCCATGCTAGAGTCGACGGCAATCAGAACCTCCAAAGTGTACACCTGGCTGTCCATATCGTTGTAGTGCCGCTTCCTGCGCGTCAGGCGGCGAGGTTCGAGGAGTTTCCGCGCCTCGGTCTGCTCCATCGCCTGGCGCTCCAGGGCGTCCAGACCCAGCTCCAGCTTGGAGACAGCCTGTCTGGCGTGGCGCTTCGAGCGCCGCCAAACTCGGTGCAAGACCTCGTCGCTGCTGGTCCGGTTCACCGGCTCAATGAGCAGGGCCCCGAAACTCGTTTTAATATAACCAGTCTGCCGGGGCGGAGTAGGGGAAGCGTGGGGAAGAGGGGGGAACGCTTATTAGTAGTCATATTCGGCGGCATATTGATAAGCATAATTTGCGAAATGTAAATGCGATGCAAATGGCTTTGCCAAGGTCAGTTCGAGCCACTTGCTGGCCTTACCATGCCGTTGCAAAGAGAGACTGCCACCTTCGAGTTGGGATCACCCTCGACGTGTCCCACATAGTGGCAGTCCACGTAGTTCATTCCCTGCTCCTGGTCCTGCTCCTGCTCCAGTTCCTGCTCCAGCTGCTCGGCATCGTCCAGCCCATCATTGGGATTGTTAAGGATTCTTATCTCTGGCATCGTATTGTTGTCCACAAAGGGAGCCTCCTGACGCAACACCAGATGCAGCAGGTGGCCGAAAACGTTCAGGTTGTATTCCGGATGCGGGTCCCAGATCTGGTTGGTCCTGCTCCGGAACGTACCGGTCATGCTGAAGGCCGCGGAAGGGTCTACAGATGAGAAAGTATTTATTTTAAAAATTAGGAACTAGAATCTAAATTATAGGGTCTTAGTTTACCCTTCAGAAAACTGTTGATATCATTGTTTCGCTTCGATTCGTAAATAAGATCATCTTCGCTCAGACTGTAGTTGTAGACCTTGATGGGGGTCACAAAGGTAATCGGGTCCTCTTCCCCCAGGTCTTCGAGGTCATCTCCGTGTTCCGTTTGCGTATCGTTCTCAAAATTTCTAGAATGATCGGGGATTGGCGTGGTCGGTGGATCAGGCACTGATCCAGGTGGTAAGGACATCACTGTGGGTCGGATGTTCAGCTTGGGTAGCTCTAACGTAGCTTCTGACTTGTGGGTATTTAAAATTTCGTGGAAAAAGAGGAAAAACATAGCTAGGATGAAGACGGCTACGCAGATGAAGACGCAGGAGTGCTGCCGCCCGTGGGTGGACATCTTGTGGCGGCACTTGTTGTAGAACCACCATTCACACCTTTTCTTCAGCACGTGCTGGAAAAGAGAATAGATCAAGGAGAGTACGGGTTAGATCATTGCTCGGATTATTGGTGGAATCTAAGATGGATATAGGGCAGGCTAGACAGCCCAGTTTTCCAGCATTCTCTCACACCTTGAGTGTTCGCATTTCGACTAATGGACTGCTAGAAAGCAGGCCAGATTAGTAATTGGGCACGTTCCGCAAAACCCCCAACAGCATCAAACCAACAAGCCCACTTCCTATCGTGGCGGGGGCTGATTTGAGTGATTGACTTTTGAAAGAATTATTGATGAACTGCCTGCCCCAGGCATGCAGATACCTTGACCACCTGTAAGACCACTCAAATAGTATCGATTGGATCGGTTCCGATGTGTCGGCGGCGTTGGCCTTTGGCTGTGCAGTCCGAGAATAAGAGAAGCTGTTGAAAACACTTCCTCGCACCGCCAATTTTTGCACATTTTTTCGTTGTTTTTGTTTAAAATAAATTCTTAAATGCTGAGGTGTAAAGTGTGCCAACGGCAATTTGTGTTCAAGAGATAAAACAAAACCAAAAATAAAAAGACTCGCCAGTATTAGGTACGCGTCGAAAAAAAGCAGAAAGCGAAAAAATTTAAATGCCTCTAATTTGTAAATTTATGTGAGAGCTCTTTGTTTTGCACCTCAGTTTCAGTATCAGACTCGAAATTGTTTCAGACAATTCATACATCAGCGCAAATAAATTAAAATTCCCCCACCAGCCACCGCAATTAGCAAATTAATTCCGCTAAATGATGAGCTATTTTACATAATTTTATGGCAGCTCTGTGAACTCTGCAGCCGCCGACACATTCGTTATGCTCATTGGCCATAATGTCGCCACGAAAACGGCGGGCCGTGTGATTCCGTTGGCTGATACCATGGTGTGAGATCTGTGATCACATTTCCGGCAAACAGACTATCCCTCTGCGGTTACCAGCACTGATGAGATTTAGGAACCGCAAATGGAAAAGGCTATTAATGATCACTCAATTTGGGCAACTAGCACTAAAGCCTGTCCTTGAAGTTCCCAATTGCTATTGACCTTTAGCAGCGCCTCCGAATGTTACAATTTAATTGTTTTTAGAAATTGCTTAGAACGGTATGCCATAAAAATCTCATTAGGTTTAATGTCGCCCCCCTGAGACCCATAAAAAGTCTTTTTAATAGTTAAAACATTGATAGAGCCACTTGGAAACGTTTAGTGAAGATAACGAAAAAAACAAATTGTTTATTCTGAAAAAATTAAAGGTCTGGAAAAGTCACAGATCATTGCCTACTTTTAAGGGCTGTCTGATGGAACCTCCTGCAAACCTTTCAAAAGGTTGAGTTTCTGGTTAGCCAGAGTTCAATAAACTCGACTATTTGCGAAATCATTGAAACAACGGATTTCGGCCTTAATCAAGAAAGTGATTTATTGCCCGGGTTATCACCGAACGGCCCGAGATACCCCGGATTGATTTTATCAGAACCGACATTCTACGGAAAGAGCGGGGGACTGGCATCGGGTTTGTTTTTTGGCGTGAGGCTTATCGTAAATTTTATCCCCAACTTAAATGCCTGTGCACAATTTGCAAGGCAAATCGTGCATGCCGCAGATGCCCCACTGATACCCGGGGCATCCCCCATCCCCATTTCCCCCTGGTTCTCCGATTTGTGTTGTTGTACTTAATTAAAGAGCCATTCGGGCAATCGCGGCTTTATCTCTCACTTGTTAGTTATGCATGCGTTTGGAGAGCTGCTTATTAACTTGTTTCGAGATGTGAATTTTTAGCCCCATCTGCCTTAAGTCTTCTGCCTTCTGCCTCATGAATATGCAAATGCACTGCGTGCCTTCTTTTCATTTTTGTTTATCAGCGAACCGTTTGCCGGCTAAGTAGCCTGTGCTTTCTTTAGGGTTTCTTGGGATTATTCTTCGGATGGCTCATTTCCAAGCTGCCTAATTTATTATCACGGCAAAGTGGTTGCTATGCTCTGACTAATTGACCAATTCGATGGGGCGGCAGCCCAAGAAGCCCCAGACTCCGACGCAGCCGCAGCCACAACCAAAACCGAAACACAAACAACAATAGCCCAAGAAACAGAAACTGACGAACCGAGAGGCATCTCTGGGCATCTCAAAAAACCTGTTTACACTTGACTGGGAATGGAAACAAACAAGCGATTTGTGTGTCAGTCGATTGCTTTATATTGTGCCGAGTGCCATAATTTATGCCAATGGCTACACGCTTACTGGTCGACACACTGTCTGAGGTCTGCATAGCCCCAGAGTCGCCATTCAGTCTGTCCCCGTGAGCCGTGAGCCCAGTGAGGTGTTTGAAGGCCGCACAGCTTCACAGTTTCAGTTTCAGCCCCACAGCCCGACAGCCCCGCCGGGAATTGGATCCGTCGTGTAAACGAAACTTCCACGAATCGGCAACTCCACGAGGTGTCTGGCCGGTCAGACAACGCGGCGTATGCGCAACGTTCGCCTAATTACACAGCTCCACCACTGGCAAATAGCACCGGCTAGCTGTTAATTTGTATTTAATGACTTAATTGCAGTGCCTCGCGCCTTCGGCCCATGCGGCGTATACACAATGCTCTTTGCTATAATTGGTATTCGCGCCTGCGCTGGGCTTATCGCTGAGCTAAATATGGCAAATAATCGGCCAATATACCACAACTGCAAATTATCGAATTAGCAGCGGCGTATTTGGTATCGTGTATTGAAAAGGAATCTTTCAGTACCGACGCGTTGTTCGATCGATTTCCTAAACTCATATGCATATTCGGGCCATTTCTGACCTTATATGCCGCATGCCCCACACTGTATGCCCGGTTTTGTGCAAAAACGATTTTCATGAAAAGTTTTCCACTTTGTAGAATTTGGGGCGCGTGTGTTTACAGCGCCTGCTGGTAAATGATAAATAAACTTGCAGACCTTATGGGCGTGCGCTTTTTGGGGCCGTTATGCATGCGCGATGCGTGACTGCCACAAACAAAATCCAAGCGCTATTATATTCATAAATGGATAACGGCCTCAGCTCGAAAATATTTTGGCACAAAAAAAGCATAAATAGTTTAACAATAATTACATTTCCTTTTTCGAGCAAGTTCCCCCGGCAATTTGTAAATAATAACAAATGATCAGCTTATCCCCGATGACTAAATTATTTTTAAATGGAAATGGTGAAAATTTCGATAGAATTTTCCACTGATTCAAACATTCTGAATTGGCGAATGCATTCATCCCAAACAGATTGTTTGCAAACAAAAAATTACGTTGAATTAGTTTGTTCAGGACGCCGAAGTATTTGTAAATATTTTCAATGTTCAGCCAAGCATTTCCACGGAATTGTTTTTCCCATTTTCCCGCCTCGGAATTGACAAGGGGATGCCCGGTGCAGCATGGCCCTTGAAATTTCACAAAATCGCACACACCGAATCGAAAACAAACACTGCTGTAAACAGCTAGAGGCAAAAACACGGCCATAAAAGCATCTTCGCTGGAAAATGTGTGAATCTGCGAATCAAATGGGAGACTGCGGTCATCCGGTGAATCCCCCACGCACCCACGCGCCATCGCTAAATGTGTGTCTATGACAGCACGCGTCGGACCACATATAGTTCATGGAACAAATCAAAATCGAACTAAGCCTATGAAAATGCAATTGCAGTGGCGGTGGCAAGGGTATCTTAATTGAAATCAGCAGCAGCAGCAGTCGCAGTCGGTTGAAGTGCATTCATAACTTCAAAATTCACAATTGAAAGCCATCATCGCAAATTCAATCAATTAACCTTGGCCAAAAATGAAAAAAAAGTACGTACGAACGAAATTTTTAATTGAAAATGGGCTACAAAATGCATTAGACAAAATCGACCGGGCTTCCATTTGGCTTAACGATCGCCGGACGGCGGTCGTCGTCTCGCACACGCCTAATATCATACGTATGTGGACTTGGCCTCCAGTCTTCAGACACCAGCGCCATCGCCATCGCCACCGCCAGCGCCAGCCGTCTGGCCTAATGGTCATATGTATGTACATATGCTCGTTTGGTCGCAGGGTCGCCTGACTGGCTGGCTGGACAACGCCCGCGTCTGCCATGTGTGCTGTATGCTTGGAGATCTCCAGAGACCAGAGATATTCCACATTTTCTTTTGGGTATCGGAGGAAGAGGTGGTGGAGTGGCGTTTGTTTACTGCCACGAGCATGGGCATGGGCATGGTCTGATCTCCTCCCGGAGATCCAGCATGCCGAAGAAGATTTTCATCTTGCCCGGCCCCTTGGGCCGTAAAAAAAGTTTTCGCCAATTTAATTATTGCGTGTTTAACCTTGAAATCGTATGATATACACGTTCGTTTATTTCGATCGTTTCAAAACTATAAAATAATCAACATTGTTTAGCTTTCGTTTCATCAAATTCAAACAAAAAGAAGAAAATTTAAAAGAAAATATATAAAACAGAAACAAAAAACTTAAGACACTCGAGTTCCCTTAGATTGAAAAGTTTAGTATTTATTTATTTAAATTACAGCGACTTTGATGTGATTAATTGGGAACGTGGGAAGCTGGGGTGTCGGGTGTTGGTGACTCATCAGGCTCTCGCCTTGCAGCCTGCACTTGCCACAGCTGGATCGTTAAATTTTAAGTGCAACCATAAAAACGCAACCTGAGGTTTTGTCATTCGATTAAAGCGCGTTTTGTTTGTTTACACGGGTTTAATTTAATACACAGTTTAATGGCTTTGCTTTTGATTTATTTGGCACACTTTTGGAGCAATATACATAAAAGCGTAGACAGGCCAATTTTTGTTTCTATGGGCATACGCTGCGTATGAGCAATGTGCTCTGTACGAACTTTGTATATTTTTGTTTCGTAAGCTATACCACTGTATTGGTCGGTATAATTAACTGATAAATTTGGGTAAGGCTTTTAATAAACTGAAATTTATGTTTTAAGTGAAGGAGGCTTGAAAACTTGCTGTGCACGTTTCCTCATTTAAGCCTTGGAAGCGCA